TGGCACATACTGTCTAGACCACCGGACCGAAACCGCCCATCAATGTCCCCGTGAAGGCGAATGGGCCCGTCGCCGCAACGGAACAAACACAAGCCATGAAAACCGCACCGCACCCGAAAAACCATCTATCTACAACACCGACCAATGCGCCCATACTCAGTGCAAAACCCTCATAAACACCCTCAAGGATCCCGCCGTGCGCTGCCCCCAGTGCAACCACCAGTATTGTCTGAAACACCGTCTCCGCGAAGAACATGATTGCGCCAAGATTACCCCGCTGGGCGCGCGCCAGCACAATGCCGCTTCGCCAAACGATACAATCAAGTCTATGTTTGCACGTGTGCGCACCTGGGGCCGCGATAAGCAGCAAGCCGCTGCCAAGGGGACCTTGCTGCCGACTCTGCCAAAGATGAAGCCTAAGCCAAATAGTCCGGCTGCGCGTGCGGTTGCTGTTAATGGCCTCAAGCGATCGGCTAAGGGGGATGCTTCGGTTCCTATGGATAAGAGGCTGTATTTGCATACTGTTGGTACGGCGGAGACGCAAGCTGCGGAGCCGCCGGCTGGGGATTTCTTTTTCGATTCGAGGTGGAAAGTTGGCCGTGTCCTTGATGATGCAGCAAAGAAGCTGCGGGTTCAAAATTTGAATAATCGGGTTGATGGGGAGGATTCAAGGTTACGGATCTTCCATGTTGAATCTGGGGAATTCCTTGAGTTCTCGGAGGCTATTGGTGCTGGGAAGGTAAAGCAAGGCGACACGATTGTGCTGCTACGCGGCGCTGGAGCTGTCCTTGGGAGCGCCTGATGCATTTATTTGCCAGTTATTATGCATTTATCTGGCATTTGTTCTCTTTATTTCCTATTTTTTGTTGCATTTTGCTTTTCGAAGCATATACCATATACCAGTTCGATACACCTGAGCATGTTTTGCCTCAACAGTGCAGTTGTTTTCCTATGCATGTAGACTCGGAGGTGAATGCGGTGCTCTTGTTTATTTCAACATATGTATAGGCCTGTGGCAGACATCACAGAATAATTGGTATCATACAAAGATCGTAACTCGGACTGTGCCCGCAAACCGGAAACCAGGAATCTATATAAATCAAACGCTCATCTTCATTTTGATGATCTTGTGAGGCTTGTATCCAATTACCTCAAACTCATCCTCCCTCCAGCCATCAACAACCGCGCTGCCCCGGTCATCGCGCTTAATGCGCAGCTCAGGGAACTCCGTGGGTTCCCGAAGAAGCTGCTCATTAAGAGCATCGATGTGGTCAAGATAGACATGGGCATCGCCCATAGTGTGAATGAGAGTTCCGGGATGAAGATCCGCAGCATGTGCAAGGATATGAGTGAGCAGAGCATAAGATGCAATATTGAAGGGCACGCCAAGACCCATATCACAAGACCGCTGGTAGAGCACGCAAGACAGGGTACCCTTCTCCGACGGACGCCCTGTCTTTTCGTCAAGCTTCATTCCAGGTGGGAACGAGACGTAAAACTGGGCGAACATATGGCACGGCGGTAGAGCCATCTTTTTCAGATCAGCGGGGTTCCACGCGCTCATGATGATGCGGCGATCGAAGGGGTTATGAATGAGCTTATGCACAACATCTTTGAGCTGGTCGACACCCTGACCGGTGTAGTCCGCCTTGGCGTCGATGTACTCGGCGCCAAAATGCCGCCACTGGAATCCATACACGGGGCCTAGGTCGCCTTCTTCACGGTGGCCGAGACCGGATTTGTCTAGGAACTCGCGGCTTCCATTTCCGTCCCAAATCTTAATACCAGCCTCGGAGAGTGGGAGTGAGGAGGTGCAGCCAGAGATGAACCAGAGTAGTTCAGCGAGCACGGCGCGCAGGAAGACTCGTTTCGTGGTGAGGAGAGGCAAGACGGGGATTGGCTCGCCGCCTTCTGGGCTCGGCTTCGAGAGAGAGAAGCGCAACTGGGGTGGTGCAAAAATTGATTGTGTACCAGTACCAGTGCGGTCAGGCCTGTGCTCGCCCTCAGAAAGGATTGTTCGTATCAAGTTGAGGTATTGGTGCTCTTCGTGCGAAGGGTCGTGTGGCGGCGAGGGTGCCGCGGGGGCTGCGGCGACTTGATCTTGGGTCATGGTGCAGCTTCAATTAGTGGCAGAATGTTAGGTTTCCTGCTGGGATTTGACGGCAGAGGGGCACTCAAAGTTCCAAGTGGACGATAGAGAGGATCTTGGGGATCAGTGGATCGCGTCGACCACGCGACACGTAGTCACGTGCTCTCGTATTTTATGTGCTCTAATCGACTTATTAATTATCCAAACAACTTTTAGTTCGTTATAGGTTATGCACGATATTTACACGGATATTCCTCCATAAGTATTAACATTGATACACATATAGGACCCATTTGAAGCCCATATAATTCAACAACAGTAGCTGTTTCAGACTTACATGTTGCAATGATAGTAGTTCGGGAATAGGGAACTTTTATCTTATTTTCAACGAATAACCGATGGTATGCACATGCTTTTCTATAGCTTTAGCTGAATTTAATGTTATTTCTTGCTTCCAGGCAATCAAAATCAGTGGCCACTCCGTCATGAATCTGCTAATAAGTCCACTCCAACTCCGCGCAGGGCACCTACCGCCCACTCGGGGTACTTCGATTTATCACCTCCATAGATGTCGGAGAAGAACTTGCGAAGGAAAGCCGGGTATTGGTCATCCAAAATGGCCTGTCGGATTTTGCCCATCATGGTCAACATGTAATGAACATTATGGATGGTCAAACTGTAGAAGTATTAGAACCGAAACAAGATATTGCGATCAGCACAACTTACAGATGAGCGCCGACAGTCTCTTTGGCTGTGATGTGGTACATGTATGCTCGCGTGAGCCCGAGACCACCTTGGTCAGTGGGACGGCAGCAAATGCAGGTACAGCCCTCCTCAACTGGACCGAAGTCATTCGCGAACGATTTATGGCTTAATTTCAGGGTCCCGGACGAGACGATGGCATCACCGAAACGCTAGTTGACGTTAGTGCAAGAAGTAAACCGGAGGGCTTGTTGGGTCTTACCGCTGTCCGTGTCGGCCAAACACAGTCAAACATATCTGCACCGAGAGCCACAGCTACAACAATATCCTCGGGGTATCCCTTTTCTTCGTGATTAGTAAAGGCAGAAGAAACAAGTCAGTAAGACATACCACGCCCATAACATATCTGGGTTTATGTTCCGGGAGAATATCAGTGCATGTATCGACTCTTTGGGTTGTCAGTTCATCCGGTCTTTTTGGTGGGAATAGAGACACATACACTTTGCAGAACTCTTCCTTTGCCTCTCCGCCAGATAGACCTCCAATGGCGATTCCTGGAGTATCTCGTGCTACCATCTCTTCACAGCATTGTTTTCGCAATTCGAGATCCAGACCACCCTGGATGATACAGAAGAGGTTCTGTCGCTCGGGATATTTATGCTCCTCAATGCAACGATCTAGCCATCGCACAGAACGGTCCATAGCCTCCTTAATGCGAGCATGGTCTGGCGAAGTGGTTGCAATCACATCGTCTAATTGCATGATAATATCAGATCCGATAGAATTTTGGAGAGAAATGGAGTGTTCGGGAGTCAGTAACCTGGTAGAATAAATTAGCATTTCAGCTGTTCAGCTACACAGTTTACAGCGAAGCCACTTACATTGGCGAGCCATCGTGTGGGCTAAGGAATCGCACTCCTTCCTCTGTGACAGTCGCTAACTGAAGAAGCGACACCATCTGGAAACTTGGTAGCAACATATCCAGTTAGTAACATACTATCAATTCCTCAAAGGTAGTATTTCTCACCCCCCACTATCGGTCAAGAGATTCCGATCCCAGCCTTGCAACTTATGCGCTCCGCCCACTGCATCTAATACTGCCTGGCCGGGCTTTAGGCCTAAATGATATGTATTATTCAAGCACAGCATACATCCCGTTTCTCGCAGCTGGTCGTATGTCAGGCCCTTAAGAGATGCCTGTGTCGCGACAGGCATGAAGATCGGCAGAGGCACTGAGCCATGGGGTAGGTGGAGGGTGCTCGCGCGCGCCTTGGTTGTCTATTTATACCATAATACGCATCAGATATATGCTACATTAGGGTTTTGAGTGGCTATTATGCCACAATAACGTACCGAGCATTTGGCGTGGCGATCAAAGGTTAATGCGGAAGGCATAGATTTGCGGGTCGGAGCAGTGGTTGAAATTTTTGCGATTGGTATAAATACAGTCGAATAGAATGTTCTAGCAGGACGCCTGGCTAGCAGACGGTGGCATAGCATAGAGAGAGGGGTGATTTAAGTGTTTGCGATGCGATCAGGAACACTTTTATCTGATAAGCTGTTTGTCTGGTTTGCATCCTCTATTTTTCTTATACAACACGCGCTCTACGCAAAATATACATTTTAGACGTCTTTGAACTTATTTATGTATAGAAATTCCTTCAATGCTCTATTATTGCAACGTTGGAGATATTTTTGACTTGAGGCTCAACAATCCCACTAGTGAATGTTGTTCCCGGACAAAAACTACATGGCCCATAACCTACACACCACTCATAAACTACAATTTACCTGCAAAAAAATTATTCAATACTTGAGATGCTAATGATAGTCTTGTTTCTCGCTATCGATGCTTCTTGTGTTGGCTTCTTTCGAACTAGGCCCTAGCTATGACTACGATATGGAGACCCGGGGAAACCCCAATTCAGGTGAAATAAGATACGATAATCAAATACCACCTAAATATGAAGTATTGTTTTATACCAAAGATCCAACAGTGCAAACTCTTAAATCCCGGAAAAAGGAAATCCCCAATACTCCAATGCCGTCGGAAGAATGCCGAGTCGCCCTAGTGCGGGGGACAAAAGCCCGGGGAAGCTAAATCACACGGGGGGAAAAAACAAAGCGAAAAAAAAAAAAAACATTGCGGTCAATTCTATTTTCTCTCCCTAACACACCCTTCTGTGTGCTTGGGAAACATCTTGTCAATATGACTGAAAAATACATGCAAGAGGTTGAGATAGATTCAGAGGTATCTTTTTCTCTCTCCCCCTTGTTATAGAACTTACTGGTATTGTGGTGTGCGAGGTGAAGACTGACTTGTAGTGCAGCTTGCCAGCCCAGATGTTGTCGACGATGCTCTTAACGCACGTGAAAAGGCCTTAGTCTGGAAACAAGACCTACGCATTATTCCCTTGTGCGCTGCAATTTACCTACTTTGTTATCTCGATCGCTCTAATATCGGTATGTCTTCAGCCCCCAATGTCGGATAGACTTGAAGCTAACATAGCTAGGCAATGCCAAAATTTTGAATGCGGATACTCACAATGATCTTCTCTCTGAGACTAATATGACTTCATATCAATACACGTGAGTCGCAAATATTAATTAACCCCAAGAATTGTGCTGACATGCAAAAGGATTGCACTCATGGTATTCCTAATCGCATATGCACTGTTCGAAGTCCCATCAAACTATTTCCTGAAGAAGCTCCGCCCAAGTGTACGTCTAAACCTGTGTAAATACATCACACATTCCTAATTATTACAATTCCACTAACAAACACCAGCGCTGGATCGCCTTCCTCATGATCTCATGGGGCGCAACAACAATGGGTCTCGGTGGTGCACACAACTACGCCCAAGTCACAGGACTCCGATTCCTTCTCGGCGTAATGGAAGCTGGCCTCTTCCCTGGCTTTGTATACTACCTTACATTCTGGTACCGCAATTCAGAGCGATCGATCCGTGTAGCTCTGATTCTTGCCTCGGCAACACTCGCTGGAGCATTTGGTGGTGCTATTGCCTTTGCTGTAGGCCATATGAATGGCGCTCATGGTCTTTCTGCTTGGAGGTGGCTATTTATTATTGAGGGGGCCCCATCGTGCGCATCTGCTGTGTTAGTCTGGTTCTTGTTGCCTGATTACCCAGAAACTGCCAGTTGGCTTACTGCCGAGGAGAAGGAACTTGCTGCGCAGAGATTGAGTCTGGAAGGATCTAAGGGTTCTGACCATGCTATGTCTTGGGAGGATGCTAAGGCCACGCTAACGGATTGGAGATTGTATGCTCATTATGCGGTATGTTTTTTGTGCGTCTTTTTACCCTATCCATTTCTGAAAGCTCATTAGTCAAAAGGTATACTTCGGCATCTCAGTGCCATTCTCGAGTCTTTCTCTTTTCACACCTGCCATTACTGCGGGTTTGGGATACTCTGACCTCCGCGCTCAGCTGATGACCGTGCCTCCATACGCGGTTGCCTATGTCGTGACTATAACTGTGGCCTGGTCTGCGGACTACTTCAACAGGTAAATTGTTCTCTATTTCGAAATACCCTAAATCGCTAACCTGAAACCATTATTCTCAGCCGTGGTCTTCATTCGGCTATATTTTCTTTCGTTGGAGCAATTGGCTTTCTTGCCTCCGCAGTTCTACCCGCTAGTGCATATCTAGTAAGTCAGCCAATCATCCTAGTCGAGCCCTAATTCAATAAACTGACCTAAACGCCAGAGCCGCTACGGATGCCTTATTGTCGCAGCCAGCGGAGCTTTCGCCTGCATCCCACCTCTACTAGGATGGTTATCCTCCAACATCAACTCAACAGCCGGCGCAGGGCTCGCAATCGCACTTAACATCTCGTTTGGTGCCCCAGGCCAGATTGTTGGTGTTTGGATCTACAAAAGCAACGAAGCAAAGGCTGGCTATCCAACCGGTCATTGGACAAATGCAGCATTGCTTTTCTTTGTGGCAGCCGGCTGCATTCTATTGAGGCTCTACTACGGGTGGCGGAATCGCCGTGGAGATGGGGCAAGAGATGGAAAGAGTTTCGCATATTAGATTGGTAGGGCCGGGGATTGTGGAGAAAGTTGATAGGATTCGGTTTACGAGCTGCAGAGTATACATGTCATGTCGTATACGAAGTCGTGACTGCATGCAGCTGAGTCAATAAATAGACACCTGGAATAATTAATTATAATGGCAAATTATGAATTCTCAATATTTTTACGGAGTACGGATAGTAAAATTATAACCCAGCTCCGCTATATAATGTGCAGAGTAAAGTACAAGGTTTGGATTATATTTGTCCATGTCGACTGAGTCTCTAATATCCCCTTATTTGGATTTACAAATTCAAATTATGTTCCAGATCCGCATCAACCCTATATTAAATATATTCAGTCAATAATCATCACAGCCATTTAGTCAATGAAACAGAATCCATGACCTCCTCTCAACCCCGGATCTAACACCCGCCGCCACCACCTCCTCCTCCATCTCCACTCGCTCCTGCGGATATGATCGCTGGGGTAGCAGTGCTTTTGTGTGCGCGGCGCTTATTTTTCTTCTTATATGCTTCGTGGTCCTTGTCATATGTGTATTGGCTGTAGGCGTCATGGCCATAGTATACGCGTCGAGGGGGTGGAGAGTCATATGACTCTCTGCGCGATGAACCGAAACACATCGTGATATTTGGGTGGAAGCGATCTGTTTGGAGTGAGGCAGATAGCAATTTTATGATCTTTGGATCTTGGATATTTTAGAGGTAGAAGTGCTTGGTTTGAGGTAAGTGGTAGTTATATTGGCTATGGTTATGGAATAACTAATTACATATATATAGTATTCCGACATCAAACTTGGTTTCTGCCTGGTTTTGAAAAGATTTTGCATCTTAGGCAACTTGATTTTCCCTTGCTATCGAATAACGTCAACCGCCATAGCCACCGCCCGATCACCGCCCGAACAAGGCTGAGTATCACGATGGCCGCCTGTATTGTACAATATACTTTGTATGGCGGATCGACATTTTGCATCGGAAAAACACCATATCAAGCAGCGGTCTTGGCGATCACTGTTTAGGGCGAGGATTTGTATAATCTAATATGTACCTTTTTAGGTGGCTCTATATCAAGCATTAGTGTTAGCCCTAATTATTAGGAAGATCTATTTGACTTGTTTTATATAGTCAAGTCCACGGGTTTAACTTCAGATGGGTCAAAATAGACTAGAGTTTTTGTTGATTATTAGAGTTCAGCGTTCCATGGTTCAGTCCAAGGTAACCTTGGAACATTCAACGTCAAGAGTCTACGTACTTTTGTCGAAGGAATGCTTTTCTAAGCCATCCATATTAATAATCCTTTTTTAATTAAATACATATATGATTTATCCCACCCAGTAAACATCGGTCACTTGAAATGCTGCCCAACTCGGCCGCTATGCATCGGAAATTAATGTTTGGCTAGACACATGGCCAACGCTGTGCTACCCGCGGATGTGTAATTTCGGGCGGGGGGGCCAATGCGGCAAGAACCCGCGATGATCAACAGTACCTCAAACGAGAGTAAGCATGTACAACATACGACACCCTTCTGGAGAAAAGACTGAGTCTGTTCCAGCTGGTGGCCCTACTGGTCATTAGTAAAAATCAAGAGGAAGACACAATGCATAAAATCACTGTCGATAGATATTCCGTCATCGTATAATAAGAAACAAAAGAGAACAATCTGATAGAAACCAAACCCCGGCCATTACAGTCCCAAGCCTAGTACCATCCATATATGATACCAACGTAATAGATAACCCCGGTCCAGTTCCGGGTCCGAACTTCGAAAATCCAGTAGAGCCCAACAAAAGACAACAGACAGCAAAGAAACATCCTTTGTCAGGCGCATACACCCGGTCTGAACCAAGGAAAAATAAAACAAAGCAAAGCATATCGAATAAGCAGACAGAACATAAATCAAAATCAAAACCAAATTCTAGACAAGTAGGTGCCTGGAAAATGAAGAAGTATTTGTCCCATTTTAATCCTGTAACTCCACCTCGTAACCTTTTTGTCCCAAGTTGCTTCATCCCCAAATTTGCCATGTCGCAACGCGCTTGAATTTAGAACGAGTCGATTTGCATCCGCGGTGGCACAGACACGCACACATTCATACATAGCCCCAAGGGGTATCATCTGTTCGAAATGCCACCTTGGGCTTTCCGAAAATGCCACAAAGTAGAATTGCCATCCGAACTGTGCAGCAGGGAGTAGCGATTGAAGATTGTCCTGGGTACGACATCGAACCCGCTCGAACATGACAAGTCATATGTTCTCGAAGGGACAAGCAGCAGTCACTTGACACGATGCATGAGACCCGAGCCCCTCGCCTCTCGTTAAGTGGCAGTAAGCACCTGGCCCAATTCCAGGTTTTGTCTCAAGGCAGACAGCACAGCAAGAGGAGAGACAAATGAAAAGCCGAAGACGACCTGTATGAAGCCCAATCGGGAGGAAACCGAAACAATAATTGTTCGCAGAAAAACGTATGTGGGATGTTTCTCTAAAAGAATACATATATGCACTCCCAGAAGACACGTATGTGGAGACATCGAGAGCCAAAGAAAGTTTGATTCGCGGTGCATCACGCGAGGCCTGACGACATCCAGACACCGTATCATGTACTTGAGCCGTCGGGATCTGGGGTGTGGTGTGTCACGACTCGTACTAAGGTTTCACAAACGCGAAACAAGGTAGTGACCTGCATTTGGAAGTGGTCATCCGGGGCAGGGAGGTGAATGCATTTTTCTTTTCCAAAGATTATTTGTTCATCTTTCTGGTTCCAGAAACCACCCCACCAGAGCCCATGACATAGACTCTGCACTGTAACCAGCCATTGTGAGTGGGCCTTGCGGAAACTGGGAAGATATAGCGTCGATGGATAATGCATGCATCAGCGGGACTCGGGGGGAAAAATGGCGTCGAGACGAGAAAGAGAGAGGAGAGGAGTGCGGTGAAGGGGACATGTTTTTTTCCTGCAGCAAAGAACGCAAGTGAGAGAGCAAAGTGACAACAAAGGTATGCATCGGATAGGACTTGTGGATCCCCGAGGTTCCTTCACAGCAGGTGGAAAACAAACCAGAACACCCACGCAGACCAAGAATTGAAAAGCAACAGAGTTCAAGACCAATATAAGAATCAAGAACCAAGAAATTTGATAAAAACACAAGAAGTGAAGAGAATGCCACCCAAGACTAGGAAATATTGGAAATAAGGAATACGATCAGAAACCGCCAGCTCCGCGACCATAGCCGGAAGTTGCCTGCGGGAATAGCTGACCCTGATAGACCGTAGCAGCCCGAGGCTGCTGATTCAGGGTCTTGAGGGCAACCTCGGCAGCGTCCTCTTTGGCATTGTTGATAAACTGACCGTCGTACCAGTAACGAGCGGCGATATTCTGACCCTGAACGGTGACGGTGCTGGACCAAGCAGTACGACCTCCTGCAATTCCAAGATAAATATAATTAGCTTTCTGCTGTCAAAGTCTCGGGAACTAAAAGTCGGTGTACAAGTGAAGGGGGGCCAATTTTCTCTGTCTTTTTTTTCTGCAAGACTCCACTCCTTCCTGCAATGTCCACACACGAGACACACAACGGTGGATAGAGGCACGCTGTGAATGTATGTATTGGACCGGGTAATAAGAGGGAAAATAAAATAATCTGGTTATGGGGCATAGGAAGACGACGGATGGAGACTTATGGAGACTGATGGGGGAGGAGGATTGGAAATCGGGTAAGTACCTCGCCGATCGGAGACAATGTTGAAGACAGGAGGAGACAGCTTGGTGCGTGTGCAATGATCTGAAGATTGATTAGTCGGATATTCTTGTCACTTGGAAGGAGTTTGGGACTGCTGATGTTTGCCCATGCATCCCAATGGCTTACCTTGAAGCTGATCCTGCCAGCTGGGTCGGTTGCCAGCACTACTTCCTTGGGGACTGGTAGTATACGACATTGTTGCTTCGTAGGGAGATGGTATAGCGGATAGGAGACCTGCTAACGTTTGCAATTGAAGTGGTAGTGAGATTGAAGGTGGGGATGAGTAGTGTTAATAACCCAATTGATGAGAGAAAAAAGAAGTCAAGCTTCAAAGGGGGGAAACCACAAGATATAAAAGAAACAACAGAATCAGATGAACTCAATTGGACCCGTTTAGAATCTCTAGAGATCTTCTTAAATTGTATTTTTTTTTTTTCTCAATGACCTTCAAACGGAGACAACATGGGGAGCGGGGAGTCATATAAACAGTGGGCCATATCTTCAAGGCCATGAAAAAGCACGTTGTTTTTCGGTCTCTTCTTTTTTTTGTATTTTCTTTTAATGTTTTCGGTATTTCTTTTTTCTTTTTTTTTTTCTAATCCTTTTTTTTAAAAAAAATCTTTTCCCCCTGGGAACAAACAGGAGCCTAACCGTCAAACCTAACGGAGGGGCTTATGCATGTCGATGTGGACATGGCACAGCGTCAGCCAAATACCCCCCTCCCTTATCCAGTCAAGGAACGTAGGCGTAGGAATAGTATGCGGATCATTTTGAGGCTGCAACCTGGAACGGCCCGGCGCACGCCGACTAAGCAAAAAACAGCCCTTGAAGAAACGCTAGACAGCAAGTAAGGGTTATGGAAGAGGGGCAAAGCCCGGATATTCCCATAGTTCCCACTCTATGGAGATATTTGCTACTCCTAGGATCCAGAATAACACCTTTTTCCCGTTAGACTCGGATTGGATGGGAAAAGTGAACAACTCAGAGAACCCCACGTCGGGTTTTTCTTTTCTTTTTGGATTTGCATGCGGTTTTCAGTTTGGTATTTTTCCTTTTTTTTAAAAAAAAATCTTCTTTTTTGGCTCTCTCGCCTCACTTGAGTAGTACTTTAGGGCAAAATGAAAAATGAAAAAAAAAACCCCCATTATCATCTCCCGAGATTAGTTTGTGCATAGACTTGAACCGTATCGGCGGAACGGCGGGCTTCTGGAACAACCATGAGGGACTGCATGAGGGGTAGTAAGCTGTGGGTGATCTCTGCCCAAAAAGCGGAGCCTATGGCCACAGGTCAGTGTCATAGCTTTTATTGTTTAATTGTTATTCGGGTCTAGGAGGATGAGGATGCCCGAAATGTAGATTCAACCAAGTTGGGCCGCATTAGAAATGGTTGCCAGCTCATCATGATGGATGAGATCATGATTATTTTGGAGAAGTCAACTTTTATCCATTGACTCGGAAAGAACTTGCTGGGCACCTTCAAATCCACAAACCGGGCCGCCCTGCATGAACAGTTGTTGTCGGGCCCAGGATCAACCTGGAGAAGAAAAAAAAAAAAGGGACAAAGCGATGGAATGAGGCGAGATGGGCGGCATTTCCGCCGGAGAAAACGTCAGTAATCCGTCAGGAGGGCATGTGTTGCAGAGATCTCCAACAAAGATACGGCCAAGAACCCCCTGGTTCATTTTTCACGTTATCGGCTAGTCCCGTCGGGTTAACCGCCTGATGTGCAGACCCATAGAAGGAAATTCATCGGCATTTCATGTTCAAAAAAGAATTCGAGTCTGTGAATCTCCCAGTCTGAGCGAATAGATGTTCGCTTCGTCAGAGAAGTGTTGGGCATTCATGCAGAGTCGACAATATCCTCAACCATGGTTCTCAGTAATGCGGCTACATTGATGCACGAAACACGTAGAGAAACAGCCGATGGTCGACAGGGGACTAGGCCAGCACATTGTAGGGCGTCTAAAATATAAAAAATGAAAAAATGAAATGAAATGAAAAAAGAAATGAGGGGCTTGCCCCGCACCCAATCTTGATCTGTTGAAGTACATCTATACATGTATGCTGCGCAGTAGACTACATAAGTACCACGTACAATGTTGGTACCTACAGTAGTAGACAAAGTAGACTATTATACTAGCATGAACATACAGTATTCTTATTCCATAAGGCAGCAAGGCCAGTGTTTGGGCTGTCGCGCTAAAAAAAAAAAGATTCATTCAGAGCCAATCGATCATAAGCCCTAAGTATAAGTGACAGTTCTTTATATAGTATAGTTTAATTTCTATTCACAAGAATAATCCTCATCCTTTAATATATGCAGGATATGCATTCGTATCAGGTCAATAGGTCAGTAAAGCACGAGGCGTCTAGCTCGAGTATCGAACCATGGTTCGCAGAATAGACTAAAACCCTCACTAGCACCAAAATAGAAATAGTTCAGCTTTTCAACCAATTTCAAGCAGTCAGATTCTACCCGACATGCAACAACTGGACAATCTTGGGATGTGAGATGAAATTGTAACCGGTTTTGTAATTTGGAAATGCCCAAATCCTGCCATTCCTTGTCAAATCTGCATTAGATGATCGCCCGGAATTAGGCTCGACTCCCCAGTGTTCTGTTAAACTGGGATGCTTTGTATCAAAGAGGCTAAACAAGGATGAGGAAAGATGAAGGATGAAAGATGAAGGATCCAAAATAAAAATAAAAATAAAATAACAATAGGATTCATGGCAAGCATCATTCAGAAGCTAAACAAGAACGAAATATTCATCACCTGCGTCATTCACATCATTAATTCATTAAGTCAAATCCCGTGTTCCATAAATATCCTAGGTAATGACCAACTCATCCATTTAGTATCAATATAAACGATCCTTGGCTAGTCTTGGACCCAATAACCCCTGTGTCGCTTAGGCGGATCCCCTCCGCTGAAGTACCTGGCCGATCAGGCGCCGGGGGCCCATGCGCTCCAGGCTCTTTACTAGTGAGTATTGAGCTGGCAGGATCCAAGACGGACGCTCCTGATGCCAGCGACGACGAATGCAGTCGTCAACTAGCGCAACTATCCCTGTTGCAACAATCACACTGAAAAGAAAAAGGAATTCATCAGCCTCATGCCTCATAATCTCGAGCAGGGGTATCCATAGTGCATTGCGCATGGCGGATGCGTTGGTACATTGTACACGAACCACACACCCCCTCATACGAACCGCAGAAAAAGAAAAGAGAGACAAAAAAAGAGGGGAAAGATAAATCAAAACCAAAAAAATTAGAATGAAGACCAGATCCAGAACCAGAACTAGCCGGATGGTTGAGGGGTAAGGCAGGGATTCAGGACTTACTCGGCAACATCAGGCATCGTCTTGTAAACTCCAGGATCACTGATCCACAATGAACAAGGCGGCACCCAACCCCCCTTACTCTCTTCTTCGACAACCTCTAGCGGTGCTAGCGTATCCGGTACTAAATGAGCAATAGTCTTGGAAGTGCGCGTGTCAACCAAGAAATAAGACACTTCATGCAGATCACCCTCTTTGCGGACCTCTCTCCTCCACTGATACTTCGTGGACCAATACTCGAACTCGTATTTTTTAGTCGAGCCGGGCCCTTTCCGGCGCAGCTCAACATGCGCGTAATTCGAGAATTCGAGCAAAATCGTCTCACCCAGGATCGGCAGAGCAAACTGTCCTTCCTTCTCCAACTCATTCTCTTCAGTCGTCTCTTTATCTGCCTCTTCCCGTGCATCATGACCATGTCCATGTCCATGTGCGCAGCCAGCCCCATGCCCTGAATTCTGTCTCTCGAGCTCCTCATTTGGTGGACAATGCCCACCCGCTGAACCAGGCCTAAGCCCAGCAAAAACACTACTCCACGAGGTTCGCAGCGCAGGCCTTCGCTCACGAGCAGGTACAACCTCCCGCCTTGCAGAATGGCACACCTCGCGCCCCGAGTCCCGGCAGTACCGCCTGAGTGAGAACTTTCGCGAGAAGAGGTCGTACATGCGCAGGTGGAAGAGGATGACATCGCGCTGGGAGCCGTCACGGAGGTGGACGGGCGTGTCGACGCGCAGGTTCATATTGCCGTCAATGGTTGCATCATCGTGGCGAATGAGTAGCCGCCGCGACGAGGGGAAGAGGGGCGCAAATGATGAAGGTGTTGAGGGGATTGCATCTAATGGGTAGAATTCTTGCCGCTCGTTTACGCAGTAGCGGCCTTCATGGAAGCTTGCGGGTTCAGTTGGTTGAGGCTCCGGGTCAAGCTCGGCTATGGAGTCTGTTGTTGAGGCATAAGTCGAGGTTGAGGAGCGGGGCAGTAGCTCGCAGCATTCGTACTTGACTTGGGCCTCGGTTTCAGGTCTGTATGTATGTTTGTGGGTCGGGTTGGTGGGCCAGTCACTTTTGTGCGGTTGAGGAGCTATTCTGTGACTGTGGATTGTTGCTGCCGTGCTTTTTGATGATGAGCTATCTGTTGAGCTGTAGCTGTCGGCTTGACAGGATTTATAGGAGCCCATGGCGATAGAGGCTGATTGGGGTTATATTTGTTGTATATGTATATGTTCCACCGATCTACAGTGGGGTTGAAGAGTAGATGAAGTGGATATAAGACAGAAGTAAGATCAAAATCAGCCGTAAGTAAGCCGCAGGTGGTGTGGTTGACCAAATAAGGTATATCAGAGTAAAAGCGATCACGGGTGTTTGGACCTGTGGATAGTCCGGTTGATTCCGCAAGGAGGGGTCAAATTCTCACACAGGATAACACAAGGAAGACTCCAGGATTAGAGGAAATATAATCATATGATTGAGAGTAAAAGAGGACAAAAGGGCAGGGGTGGGGGATTTCCTGTTTGAGAAATGAAACAAAAAAGGGGGAGAATGAATGAAAAGCAAAAAAAAAAAAGAAGGAAATGAGAATGTGAAAAACCGGGCTGTCACAATGTGGGAAGTATTTAGAACATTGAGGGGGAAAAAATATGGAGGATTAACTTGGGTACCCGACCTCTTTGTTATTACTGTTGCACCTAATTATCTTAGGCTGTGGCACAAAAGGGCATGAGAAGCCTCATAAATCTACCTATAAGGGATAATAGAACTGCATGCGCTGGTCCCCAGAATCAGGGCGAAGATTATGTTTCATCTTTCATTGGTTTTTGCTTTTTCTTTCCTAACACGAGAAACCAGTCAGATTGCGGGGGGGGGAGACATTGAATTGGCCTGGACACGAGATTCCGGGCTCAGACCTTTTAAGGTCCAAGCACTTGAAATGTTCTCTATAATATCATATCATATATGTATACATTCCTTCCGAGGTTTATAGACGTCATGAGAACCTTGGAAACCGTGGACCCCCCACGGTCCGTTCCGATTGTGTGGTGGAGCCGAGATTGTATAGAACACATCATGCCATATCGAATTTCGGAGTGATTATCCTCTTTTTCTAACAGTATCTACCTAGGTACCATGGCATGATGACATGTGCACAGACTGGGATGAACATAGAAGATTCTATGATCCCTTTCGAATTCTTCACTCCGATCACACAAATATGATACAATCATGATCCCCACTAACCATACTTGCGTTGACAATTGATCTACATTACATCATTACTATGAGAAAGCATCCCTTGGCCGAAATTGCGACCGAAAAGAAGAATATGTCCAATAAAATCTATATATGACTCCGTAGCCGAGAGTCTGCGTCCGGGTTCGTGCCGAGATGATTACAATATCCATGAACTGCCCGGGTGAATAGGAACCGAAAACAAATGTCCAATCTGGATGAAGAGAAAGAAGAAGTGACGCAGCAGTCTACACCTGCGCATAGAGAGGTCGAGGAAGCTCCTCACCAGGCTTGATCAAGGCCTCTGAATCGGAAGCTAGGTGGGAAACGAGTCCAGTATGACTCCCCGGGACTGGGGCTCGGAAACCCACATAGGCTTCTCGTCGGTCTTCTACTGTGACAGACCAAGTGTGTAATCCATAGTAGGATGCAATGGAGTGGACCAACCAGCGACTGGGAAGTGTCAGCGGACTGGCCAATTTTGATATTACGGTGGGGACAGGCTTGAAACATACCCGAATCCAGCGGCACGATCATCAGCTAGAGTCTCGAGAACCATTTTCTCACCCTCTCGCTCGCTGTGAGAGCTGATCTCCTCTCGGAGCAGGCGAAGTCTCTCCTTTCGCTCGGGAGAGTCGTGCATCTGCCCATTACGACCGACGAATACAATCTCATCCTCCGAGTCATCACTCAAGTTCTCGGGAGCATCCCGCAACCCCTCTGTCTCAAGCAGAAGCTCCCTCTCATTCCACTTCTGAATAAACGTACGGACCTCATCTTCCAGATCTCGGAGCATGCCATGCGCAGCACGTGCATGCTTTAGCTTTAACCTTAATTCTTTCGGGATGTGATGCTTCTGGTTAGCTCTCTCAGAAGCCTTCGCGGCGGACTGTTGATCTACTACATGGGAGTAGTGAACGTCCCACAAAGGCGCAAGATAGTAAGGCATCGGATCATGCCGAGGATAAGTGGGCTGTATATCCCAGTCCTTTGAAGACGGCGGTTCCGCCCAGGGGTTGTGCAACAGACGATCTTAGTGTCTGGTTAGCATTTGCCTGCTAAACCTGCGCCAAAGCCAAAAAAGGTACAAAGTCGGTATTCATCGTGACCTAGTGCATATACGTACCGTTCTCCCAGCGCTGTCTTCGACGACTGCCATCTTTACCCTTGAGAAGAGCCTCCCGGGTCTTCAGCCCATCCCGGCGCAGAGGCTCCCGACGTCGGAAGCTGACTGTTGGGGGGCGGGACTCGACTTTGACTCGTTGGGATGGGATCGCTTCGTCGTCGAGAGGGATCGACAGGGAAACGGTCGCTCCACGCAGACCAGAGCGCGTCGAGGTCGGTGTGGACGGCATCCTCGCTGCAGGGGCTGAGTCCGATAGGGTCAATTCCTGCAGGGACGCTGCATGTTGCTCTGTCCATGCAGATATGGCTAGGGCTTGTTGCGGCGATAGGTGCCCTTGGGAGCCCTCTGGGCGCATGCGAGGATGAATAGCCATAATGTATCCAAAGACAAAGGCGATAGTTCTAGGGGGAGAGGGATAAGGATATAGGAAAGGGCAAGATAAGGAGAGATATGGATGTCTGCACGGGACAACTCACTGGACTCTGATTGGTGGAAAGTGGGTACCTAATAACCCTAGCCCTAATTTCCTATTTAAGATAAAAGGATTGAGAAAAGCCCAGTGGAGCAAAATATTGAGGCTGTATAGACTAGCTCCTATCCAGGGTGTGTATGTTAAAGTGATCGTCTATATGAGCCTCTCCGCAAGGCTGTGAGTCATGGCGCAGTCCGAAGTGGAGTTTCTCTTTCATCTCCATTCTCCACCTTTGATCCCCAGATGTCTTTGTCTCTACAGTGAGTAGGGCTTGCTGTATATTGAACATGCTACTCCGTATATAATTTTATAATATGCAGAGATTCAATAGTAGGGATTAGGTATAAAAATGTTTCGGATAGCCCGGAAAGTCTCAGGCACCCATCCTAATAATAATATGATACAGAGAGAGCCTCGGCGTTTTAGCGCGCGGGGTCCAAAAATGGCTTGGCACAGGGCGCGTGATACCTTTTAAAAGAAACCTGAGACCCTCTCTCTCTCTTTTTAAAATCCTTAAACTTATTCTTCTTTATCATTATTTTTATCATGAAGTTCCTCACTCTTGCGCTGAGCGCAACGGCAACTGCCATGGCTATGGTCAACCCAGAGCAACAACCTTTAGCGCCTTCAATTGTTCAAAACCCTCAGTCCAAGTCTCTGATTGAACTAGCACCATACCGGACCCGATGGGTAACAGAAGAAGAAAAATGGTCGCTCAAACTGGTAAGATTTACAGACTCAAATTAAATGACATAGTACTAATGCCTACACCAGGATGGAGTGAACTTCATCGATGTCACCGAGGAATACCAATCAGGCTCCTACGGAGCCCTCCACACCACACGGGTTGTCCAGTACCCAGGGACGATGGAGCATTCACACGAGATTCTACCATTGACCGAAACTCTCGATAAGAGTAATATGAGAAGCAACCTAGAACACTTCACATCCTTCCACACGCGTTACTACAAGTCGCAAACGGGAATCGAGTCAGCAACCTGGCTATTCGATCAAGTGACCGCCGCAGTGCATGAGTCCGGTGCTAGCGACTACGGTGCAACCGTCGAGCGCTTCGCCCATCCCTGGGGTCAGTTCAGCATTATCGCCCGCATTCCCGGCCAGACGGATAATACCATCGTCCTCGGGTCCCACCAGGACAGCATCAACCTGTTCCTGCCTTCGATTTTGGCTGCTCCGGGTGCGGATGATGACGGCAGTGGAACAGTTACTATTCTCGAGGCTCTTCGCGCCCTGCTGCGGTCGGAGACTATCGCCCACGGAAAGGCCCGTAACACCATCGAGTTCCACTGGTACTCTGCCGAGGAGGGTGGTTTGCTTGGATCGCAGGCTGTCTATGCTAAGTATAAGAAGGACCAGCGGAACGTCAAGGCCATGCTTCAGCAGGACATGACTGGGTATGTTCAGGGTACCCTGGATGCTGGTGAGAAGGAGTCTGTCGGTGTTATTGTCGACTTCGTCGATCCGGGCCTTACCGCCTTCATTAAGGAGGTCATCACTACCTACTGCGATGTGCCTTATGTCGAGACCAAGTGTGGCTATGCATGCTCTGATCATGCTTCTGCTAGTCGATACGGATATCCCTCGGCATTTGTGATCGAGTCTCTGTTTGAGAACTCCGATAAAAGAATCCACACCACCGAGGACAAGATCGAGTATTTGAGCTTCGATCATATGCTGCAGCATGCTAAGATGAGCTTGGCTTTTGCTTACGAGCTGGCTTTTGCTCCGTTCTGATTTTGTCTTGGTTTACATGATGGTTCGGCGTTTTATGTGATATACCTCTGAGCTGGGTTCTCTCGTTAAAGAGTAAATTGAGGTTCAACCCGATGCTGTTCTTATTTTGGTCTTGAGGGCTTATACCATACGTACCCTCAATTGAATAATTATGAATTGTTATACTTTTTATCTTATAATCTAAAATCATTCTTTTTACTTCAGTAATTTAAGCACACAAACCTTACTAGATAGACTCTAACCTGAGTACTACTGTGTAATCAGGGGCCATGTGAATTGTAGTCGAAATACAGGCCACCGACTAGAATTAGTATAGCCGCCAAGCTTAGCTTCTCCTTTGACCTTATCCCCTCACCAAATGGCAAATAGCACGCGATTCTTCGTCAATTGGCATAGTCCACGGCTGGCTAACGGCTCCCGACCCGGCATTTCTCCACCTTCGGGCGATGCACCCGAGTGTTCCCCTCATAAAAGCAGTGAGCAATGCGGGAAACTTTCCCCTCATTAGGATAAAGCACGCGTTCCAAGGTTGTCAACATATCTCCGGGATGCTTCCGAGGTGAAACTTAGTATAATGGTATATATATAAGTTAGCGAATAATTCATTCCTGAATATGTGCCAGTTCTGTTCATATCTATAAAGCATAGCAACAGTGAGTTACTCCTTATGAAATCCTGACCAAATGATTCAGATTGATACTGAAGCCATGGAAAGTGTCTAGCAACATCGTCCCCCTTACCGTCATCAAAGGCGCCGGCCATGAGTTTATACCTCTCCCCAAGGGCGAGAACGCAACCACTGCCGACTTCCACTCTATCCGCACCAAGACTGAATCCCCTGCACACTTCACTTCGGGATTCTACAAAATAGAGGCTGGGCCTGAAAGACCCGCGAGCTACAATTTTGAGGAGACAAAATATGTCCTCAATGGCCAAATTGATGTTTTGGTACGTCTTTTTTTCTATATTGAAAGTTACTTTATATTGACCGCTATGTTTTCCAATAGGACGAGGCTACCGGGATCACCCATCACCTAGTCCAGGGAGACTTTGCTTTTTTCCATGTTGGATCTAAGGTCAAGGTTTGTCATAACCCTCTCCTACCTCGTATGCGAGATATTAGCTGTCGATTAGCTCTAATTTCACCTCCGTCTAGTTCTCGACTAAGTCTCAAGGCCTTGCCTTCTATGCTGTTACTCGACCTATTCGATCCCCTCACCCTAATCTTAAAGATCGAGAGGAGGGCAAGGCTAGATTGTAAGGAGTCGATCTTGATAAAAACTCCTAAGGCTATAGATGGTGATACTTGTGATCTCAACTTTGATCATATTTTCTTGCCATGTATATCATAAAGAACTGGCGGAAATGTTGGTTATTTTTATTCCGATCGGGTAATCTTGGAGTAAACAAAATTTCATCATTCCATTATTCTCTGATTCCTTTGCTTATACGCTGTGGCCTTTACTAAGATATTAACCCAATATACTTATATTGATTATCTTCCACAAAAAAACCCCCATGTAGTAGATTTGAAACCGTTATATAGCAATAGTATAAGGAGAGTAATGTGAAAAGAAAAGAAAGGTCTATTCTAATTTTGTGCCTCGTTGATCCAGTATAGGGCTAGATTCAGATATGACGTAGTGATACTCACCGGTGTTTCGCACGTGATGCCCCTCAAGTCCAAAAACTAAACTCACCGTTTTCGTTGTCGTTTTGAATTGTCATTACTATATCCGGTTAAGGCAATATCCCTACTCGGGATCAATTATCCCAAACCCTCCACTTAAACCACCACTCAAACCGCCCACCATGACCTCCTCGGCCCCCTACGCCAAAGAGCTCCAGCTTGCCAGCCTAGCCGTGCAACGAGCAGCAATCTTAACAAAAGAGCTTCTGTCTGCCGTAGATAAAGGCGCCCTTGATAAAAGCGACTCCTCGCCCGTAACAATTGCGGACTTCGCCGCCCAAGCCTCAATAATCGCCGCCATCCACAACGTCTTTCCCGACGACGATATTGTCGGCGAAGAAGATGCCACAGCCCTCCGCTCAAACCCAGACCTCCTCGCAAGAACCTGGGACCTAGCAACTAGCATTCACCTCAACGACCCAGAAAGCGAAGCGCTCCTCCATACCCCGCGCACCCCCTCCGAACTCCTCGACCTAATCGACCTCGGCGCGAAAGGCGCTTGCACTTCCACCAGCAGAACCTGGACTCTTGACCCTGTAGACGGAACAGCTACCTTCATCCGCGGCGAGCAGTACGCCGTCTGCCTCTCGCTAGTCGAAAATGGGATCCAGAAAGTCGGCGTCCTCGGCTGTCCCAACCTCCTGGAGTCAGGACCCGTCGCTGAACACCGCGTCGACCGCAATGGACTGGGTCAGATGATCTCAGCAGTTGCCGGGCAGGGCGCTACAATCAGGCCTATGGGTCTGGGTGCTTTGTTGCCGGCACGCCCGCTTGAACAGGTCCCGCAGATTGGGGAATCCGACGTGCGGTTCATTGATACGCGTGCGGCAAAGACGCAGGATCTCGAAGCCCATGCCCGTGTGGCGGCGAGTCTTGGCTGTCCGTGGCCGAATCCGGTGGACCTGTGGTCGGCGCAGATGCGTTACGTTGCTATTGCCGTGCAGGGAGGGTGTAATGCTTTCGTCAAGGTGCCATTAAGTCCTGAGTATCGTTCGAAGATATGGGATCATGCAGGTGGCATGCTTATTGTGCAGGAATTGGGTTGTCTTGTTACGGATCTTGAGGGGAGACCAGTTGATTGTGCGCTGGGTCGTACTTTGGCTGGGTGTCATGGTATGGTTGTTGGGCCGGCTTCGGTTCATGGGAGGATTTTGGAGGCTGTGAAGGAGGCGCGGGGATTGTAAGTTTTTTTTTTTCTTTTCTTTTATATATGTGTTTTGCATGGTTTTGATACCCTGGATAATCATATTATTGGCATGCTACATATGTTGGTAGCATGTATATCGTGTATAAATGTAGCTACCGGCATGAGGCTTGAGCACTGGCCTCTTTCCCCGCGTCACATTCTCAAGTATTCCTTTATTAGAAAGAGTGCACGGAGTACTTTGGATGTTTCATACTATTTAGTATTTGCAAGGTTATTTTTAGGCTCAATTGCGGGTCTTGTTTTCCTTGCTTGCTGTATTTCGAGGTCCTACGCCCAGCATGAATGGAGTTTTTTTTTGAGTTAGCTTCAAATCTCAGTTACCTTTTGTATTTCAAATACAACATATATCTCATGTCGATCTTTGTATCATGTAGGACTGTGCGTGGTGATCTACGCTTGGCAGAGGTTGAGAGTGTCCTCGCAGTAGACTGGGATGGCGCTCCTTGTTTCATGAGAAACACAAATGTTTCTAGTAATAGTGATATATGGATAAAACCTAATAATATATCGATATTTCTTCTAAAGTCAAGTATATAACCTGGACAACCAGGATTCCATGGAACCTTGGAACTTTAGTAACCCTAAATATGGCGATAAGATAAAGAAAAAAAAGCGTGATGTCATGAAGGTTCATCTACATCATCCTGTTCTTCCAAGGTTCTTAGAATGGCCTGATTCTATTGGATAGTGGTCTGATGACCCTATGCGGGGAATCCCTAATATAAGACCCCCCTCTTCTAGACTTTTTAGTTACTTTTTCTTAAAAAAAAAGAAAACCTTTATCATACTCAGCTTTAGCTTGGGTAATAAATCTACTATGGCATCATTCAACCCATTTGCGAGACGCGAAACTCATAGCGCCAACTCCCTAAATACCTACCGGGTCCTTGTACCCCTCACCTGGGCCCTGGTTGTGGTGGTCGGCATCTACTACTCCATTCACTCGCCCGACGATACCAAGAAGGGCAAGAAGATCTGGAAACAGGCTAATAAACATAATACTCCGTTCAGTCAGAACACTACGGTGACCGGTGTTTTCTGGTTAGTTCAACCCAAGTGGCATACACATGCATATAATGGACAAGGTCATGATTTGGATCCAGAACCTAACACCAATCCAGGATCGTCCTCCTCCTCTCTCAGCTCAGCTATGTCTGGCACCTCTTTTCCAAGAACAATGTTCTTGTCACAGCCGCTGCCAATGTAGCCAGCCACTTCATCCTGAACAACCTCTTCCTCGCCGCTTGGATCTGCCTCTGGACCCGCAACCACTTCTGGGGTGCAGAGATCGTCCTCATCGCCCATCTAATCAATCAGACAGTCACCTATTGGCGTCACCGCGGGCTGCCGCCATTTGTGCACCTACCCGCTGTTGCCGGTCCTTATGCCTGGACACTTACTGCGCTGTTCTGGAATGGAGCGGTCGCTGTCCATAGCCATAATCTGCCTGGCCGTATTGTTGCCAATATCTTTATCTGGGTGATTCTCGCGATTGGACTGTTTGATATCGTCCTCTGGGAGGATTATATCCTTGGATATTGTTTGAGTTGGTTGACACTGTGTAAGTTCTTCCTTTTATTATGTTCTCGGGTGCTTTGCTGATATAAATCTCCCAGCACTTGCTCTCAGACAAGTCGCCATCAAGATCATTGCCCTACAGTGGATCTTTGCCTTTACCGTCTTTGCCGTGTTCTTGGCCGTCTCTCTTTACATCTCTACGACCAAGTACACTGGTCGTGACAGCCTCTTCCGTCGCGTTGCCCACCCCGAGGCAGTTGACCGAGAGAGAGAGCCACTGCTCAATGAGGGGGTGTGAGCGTCATACAATCATTGGGGACCCACTGCCATGATAAGCCTAATCTAACCAGTGGGGCATTGGATCGAACTGAAGAGCTCAGAATGAGAGATTGAATGCATGAAAGTTGGGAGGATCTGTTTGGCCATTGTTTTGGAGAAAAAAAAAATTTGCACTCTTTTTTTTGATACTTGGAATAACATAGTCTTTAATGTAGTAATGTGAGAATGCATCGACCAAAGGGGATAATTTTGAAGATACTGAAGATATGTTGAATATGAATTGATAAATTGATATAATGGAAAATGAAACAAAAACATTGAAACCGCATGTGCATATTCTATTTTAATTAATCAATTTAATAACCTGATTATTGTTTCCAAAACTTTTTACCCCGTGCTGATTTGATCCCCCCAAGTCACACGTTGCCCTGACAACCAACTGCACCTCCACCTTGTTGATGCAAACCGACGGATGTGAACGGGCGCAACTTGTTTGCCTAATTCCTATTATTCTTTTGTTTTATCTTTCTCTCTTGCTTGTGTGTCAAGCTCTCATATTGATATTTTGCCCACATTCCTACATTCCTCAATCTAACCTGACAGATCCACACCCATTCTGTCTCATCTTCGAGAGACGATTGGGATCATCGTCTGATCAATATCCACCTCAGGTACCATACTATGAGGTATTGACTTGACCCCAAAAAGCACATTCCCACGTTCTATCATGAACCGCCATCCGCCCAATTACGGCGACGCGCCGCCCGCGTACCTCAACCACGACACGGCTTCCTATCTCTCTGATCCCGAGTCTCCAACCAATGCCTCGCATCTCAATGGAGGAACTATGCGTTTATTGCCTAGCGGTGACGGCGCCGATGACTTTGCTAGTAGTCATAGGCCTCCTTCGCCTTCGCATTATGATGATTATGATCACACTCCGTATGTATTTCCCAACTGCCTCCGATTCCACCTTGTCAAGTTTCACATTCCAGTGGTTCCCCGTACGACGGAATCACTTCCAGCAACAGTTCCAACTCCTTCATTGACGTAATGAAGAAAATGGGAGAACGCTTGTGCCTTCGGTAATTGCCCGTTAGTAGGCATTGCTACTGGGCTCGAGCCAACTCCTCCCTGCTGCTTGGTCGATCATCTTCCCTGTAAACATTGAACATTTGGTACTCTAGTACATTTGTTTAGCGTTTCATCCCTCCCTCTACCTGCACATTGGCCCTCTTCCGACCAGCTCCCACTCAAAATGGAACGTCGTCCAAAACCAAGGTCTAACACTAGGTCGCGTCATTCTAGGACTGCACAAGATCGAAGCTATGATCATTACTATGAGGTGCCCAGCGTCTCCTCTCCTTCACGCCCACCATCCAGCTTGGCCAGTGGGCCCAGTATCCCGCCCCCTACAGCAAGCCTGGCAGACACTTCTGTCTACCCATCTATTCCCGCACGCACAGGATCGCCAGTTCGCCCGTGGAGCCCATCACATATCCGACCACCGTCCGTGTCAAGTGTTGGATATGAACGGGCCGATCTAAACGGTAGCCCTCGGCCTGGTACACCCAGCTCAAGATATGGGGGTAGTCCTCGCCGACCATTGCCTCCTGCGCCGTTGTTCTCCGGGCCAAAATCAACAGTGGATACGAGCATCAATATTGGTGATGCCCATGGCGAAGATCCGTTCGGCGGTGATGGCCGTACAATTCACCATACTTCTCGCGGTAGCGTCCGATCATTCATGAGTGAGTCAACAATGTTAGGAGACGAGAAAGACGGCATGTCAAAAGTCGACCTCGATGATGAAGATGTCGACGAATCGCATATGATGGACCCCAACCTCCACTATGGCCCGGCGCCCGACAAACAGGGCCGTCGTGGTGTCCGATCCACGCAGGTAGCCAAAAAGGAAGTTCAGCTAGTCAACGGCGAGCTTATTTTAGAATGCAAGATTCCAACCATTCTTCACAGCTTCCTGCCTCGTCGTGACGAGCGCGAGTTTACACACATGCGATACACCGCTGTCACATCCGATCCAGACGACTACGGCGAACGAGGATATAAGCTTCGACAGCAGATTGGTAGCACGACTCGCGAGACAGAGCTGTTTATTTGTATCACAATGTACAACGAAGATGAGATTGGTTTCACCCGCACTATGCACGGTGTGATGCGGAATATCAGTCACTTCTGCTCGCGTACTAAGTCGCGGACATGGGGCCGTGATGGATGGAAGAAGATCGTTGTTTGCATTGTCGCCGATGGACGTAAGAAGGTCCATCCGCGTACACTCAATGCATTGGCCGCCCTGGGTGTGTACCAGGAGGGCATTGCGAAGAATATTGTCAACCAAAAGGAAGTCCAGGCACACGTGTATGAGTACACCACGCAGGTCTCGCTTGACGACGATCTCAAGTTCAAGGGTGCCGAGAAGGGAATTGTCCCATGTCAGGTCATCTTCTGCTTGAAGGAACATAATAAGAAGAAGCTAAACTCCCACCGATGGTTCTTTAATGCTTTCGGTCGTGCCCTTCAACCAAATATTTGTATTTTGCTTGATGTTGGAACTCGACCAGAACCAATGGCCCTCTACCACTTATGGAAGGCATTCGATCAGGACTCCAATGTTGCTGGCGCTGCCGGTGAGATCAAGGCTGCCAAGGGTAAGAACATGCTCGGTTTGCTCAACCCTCTTGTCGCAAGTCAAAACTTCGAATACAAAATGTCCAACATTCTTGACAAGCCACTGGAATCGGTCTTCGGTTATATCACTGTTTTGCCCGGTGCGCTCAGTGCCTATCGATTCTTTGCGCTGCAAAATGACGCAGATGGTCATGGGCCCCTTAACCAATATTTCAAGGGTGAGACACTTCATGGTCAAGATGCAGACGTTTTCACCGCCAACATGTACCTGGCTGAAGATCGTATTCTTTGCTGGGAGTTGGTTGCTAAGCGGGAAGAAAGATGGGTCTTGAAGTTTGTTAAGAACGCCGTTGGAGAAACTGATGTGCCGGACACGGTTCCTGAGTTCATCTCCCAGCGCCGAAGATGGCTGAATGGTGCTTTCTTCGCAGCTGTGTATTCGATTTTCAACGCTAAGCAAATCTGGAAGACGGATCATACTGTTGCCCGGAAGATCTTGCTTCACATCGAGTTCTTTTATCAATTCCTTAATCTGCTGTTTACGTACTTTGGTCTTGTGAGTTACATTATCTCTTCTTCCTTTGAAGGCGTCCACTAACTTTTCACAGGCCAATTTCTACCTCGCTTTCTACTTCATTGCTGGCTCTTTGACTGATCCGAAGCTTGATCCGTTTGGTCACAACATGGGCAAATACATCTTCGTTGTTTTGCGTTATGCTTGTATCCTGGTTATGTGTTTGCAGTTCATTATCTCGTTGGGTAATCGACCGCAAGGGTGAGTCACAATACTTCATCATACATTGAGACTTGACTGACGTTTTTTTTCCAGTGCCAAAAATCTTTATCTCTCCGGTATCATTATTTACGCCATTATCATGTTCTACACGGTCTTCTGTACCCTTTACTTGGTGGTCAAAGAGTTACTTGCACGTGCTCACGTTGGAGATGATCATGACATGGAAGTAGGGGACGGCCTAATGATGAACATCGTCCTTTCCCTGTTGTCAACGGTCGGCCTGTACTTCTATACTTCATTCCTCTACCTGGACCCGTGGCACATGTTCACCTCTTCGATTCAATACTTCCTGCTCATGCCCAGCTACATCTGCATTCTCCAGGTCTACGCCTTCTGCAACACCCACGACGTAACCTGGGGAACTAAGGGCGACAACGTGATCAACACCGATCTTGGCGCAGCAAAGACTATCAACGGCTCAACCGTCGTCATCGAGATGCCTTCCGAGCAACTTGACATCGACTCCGGTTATGACGCGGCCCTCCGCAATCTCCGCGATCGCCTCGAGGTCCCAGAGCCCCCACCATCAGACTCCCAGCTACAGGAGGACTACTACCGTGCCGTCCGTACTTACATGGTCTCAATCTGGATGGTCGCAAATGTAATCCTTGGTATGGCTATTTCGGAAATATACGGTATCGACTCCGGCGGTACCAACGTATACCTCGCTATCATCTTGTGGTCTGTCGCTGTCCTCGCTGCTATTCGTGCTATCGGCTCTACTACTTATGCTATCTTGAACGTCGTCCAGAAGATAGTTGAAGGAAAGACAAAGTTCGATGCGGGTAACATGACAAACTTTGCCCCCAGCTCTTTCGGTGGTTCGAGTGCCGGTGCTACCTCTGAGTCTGGGGCAACCTCCTCCCGTCCTGTGCGCTATGGCGGCGGTGCATCCTTCAAGGATAAAATTGCAGAGGCTCGCTGGACTGCTGGTAGGGCGGTTGGAAAAGCTATGTTCTGGCGCAAGTGATTGAGATCACTTCTTTTTGTTTTTCCTTTCTGTTTTTAGGATCGCCTTGGCTTTCCCCGGTCTCGTGGAGTTCTTCTGATTTGGGCTTTCTTTTGAGATATCAGGTGTTTACTCTTCATTTTTTTTTATGATGGAAATATTGTGATGATAATGCTTTTTTTTGTTGTTTTTATGCTCGTTCTCTCTTGCCAGATATCTGGACATGTGTTTTATGTAATTATGCGTTCTCTTTTGGAGGTTTGAATTAATGCATGAGATGATTGACAAAATTAATATCCAACCGTATTCTCAAGGACCTTATGATAAGCCTACCTATTTTACGTTGATCCTCGCACGCAGTTTCTAGTTCCAACACCAGACACTGTCAACATTGAACAGTCTACTATATGTATATACAACTTTCGTATAAGATCTCAATATCCAATAGACATGCCACCCAAATCCTGTGAAATCCCATCTCCCAAAGCTATACTATCTCATTTCTCATTAAGCCCATTCCCCCCAACCTCATGAATACGCGTATCACGCGGTCCCAGCTCCGCCGGAAACATCATCTTCTCCCTCTCCGGATAAACAGGGTAAACCAAATGCTGCGTCGAGCTCGCAGCAGCAATCTCATCAATCATCGCCTCCTTCTGCCGCAAATTCTTCTTATAGATCCGCCGCTGCACAAGCATCGTAATAAGAGCGATCAGAAGACAGCCGCCTAAACCAGCGCCGAGCCCAGCACTAATCACTGTCGTTTTTGAAGCTGGACATGTAGAATTTGTGTCCAAGCTGGGAGTACATGTTGTATCCTCGGTATTGGTGTCTGGATTGGCTTTCTCATTGGTGTTGGCATTGCTTGACGAAGGCGATGGTGATACTTTTGGTGATGACATGGCAGAGGACACCGAAGACGACAGAGAGGACTCAGACGAGCCTGATGAAGAGGAGACCTCGGATGTGAGTGATGTCACGGATACATTGATCATCTGGCCCATGTCTAGTCGCACAGCGTCGTCGCAGCAGTTTGTGCCGTTTACGCTACAGCACCAGAAGCCGCGGCCTTGGAGCGGACAGGGGATTACGTAGAGGGTTGCGTCTGAAACTATTTGGATGATGTGTTAGAAGTGATCGTCTAGGAATTGAGTGATGTGTTGTTGATGATGTATACGAATGAGAAGATAGATATGTCGAATTATCTTACCCGTATCACAGAGTTCAGGACACTGCCCGCTCTTCCAGGTCTTGTCGGTGCAAGCACCCTGCCGTAGGAGACCCCGAAAATTCGGATCTTGGATATAGCATACTCCGCCAGAGAGGCAGATGTCATTGGGGGTTGTGTTGCTTTTCGCTAATGAGCAGCAGGGGCTGTTGTCTTGGTCTGGGAAGCAGGGCTGGAAGCTTGAGTCTGCTTCTTTGCCATTTGTGAGATAACATTTCCGAGATTGAGCTATAGTTGGAAATACTGCTTGAAAGATGAGCAGGTGGAGGATTGTTCTGAAGCTAATCATTTCTTCCTAGTTGAGAGAGTAAACGGAGGGAGCTGGGAGAGAGGGGGGCGAAGGAGATATTAATTTGTTTTTAGACAGGGGTTTGCCAGTTTCAAACACAGGCTTGTCAGTTCTGAGCCTCATAGGATAAGTAATAATAGCATTGACTTCTATTGGGCTAATGTAGATTTAAAAGCGGTTAATTGATCGTTCGGATTGGTCCGGAGTCCGCAGATCACTGTGCCCTAAGTCGGACATCCTAAGCGCTGGGGGTTCAAAGGTTTATTTTTAGCCCCAAAGAATTAAATTGGTTGAAGAGGAATTAAACTATGAGTTGTATGTTTTAGAATATTCGATTTATAGGTTGATTCTCAGGCAGTTTCATTATAGGGAGTCGGGCAGTAAAACAATGACAGTGCAGAATTCTACTAAAAACATAGAATAATCCATCTAATTGCATTCGATTGACCCTTTCAGACATTTTCACATTAGAAAATAATGTCGAGTTCTACGAGGTCTTTATATGACCATGATATCCCACTGTCTTCGATCCGATTTAGCTATACATAGTACATAGCACGCTGTAATTGGCCAGTTTGTTAACGGCCAAACACCGTGTTGTTGCACAAACTCAATGTAAGTCATTCTATAATGGTTTACTTACTATATTAAATAGTAGATGAGATCATAAAGAGATTATAGGCTATATTGCTAGATGTCTCACAATAAGGCAATCGATAGGTCCGACTCTTCGGAAATAGTTCCGTTGTCCACGATGTGATTCGAGTAGATTGGTTTTTATTGTTGTAATGTACTCTGAATATTCTGAATATACAAGCCCTATAACAGGATGCTTATCAAATATAATTCTAATCAATCTATATGATTTGGTCATTGCCCATATTTCAAAGCTGTCAGTTGATAGATTCTAGCCGAGGTAAACTACAGCTTTCCGCTATCATCTAGCTCGATTCCACCCATAATGGCGCAACTCAATCCAGATTAACGTGATATTTCTATAGTGATAACACTTATTAATCTAAAATTACGAACAGAATCTGGGGTTGACTCCAAGTTTTGATACTTTAGAATGCGTGATAGGTTGATACCCCGAAGACACTCCCCGCTTCATCGGTAAACACGGCAAGTATCCCATACGGTACAGGCCTAATATACTGACTAATACTATTGAGGGGTCTCGACTTCTTTTGTTAATTTCTTTGAATCCTGACCATAATGATAATATTTCTTCGACGTGTCGAGGCTGTTAAACATGTCGGAAAAAGGCACGGCAACAGCACCCGTTAATCCTGAGGCAGATCTAGCACACATCACGGAAGATGAAGAGTCCGAAATACCCTCTACCTTTGCTGTAAAAAGTAAAGTGCACGGCTGTCTCCAAGTTCTGGGGGCTTTCTTTATATTCTTCAATGTCTGGTCTGTCAACTACCTTTCGAATTACAATTGAATGAAAACTAACACCCCTCTAGGGGTCTAAATCTTGCATTTGGAACATTCCAAAGCTTCTATGCACTCACCTACATCCCATCATCAACATCTTCTGACATTGCCTGGATTGGAACAACCCAATCTTGGCTCCTAATCGTCGGTGGTCTACTATCTGGTCCCCTCTTCGACCTCGGCTACAACCAGAGTATGATCATCGTCGGAAGTATCCTAGGTGTACTTGGTATGATGATGCTCAGTCTTGCACATCAGTACTACGCCATGTTCCTAAGCCAGGGAATTTGCCTTGGCCTCGGATTTGGACTACTTTATGTCCCCGCTATTGCATTGGTCAGCCGTTCTTTTACAACAAGAAGGGCCGTTGCGCTAGGCATTTCGAGTAGCGGTGCACCCGTCGGGGGTATTATCTATACAATCATGTTCAATCAGCTTATATCGAAAGTGGGTTTCCCCTGGACTGTTCGTCTTATGGGATTCGTGATGTTGGCGCTCTTCATCGCGGCTGCTTTTATGCTTTTGGGACCGGAAAGACATTCAGTGAAGGTCAAACCCACCCAGCGTAGGAGCTTGATTGATGTGCGTGCTTTCAAGGATTTGCCTTTTTGGAGCTTTGCTATTGGCAATTTCTTTCTTTACCTTGGTTATATTACGCCTTTCTATTACATTCCAACTTACGCGGAGACAAAATTGGGCACATCACCCTCAATGGGATCCAATGTCTTGATGATTTCTCAGGCTTCTTCGGTTATTGGTCGTGTTGTCTTGACTTTGTTCGCTCATTACTTTGGGTCGATGATTGCTTGGATCGTTTGCGGTGTCCTCTCGGGCGTTCTATGTATTTGTTGGATCAGTGCAGATACGCTTGTACGGTTTATCCTTTTCGCGGCCTTCTATGGTAAGTGCGATTCCTTTTCCTAGGTCCTCGGTGCTCTATTGACCCAAGTCACAGGTGGTATCTCCGGGGCTTTGATTCCTCTCCCGCCGAGTGTTTTCACTCACGTCTGTCCCGATCCTAAGAGTCTTGGAACTTGGCTTGGAATGGCGCAGAGCTTGAGCAGTTTTGCGACTCTTATCGGCCCACCAATAGCTGGTGTGCTCGCTTCAATTGGCTCCAATGGTAGTGCGGATTTGAACTACCTAGGCATTCAGTTGTTTAGTGGGATAGTCATGTGTTTTGGTGCGTTTCAACTGATTGGATTATGGTACTTGCTATATAAAAAAAGGGGCAAAGTAGGATTGTTTTAAAATGGACATAGAGCTGTTCATAGCCGACATGGAAATTAATTGTCCTCCGCAGAGCTTTCATAAATTCAACCCGCTATTGAGCCATTATGTACTTTTTTTTTTGCTCACATCATTCACAAAAAACCCCTATTATCTTTCGAAAAGTTGAATCCTATAACTCGGAGAACTGACCTATGATGTCCTCGCGAACCATCCGGGGGCCGGAATTTCGGGGTTCGCAACAAATCACACTTGGCGTGAGTCATGAGCTGATAACGTAGAATCTATAAAATCACAAAACCACTACATAAATCTCCTTTCTCACTTTCAATTCTCAACCTCAAACAATAAATTCCAAACATGGCACCACTACGCCCAAAAGGCCCATTGGTCCCCTTCACTCCAGCTCTACGACCAACGAGCCAAACAATCCCAGGGCGAACAATTATTCTCGAGAAACTCTCCCCAAAGCATGCAGACGACCTTTTCGCCCTAACTGGTGGTCTTGAATCATCCAGGGAAGCTCTCTGGGACTACATGTTTGAGGGGCCGTACTCAGACGCCGAAACTTTCAAAGCCAGCATCGAATCAAAATCCACTTCAACAGATCCTTTCTTCTATGCAATCATCGACAAGCGCGACTCTCTTCCCACTTTAGGAAAAGCAATTGGCTATCTCTCTCTCATGCGTATGACTCCCGACCACCTGAGCATCGAAATCGGGAATGTGATGTACTCCGCTGCGCTCCAGCGCACGACTGCCGCAACAGAGGCGATCTATCTCCTCATTCAGCACTCTTTCCATGATCTTGGGTATAGGAGGTTAGAGTGGAAATGTAATGCGCTGAACGAACCCTCAAGACGTGCGGCTTTGCGCTTGGGATTCTCGTTTGAGGGGGTCTTTCGACAGCATCTAATTGTTAAGGGGAGAAATAGGGACACAGCTTGGTTCTCTATTTTGAGAGATGAGTGGGATGCTTCGCTAAAGGCTGCTATGGAGAAATGGCTGGATGCTAGGAATTTCGGGGAGGACGGTGGTCAGATTAAGTCACTGCAAGATTTGAGAGCTGAGTTGAGTTGAATTGGAATTGGATTTACCTATAGAAAGAATATATAAAAATAGAAGTAATTTTGATTGATGATTTAGAATTAATGATAAAGTCGGTGCGAGTCAGGTTAAGGATGATGAGGATATTGTTTGGGAGGATGCGGATCGGATCAATGGGCAGGACTGTGACTGGTTTAGGAGTTATGTAGCTACCTGGATACGCACGTATCAAAGAACATTAATCTACTTTAGGGATGAGATGGAGAGGGCTTTTGAATAGAAGAAAGTGAAGACTGCTACGGCACTTGCTATGGTCTTTGTTGCGAGGAGACATAGTTGAGGAATGCAAGTTAGAAGAGTGATTGAAGTAATTTATCTCCCACAAGCAGCTTAACTATCTCTAATGATCTCCTCGACAACCTTGGCTGCCGCTAATGTTTCCTCATCCTTAAACCGCCTCCCAGCAATCTGCAGTCCCACCGACGCACCTTCATATCTCTCTGGATTCTGGTACTTAAGCCACTCCCTCTCATCAACCTTGTCCCTAGGAATATATTTCCTATCCTGCTCCGTCAACGCATCTATCTTTGGGTCCACAGTGATCCCAGACGGGAACACCACAGAAGGCAAATCTACCAAGTTCCAAATTGCAGTATAATTCCAATACTGCGACTCGCCCATCACTGCCGCAGCAGCGGGATATGTCGGGGAGAGAATAAAGTCAACACCACGACGCTTGAGGAGAGCGTGGTATTCGTCTCTATAAATATCGCGCTGGTCATGCAGGGCCCATGCCTCAGGGTGAGAAAGAGGCGTGTTTCGGCTGTAGGAGAGCGCCCAGTCGGTTAGTGGGCGTGCTGGCTCGCCTGATTTAGCAAGCATTTCGCGTTGCTTGCTAGCAGCGTCAGGGTAGTACAGAGCGGACTGAGTCATGTTAGCGTTATAGCCTGCCTAGCGTATATCCAGTACTCACAATAACTTCCCAGCCATGCTGGTGCTTATATGGCTCCCAGTCTACGACTTTCACACCTGCCGCTACCAGCTTCTCCTTGGCATGTCTCAAAGCACGAGTGATGGGTGGATGAGGGCGGACCCAGCTAAGAAATGGATTAGCACACCGATAGCGAACACATATTTGGATTACACACCCATCATCCCACATAATAGCCACCGTCATGTCCCGCATCGGAGCAACCACCTTCCACGGCACAGGCATCAGAGATGTCTCAATGTCCCAAGGCTCCTGTTCCAACACGGCTCTCTGGAACAGCTCTAGATCCTCGATCGAGCGACTAGCCATCGGACCCACCACGCCGCGGATTGTCTCCTGACCCGACGCAGCTACTTTAAGCCCTGTTACGGGGTTCCGCAGTGAGGATGGACGGAAGCCGTACACACCGCAAAACGCTGCCGGGCAGCGAATTGATCCGCCGATGTCCGTTCCAATGCCGAGTGGCGCGCACCGAAAGCCCATTGAGGCACCTTCGCCTCCAGAGGAGCCCCCTGGACTTAGAGTCCGGTTGAGTGGGTTTAAGGTTGTGCCGGTAATGTTGTTGCTGCAACACAGGTGCTACATAGTGTTAATTATGGGAAACGCCGCTAATGTGCCATTTGTAGACGTACCATTAAGGATTGGGGTTGGTTAGTCCGAACATGAAAAATGGCCCCGGCTTTCGATAGGAGTTGGAGAAGAAATGAATCTTCCGTGGTGACTTTGTCGACCCTATTTTGCGTGTCAGTATTATCGTTCATCTTGGTGGATTTTTACTTACCAAGCTACATATCCCGTGTTACACATTCGATTCTTCATTGATATATGCTCTTTCACGCTGATAGGTATGCCATGCTGCCGTCGTTCCATTAGAATCCTGCCGTATGAATCTCAACGGGTATATATTTGAGCTTACCAGAGGCCCAACCAGTTCTCCTGTACGTCTGTAGTACTCATCATGCTCTTTGGCCCGAGCGATGGCCTCGTCGGCCATAAATTCAGTTGCAAAATTGAGCTAAATAATTGTCAACGTTTGAATCAAAAGAGTCGAGTTTCCTAATCTCACCAGTTGATGGCCCAACACGGCCCTCTTCAAAAACGCAACCACGACTTCTTCGGCGCTCATTTTTCCATTGCCCATTTCTGTCACAAGTGCCGTGGCGGACATATCAGTAATGGCAAGCTCGCGCTCATTCAACACCCCGCTTTGTTGAGGGAAATCCACCACACTCTTCTGCGTGACTGGTGGCAGCCTGTCGATGGGGAGAAGCCATTGCTTCGGAATAGAATTGTTTAAGATGTCTTTGCCTTTCTGGGCTTGTGCCTGCCAGTTTATAGTCATATCGAGTAATTAAGGTGGAATATGGGGATATAGTTTTGATCCGGGTAACCTCAGATATATAAGGAAAAGACGTAAGGTTCTTTATTCTACTCCTCCCCCGCACAGTATCTGATCTACATAGCTCGGAATCGGAATTTGCTTTCCATTTAAAGGTCATCCCCGCGCAGAGTGGAGAAATATATCTGAAAGGGCGGAGTAGTTCCGTCTATCATAAATCGACTTATACAATGGTACCTTTTATATATATCTCTCTGATGTATACAAATTCAATGGCCTATGCTCATGACCATCCAGGGATCAACCCTGTTCCTACACCGCTCATGTATATGTGGTATATATCAATGCATCGTCAGTGTCATTCTTTCGATATTAACTATAAAAATAAAATAATAAATCCCTAGATACTGGAATTTTTGGAAGAATAAAAAAAAGAAATCTCTCCCTCGGGGAATCGAACCCCGGTCTCCCGCGCTTATCGGTTTTAATGACAAGCGGAAATCATCACCACTAGACCAAGGAAGATGTGATGGCTGAGTTACTGCTCGGCCACTTGGCTGGTTGATGTAGTGGGTTTCCTTATTTGACATGATGAGAATAAGAGATAATCACCCGCAGCATGTTAACGGCTCACACACCGTCCCGCAGATAACCTGGCACCGGGATGATTCAGAAACTTCTGATATCTCGGGCTGCATTGTAATCGAGTGAATTCCATAGACATGGAAACACTCATTGATCACCTGGGCAGTCTTCATAAACTCCTCGACTGAGTTATCGGACACAACAACGTGCACTGAGGCGAGTGTTTTTTGTTGGTTAAGGCGCCAGATGTGGAGTTCATGAATTGATTTGACACCTTTAATCTACTGATTGTTAATGAAATAGAATTAGAATGGAGATTGGAGGAATTCACCTTTTCCAGATCATGTTTGACATCACATACGTCAATCCCCGTCGGTGCGCTCTCCAGTAGGATCATTCCCGCTCGGTGCACTAGATACTGTCAACTTGCTATTTACATCTGACCTGGTGGGAATATTCTTACTCAGAGGGAAAGATGACAGAATAATGAGAATGGCAATAAACATGCTCACCCCGGGATCGGCATAGTATCGGCCGGCATGGGGTGCTGCGAGCCAGATAACCAGACCGGCGGCCATAACGCCCAGGTTATTGATTGCATCGCCGAGAACGTGGATCATGACTCCCATCATACCAAGATCACCGTGGTCGTGACTGCCATGACCATGACCGTGGCCTGAGTCTGCGCAGTGAAGTTTTTCGAAATGAAGATGCTTGTGATCGTGATGCTAAGCTATGTCAGTTCTCCATTGGATTTCTCCATTTCTTGGTAGTTTACCTTGGTACTTGAATCATGGCATTCGTCACCGAGGTGAAGAACCGGTGCCTCAATTGTGGATAGGCTATGGCTGTGTTCATGTCCGGGTCCATGCTCTGGGTGCTGTTAGCGTGATACCCAACAACAACTTCACCAATCATACCGTGAAGAAAGACTACGCTAATAATGTTTAGGCCCAATCCGATACATCCAAGGATAAACATCAACTTGGGATCGTGGACATCTAAATACACCGTCAGTCATTAACGAGATCAACTGTCCGATGGCACCCACGTTGCACAGCAATAAATCGCTCGATGGACTGCAAAAATATACTGATACCCAAGCCAAGTAGAAGAACACCATTGAAAAAGGCGCCGAGTAGCTGAGCCCGCTGCCATCCAAAAGTAAGTTCCTTGGGCGAGTCACTGCGCTCGGATCTCTACATTTCACATCAGCACAATCACCACATAATCAAATCACCAAGTACCTTCAATGCAACAAGCGCAATGATAAATCCAACCAAATCATTCAGCTGGGTATATTAGCCAACAAAATCTCCAACTCCACACATGACAACGCCTACATAGTGGAAAGCATCCGCAATCAGAGCAATAGAGTGGGTATAAAAGCCCACTAACCCGGTATCAGCACATCGAATACCAAACCCAAGAAAAAGGACAACCGACTTGAAATCTCAGCCAGAAAGAAACATGTTGATATGCCAATCACAACGCTCAGCCGTGTCGAACGTGATAGATGAAGGACCATGACTGCGGTGATCCAATAGAAAGGAAATGGTGAAAACAATCCTATAACCTGACTTTTACAAGAGTGTCATTTTTTGGCGAAAACAAAGTGAATACTTCTGCCTTCTACACTTGGTTCAGAAAGCAATGGCTGGTCTGCCGTGTAACTCTGAAATGTGATTCCTCCATGAGGCGGGGAATGTGGTATGTTGATTTTATGGGAGTGATTTAATGGTCTGGTGTCTATATATCATTGTTACTGACGGTTGGGGTATGCTATAGGGGACAGAATTAGTATAGAACCCTAGCTACCTTCTAAAATAATCTGCCAGAGTACCTTGATGGTGTGGAATCTTCCATATTTTCCCCAGCCCTACATGAGCTCGTCGGTTAGGGTTTATGTAGATCAGTGAAGAATGTAGAAAAGTATCACAACATCTGAGAAAAGAACTTTCATACTTTTTTGTAAAGTGATTAAACCTCAATATGGAACAATTAAAATACATTTCTCCAATTTCAAGCAGCAATCTGATCAGAAAGTCCATCCAGTTCACGTGCCCAGTTACGGTGTCGAGAGATATGCCAAATAAACTGCTCAGCCAGTCCCTTCGCATCAGGCCCGACCGTACCAACCTTCAACAACGAAACTGCATCTCCATAGCCTGTAACAACACCATAGGACTCCTTTAGTGGCGAGCCACTCTTCGCAACTTCAACCTCAGAAAGCCCGATCTGCCGTTCAATAAACGGCACAGCCTCGTTAGCACCAGCAATGGCCTTGAGATGAGCGAAAGACTCAGAGATCCAGTGCTTCGCAACACCATTACTCAACAGTGCCTGAATATGTTTTCCACCGGGCACGTAGACCGCATCGAACAGTGTTGACCGCGCCCCATTAAAGAAGTGATCGGGAATAACCTTCTGCCCAGACTCGGCAGTCACGCCCTGACGCTGCGCACCAATAGTGAAAACGAACGCCCCGCGATCGGTAAGCACTTCTTTCATCGTGGTATACTGGTTGAAGTCAAAGTCGTCGGCAAGCAGGATGGCGACACGACGCGTCGTGATGATAGGTGTCTTCGGCATGAATTCAAGCTGGCTCAGACCCTTGGCTTTGATGCCTTTGTTTTCTTTTGGGGACTTAACAGGTGTATCACCGCCGACATTCTTCGCAACCTTCTTGGCTAGGTCTAGATCGATTGCGGATAGACGCTCTGTCATGCGCTTGTAGACGATCGGGTCGTCACAGTGGTCTAGCTCGAACGAGAATGCCTTCGCCACGTGCATCTTTTCAATCGGTGAGAGGGAATTGTAGAATACCTGGGCTTGATTGAAGTGCTCCTTGAACTTCTCTGACAGCGCCCGCTTCTTTGCACCTTGTTGCTTCTGCGGGTAGCTGACGAAGCCACCCTGCTCTTGTGTCGCGGGCGGGTTGGCCTCAAATCGGTTTGGCCAGTAGTTCACCTTACCCTTTGTGATGCGGTGTCTACCCTGGCCGTCCCGGTTGACTAGGCTCATGTATGGACATACTGGCCGGTTGATGGGCAGTTCCTCCCAGTTCGGTCCGAGTCGTGAGATCTGCGTGTCAAAGTATGAGAAGTTGCGACCTTGGAGCAAAGGGTCGTCAGAGAAGTCAATGCCAGGCACGATGTGACTCGTGCAGAAGGCGACCTGCTCGGTCTGAGGGAAGAACTCGTCGATGTTGCGGTTGAGTTCCAACTCGCCGATGTAACGGATAGGTACTAGCTCCTCGGGCCAGACCTTAGTGGCATCAAGAGGGTCGAACTCGAAGTCGTCAACCTTCTCTTCGGGAATGAGCTGGATGCCAAACTTCCAGCGTGGGAAGTGCCCTGCCTCAATCGCCTCCATCAAATCTTTCCGGTGGAAGTCGGGATCCTGTCCGCCGATCTTCAGTGCCTCGTCCCAGACGAGCGAGTGCACGCCCAGCTCTGGAGTGAAGTGGAATTTGACGAAATGACGCTTTCCAGCCTTGTTAATCAAGGAATAGGTATTCACACCGAAACCCTGCATCATCCGGAACGACCGTGGAATCGCTCTATCAGACATAATCTTCCCACGAACCGTGTTAGCAACCATATGTCAACCAACAACCCAAACAGAAAATAGAAATACTAACCCACTGATTCATATGCGTAACCTCCGAATGCATATATTGGAAATCCCAGAAATTATTATGCGCAGACTGAGCCTGCGGCACCTCATTATGCGGCTCAGGCTTAACAGCATGAATCACATCAGGGAACTTGATCGAGTCCTGAATAAAGAAGACAGGAATATTATTCCCGACGATATCCCAATTGCCCTCCGCGGTATACATCTTGATGGCGAACCCGCGCACATCGCGCACCGTATCCGCGCTGCCCTTGCTACCCTGAACGGTCGAGAACCGCACGAACAGCGGCGTCTCCCGGCTGGTATCGGTTAGGACCCCGGCGGTTGTTACGTCCTCGGCACTCTCGAATAGTTTGAATTTACCAAAGGCACCTGTGCCGCGCGCGTGAACTACTCGCTCTGGAATACGTTCATGGTCGAAGCGCATTATCTGTTATTAATTAGTTCATTTATTCAATTATATAGTAGTATATGAGTGCATGATAGTAGGTACCTTCTCACGGGCGATTTGGTCTTCTAGGAGCGAGGGCCCAGTCTTCTTTTCGTCTACGACACGGAGCCATTGGTCTGGGTTGGAGATTTTAACGCCGTGGTCGGTTGTCATGTGCTGCTTGCTGTGGATGTCGATGGTGTCCTTTTGCAGATCGGCTTTTTTGCCGTCTGCAGTCTTGGGATTTGGATTTGGTGCCATGGTATGTATGATACAAGTGAATTATTCAAGAGTTATACGTTGATATCAATACCAAAGAAAAAGAAATAGGTGAAATATGTATGTTCTAAAGCTGCCATTTTATATCAAAATCAAGCCGACCAACCCAATTGCAACGTCAATGATGTAATACTTCAAACTGCAGGTATCTACCAACGAAATGGAATACAATTATAAAAGTGGGTTACTCAAGAGAGTAGAATGCTTTACAAGAATGACCGTAGTATGACCTACCCCTAACCTTTTGGGGCAGATTACCAGCCAATCCCGACAGGAAAACCAGTAATTAAAGGAAATATACAAGAAATCATTGGAAATTCCTCCCTTTTCATTCGCGGGGAAGCTTCCTATAATCCACAAGGGAGCTATAGCTTGGTAACTATGTCTGGTGGGGGAGTTACACTGGCAAGACAAGGCATTGGAACTGGTTGCAACCGATGACGTGGAATTATGCCTAGATGCTCTTCTCCAGGGCTTCTTTATTGGATTATTGGATTAATGGATTATTGGATTATTGGATATCCTGAGTCCAGGACTGGAGAACTTGGAGTGTGACGTCACCTGATATCAGGAAATCATGTCCGAGTATTCTCCAATTCTCCAAATATATCAATAATCAGTGTTGAAAAGGAATATGGATATGATTGTGAACTCATAATCCAATAGTATATATACTATATAGTACACCAAAAGTTCTATGTGCACAGTTATCTCTCTATAGCACAATGTAGCGTCTGAACAAAAACAAGGACAAAACAGGATTTACATGTTATCCTCACTCCAATGACTCCTTGTCTTCTGCCAAGCGTCGTGTTCTTTCTTATTCTGCGTAGGAGTGTTTCCAAGTACCGACCCACGTTCCACCCACTCCTTACTCCCCATCTCAGAAAGACGGGACAGTGCACGCGCAAACGCAAACCGCTCCTCATCACCACTGAAAATAGACGTGTTCTTCAATGCCTGCACAGACATACCGAGGTCGTCCATTAGATTGCGCATCGCGTCGGAGAGATCTGAGTGGTCTCCGCTTTCACCTTTGAGGGTTCTCTTTACGTCGGCTTCGGAGATGAAGAGGTTTGTTAGGGGAACTTCGGTTGTGAGGACTAGTTTGGCCTGTTGATGTGAGTTTTGTTAGTTGACCACGTGATCAAAAGTAAATAGGAACGTTGCTCGTCACTCACCCTGCTCTCATATACCGCATCGATAAAGGTAATAAAGCGCCTCGCCAAATCACGCTGGGTATGGTTCATGCTTGGCACATCTGTGACAATGAACGCATCGTAATGTCGGACCAGCTCAAGGTAGTCGGCTGCACCTGTAGCGGTGCCGATAAGCTGCTGGAAGGTGAATTGCGCAGCCTTGCCACTAGCACGGGGAACCTTGATTTCCCGGCCCCAGACAACCTGTGAGGCTGTGTGCGGGGGGTCATTAACAGGGTCGCCCAGGAACTCGAACCACTTCTGCGCATGCTGCTGTGCATCCTCGCCCAGAGGGTGGTGGTAGACGGCAGCCGGAGGCCGGGGGATTTTGCGGTAATCTGTTGGGGAGTTAAGGTTGATGACGCTCAGATCGGACTTGAGGAGGTTAATGCATGGGATGAAGGATTGGCGCTGGATGCCGTTTTTGTACAAGTCGTCTGGATGTCGGTTGGATGTAGTGACGAGGACGACTCCATGGGACATGAGGATCTCGAGAAGCCTGATTGATGAATTTTCAGATGAGTTTTTGAATATGTCCCATCCGAGAAGAGAACACATACCGTCGCAGAATCATTGCGTCGGCCACATCCGTACACTGGAACTCGTCAAAGCAAAGCACGCCCGCGAGCTCGGCAATATCGGCCGCAACCATGGGTAGCGCATCAAAATCGTTTCCATACTTCATTTTCACTACGTGCATGCGCTTATGTACGTCCTGCATGAAATTGTGGAAGTGAATGCGTGTCTTGTGTTGGATATTCGGCGGCAGCGTATCGAAGAACAGATCCATCAACATCGTCTTGCCGCACCCGACATCCCCATACATGTACAGTCCCTTCGGGAGGTTGTCGGGGATAGCAGACTTTTCCTTCTTCTTCGCGCCACCGCCAAACAAAGAACCGAAGAAGGACGACTTTTGCTGAGGGTCCAGAGATTCGGGCTCGGGGTGAACAACTTTGGGCGGGCTGTAATCTTTCAGCGCTTCAAAGAGGTCCTGTAGATGTTGGATGATCCCTATAGAATCGGCGCATGTTAGCTTGGAACTATGCTCCGCCGGAGTTGGGCTCAACTTACCTCTTTGATACTCATCATCCCTCAGTCTCCCCTCCTGCACACGAATGTCATATTCCCTCATGGGCCCATCTTGAGGCGGAGCAATGGTGGTCTTCTCGCCGCCCGAGATTGTGGCCAGACCCCGCCCCTTCGGCGGCGATTGAACAGCCAGCTGGGGGATCCTCTCCGGGGACACACATGCCAGCGTAGGCCGACTCGGCTGCCGTAGTGTATCGAGTGCCCTCTGCTCTATCGTATAGGATCTACGAGCGGCGCCCCGCAACCTCGTAGGGCGGAGGCCTCGAGGCGCCCGCAGCGCGCTCGGGAAGCACTCTGCGCATAGCTTTGCCGATGGGCGGCTCATTGGTGTCCTTCTTTCGAAGCTATATTTGCGGGTATGTTGCGACGGTGGACTCGAGGTCGGGTTTAGATAGCAAAGAGCGGTTGGAATGCGAAGGCGTTAACCGAGGTATTGTATTGTAGGCAAGGATTTGTTTTCTTCCGGAGAGCGGCGGGTCCTCGAAAGCCAGGAGGGCTTGCGCTATAGCGAATTACAACAAGCACACAAAAATATATATATATATATACAGCTCTCGCAGGTCTTAGACTGATCAAGAATTATAGCGGACAACCTTCAATAGATTACGTTCATGGGAAGAAAGAACAGCCGGGAGGATCAGGTCACGTGACTAGCCGGGTGTTAACCTCGAACCTGAAAGAACTTGTAGCTGGATCAACATTGATATTGGGAGAAAAGAGCTGTGGAACACCACGGTTGAGCCGCTCCTGCAAGAATGGCTTCCCCGGTATATGCACGAGAAGTAAAAAAATATGTACACGGCACAGAAGCAGGCAGATCGGGGTATGATCCTGAACAGGATAAGATGTAGATCTGATGCGAAATTGACGCAAAAAAAAAAAAAAACAAGAAAGCCCATAATGCAACACCGCAGAAACAAGGAAATAAAAGAACAGGCAGATAGAAAGGAAACCATGCCGTACATCTCGCATCAGATTCGTTAAATCGCAATCTCGTCCCCATGGACCATGTGAAATCGCTCAGAGAACTGATGACCAGTTTGAAGAGAGAAAAAAAAAGAAAACAAATCAGAGAATAGCAACGCGACATTTAGAAACTCCAATGCACCAACCTTACTCGTGGCAAACATTAATCTGAGGTTGGCAATAACCTCATGAAATCAAGGGCAAGTCTATCATTGACCGCAACACCAGGAAAGAAAGTGCTTTTTATGCGATGCTGACGAAAAGGGTCAGCTTGGTGTTCCGCTGCATAGCGTTCTCCAGATCCTGATCGGTATGAAGATCGATATAGGAGCCGGAGGATTCGTCACGGTACTGCACAACAATATCGTCCTGGATCTTCAACCGATCACATAGCTTGTCCTGGAGGTGCTGCATGCTCACACCGGATGGGATGCGGATCGCAATGAGGTCATCCTGGAAGAACACCTTGACCTTCATCGCGCTGTTGGCCGATGCGCCGGAGGCTTGAGTAATGGAGCTAGGTTGGCGATTCATGGGTGGCGGGCCACCGTTAGCGTAGGTCGTGGGTGCCGGGGCACGCTGCTGGGATACCCGGTCGGTAGACGCATTAATTTGCTGCTGCGAAGACTGTCGCGACACGCTTTGTTGCGGATCCACACCAACGGAATGCTGAGATCCACCGGAGAACCGGGCGTCTTCGCCGAACGCATTGGGATCGATTTCGAAGTCTCCTTCTCGGGGCGAGAAAAGTTCGCGCACGAGTTGACAACGCGAGATATGTGGGGGCATAGACAGGAGCTTTTTGATATATTCGTCCAGGTTCTGTCGTCGGCCGTTGGAAATCGCGTCCGTGACGTGGGTGACAGGACCCGGCATGAAAGGGAGGGTGCGTCCACGGCCACGGTTGCCAGCTTCGTCTTCGAATTGAGTCAGAAGGGCGATCTGGAAATCGTAGAAATCGTGGTAGTAACGCGACAACTCCCAGCAGCGACCGTCTTCCATCTTCGCCTCGATGATGTACCAATACTTGTCATTATCGAAACAGTAGCGCGGAATATAGGCGGAGACAGGGACGAGAAGTTGGTGATTTTGTTGCGACATGGGCACTTGCGACAAGGTTCCTTTGCTAGCAGTACGTTGGTGGTCCTGCTCAAGCGCATCATAAGTAAAATAGAATCGCAAAGGGGGGTCCAAAATGTTTGGCCTACATAAACATTGCCATTTTGACTCATTTGACTCTGATGGCCCATGGACATCTTTTCCATGCCCGAGGTAACAGCCGTCATATTACCATTGCCACCATGACCAGCCTCGATTTTGCCCAGTGTGATGCTGCTGTTCTTGTATTCCGCGGTCATTTTCTTCCACTCCTCGACCTTGGGAACACCGGCGCGTCGCACCGCGTCCAGCGGATCGGTTACGGCCTGTCCGCTCTGCATATCACGCAATTCAATGAAAGAAACAGGAATCAGGCCTGGGCCACCGAGACGACCGATTGGTTTGGCGACAAACCACTCCGGGTTCGATTGGGCAATGACGATAATGGCTTCGCCAGCCTTTGCGTCCAATTCATCGGGTCGTTCCGCCTGAAAATCGTACTGGACAATTCCATAAACCATAGCACCTTGACCCTTGAGTGCAGACATTCTGAATGCGCCGTTCTTGGGGATGGAAGAATCTGTGTGGGAAATACCGCGGTCGGAGAATCCTGAGTCGTGGTCCTTGGACAGGTCGCCGGAACCCCCACTATCCCTCTCGTTTTTGCCGATAACCTCAAAAAAGGAGACGGGCACAAGCCCCCTAGCACTAGGGATCAGCGGATTACACGCTTCGTACCAATCCGAATCGTCCTCCCTGCTGATAACGTGAAAGAAATCTCCCTTGCTGAATGCCAATTCCTGCGAGGTTCCGGGCTCCGGTTGGTAGTCGTAGAGAGCTTTGATCACCTAGAAATGCGGTAAGCCACTGCCAAGCAGAACTTCGGAAGTGGGACAAGGAGGGGTGGTAAAAGAGATGAATTTCAACTCACTTTCTTCGGGGGTAAAATAGCAATAGCAGACTTGGGTGTAATAGAGATATGATGTTTTGGGTCTTTCTCCCCCTTCAGAGATCGTCTAAAGGCCTTTTTTTATATATATATATTTATTAATTTTCAATATATCAAGTAATATTTATGGAAACTCACCTTCATGGTAAAAAGATGTAAGACAAAAGAGATGTAAAGAGGAAAGGAGGAGGAGGGCTCTTTTTAGACCATATGTATACCTTTGGAGCGTAATCCGTATTTTGCGGTTCCAACCACGCGGCTTGGATGATTGTCAGGCCCGCTTTTTACCTTTTTTTCTTTTCTTTTTTTTTTCTTTTACTTTCTTTGTGATCTTATAAGTATGGAATATATAGATTTGGGATATTTTATTTTAAATATGTAGTCTTTGATAGATAATGAACTTGGGGAAGACCAGTGTCAATACATGTACATGGGAAGATACCTAGGTACATACCCTTTAAGATACCTTTTGCCATGTATTTTTGAACCTTGGAAATTTGGAACCTTCCAAAGTTGAGCCTCGGAATATACAATAAGAATCAGACCTAAATCTTAGAATGTCTTCGAATTTTCCTATCTTTTTTTTTTGCCATTCCCAAATACCGTATTGCCGCCGTTGGGCAGACAAATCCACTAGTGCAACGGAATCACACCCTAAACTAAATGCGACTCTGTCCGAGTCTTAAGTGGATTTTATAGAGTGTACTATGTTGTACGGAGTACAGAAAAAAAAGGTACATAGAACGAAAAAGAACAAAAAGAAGAATCTTTGCCCCTCATTTTCCCCCACTGATAAACCATGGTTTAACAATTTAAACCCATGGATTTTAAACGTCGCCTCAAAAACCGTTTTTTTAAATTTCTTTTTTCCATTTTAGGCGTTGCTATATATACTCGATCTCCACCGAACAAAGACAATCAAAGACAGGTCTAGAATGGGGGCCGAATCAGAGGAGAATTAATCCGTTAGATTTAATTTTATTTCTTAAATTAAAATTCTGGGGCTGACTGCAGGTAATCTCATCTCGAATGAAATACTCATAGATTTGGAGAATGATTATCAGAAACTTTCTCGATCTCTTTCTACATAAACCCTATAAACCCTACTTTTGCATTGTGTCCCTTGGCAGGGTCCCCGCACATGGTACTCGACCAGAGTTGCTAACTCGCCTCACATGGACCTACCTAGGTACCTAGGTAGGTATCTATCCTATCTCGCTTCTAGGGCTGGTACGACCCAGCATTAGCCCTACCACGTGGCGACTTTCTATATTGAGATTAGGGTCTACAAGTCAAGAGAGAACTCTGCATAATAAGTACTGGATAGATTGGATATTGTAGGTATTTACTATGCCAATATGCAATCGCCTCTCTCCGACTCGAGTCATAGAGCACATTTTGGCCCTCGGGTGCTCCAAAAAAAAAAAAAAAAAATTGATCAACTCCAGAATCAGACGCCTCCGGGGGGGTATTAGTATCGTCACTCTGCTGGCAATCCTGTGAAAAGAAATCCGGGGGATGATGCCGAGGAGAAAACGAAAAGGCAAATGAAGAAAAATGTAAGAACTTTCGAAAGACTATGTTGTATCCATGTGTGTGAACGTATGTGGTGAACGCCTGCCGCTTTGGAAATTACGCCAAACAAAAGACAAGGAAATGGCTTCGAGATCCAATGGGGTTATGATCCTTGGCGCAAGAAAGAGACGGTCAATGAGAGCTTGATTAGATCTGGCCTTTGATATCAACGACGCGGTGAGCGGCCGCTTTGGCTTGATCAAACAGCGAGCCTGCTTTGCCCGTCAGCAGCCTTACAGCCCCGTTCTTCTCCTCCAGTAGTTCTTCGGAGGAGTTGTCTAGAACGAAACGTGCGGTCTGCTCATCGGATTCAAATCCAAGCTCTTCTGTGATAAATCGGATGTTGACATCGGGTTTGTATCTACAAAAGGTCAATTGGATTGTTTTAACAGAACAGGGGAAATCGAGAAACCTACGCTCTACACATGGTTGCTAGAGCACTCAACCGCTCACGATCGACAAACATGTCCATGAGGTAGGCTCCCATATTTGGGGTATCGAGGTACAGCTGGAAGAAACGATGGTAGTTCCCGAGTGCAAGGGCAGAGCGGACATCCAGGGCATGCTTCACAGCCACGTCTTTCTTATCTTCTGCAGTCACGTCGGCTAGTGCATCGTTCATCGCCGTCCAGTTTCGGGTGTAAATGAAATAGAGAATACGATAGGCCTTGAATTCCGTTGGGTGTCCTCCCAGCTGCTGCGCATACAGTACTCGTAGCTGGGTCTGGCACTGGTTGTACTCACCAAGATCCCCTTTTTCCAAGGCGATGCGCGCATGGATTTCGTAGACAACGACAGTGAATTCAGTCCGGATACGTTGAACCGTTAGGTCTTGACGCAAAGACTTGAACTGGTCACAGATGTAACCGTAGTTGCCATCATGCTTCCATTTTCTCTTCAATAGATCCAGAGCTTTTTGCAAAACCGGCAGAGGACGAACGCTGTCCGGGTTGGGAGCAGAGGTCAATCGGAAGTAGTTCTTCTCCAATGTTTGGCATCGCCCGACAACGGGGCCCTGATCGGCGTCGGCAGCACGCATCGGCGATCCTGCAGGGGAGGAGGGAGAGTTCACACTGCCCCCCACTCCCTCAAAACGCTTCCTCCTCATTTCCAAATTAGCTTTGGACTTACTAGACTGATCCAGTGTTATGCGTGTTTTTTTCTCTGTGGTAGGGTGAGTAACTCGATCTTCAAAACGATTGCGGTTAGCTTTTCTCCATGGCGGCGATCCAGTCTCCGAATGATGGCCATCAGTTGACTTTCGCTTCCGTGTGGCATCCCCCGGGGAAACTGGGTGACTAGACGCCCAGTTTGAAGAGCTAGGGTTGGCCAGGATTTTGTTCCGTTCATTTTGCACCATAGTTTGGGGCAAAGGTAGCCTTTCCCAGTCGATCAATCCCAACTTGTCATTCTGGGCTGCGTCCGTAATGACGTGTTTCAACTTCTCCTGCATTTCAGGCAGACTCACGCTTGCAACCTGGTTTTCGGGAGCAAAGCAGCGTTGCACATACGAGCGTACTTGTGGTGGGAATTCCACTCGTGTCCGGGTTTCTGCATTCAGTGATGCCGACTGCGCGGGCTGAGGAAGAATAGTTCCATTCATTGGCTTGGTATGATGGGCGAGGCTACGACGTGCTTGCACTGGAGTGTATGCTGGAACCGCTGTCAGGTTGTTAGCCTCCTGACACGAGGCCAACCAGGCTCGGGTCGAATTATGTATCTTACCAGTTGGAGGAAATGCACTAGACATTGTACCTGGGGCGGTAGAGCGCCAAGGTGGTACGCTGGAACTCATCGTAGATGCAAGATTTGGAAAAACAAAGAAACAAGATGAAAGAAAGTAAGGAGCTACGAAGGGGCAAGACTCGAGGAACAGCTGGAAAAATCAAGTTTTGATCTGACTCCTTAGCTGGTACAAGGTTTGAGATGAGAGAAAAGGATGATGAACGTTTATTTTCAAGATGAGATGGTTATGAGCCGGGGAAGGGTAAGAGTGAAGTTCACACAGACTCGACCCGTGACGGTGAGCGATACTCGCTTACTCACCGGACCTTTGTTTGTCCGATCATCCCGCCTTATCGCCTTATCGCAATCGCCTTGGCTTACGTGACATCCATGGATGCAGGTGGCCCTATCTCTCTCTCTCTTTATGGATCTCCTTGACATTGGGAGCTGGTTGAGCCTACTAGATGTTCTTCAAGTCGCTGGATCTGACTACTGCGCTCAGACCATTGCTGTTACCCGATGAGATTCTTCTCTTTGTCCAGGACGCGGTAGGGTTGTATGAAGGGTAAGTACCTCATGATGATGCTCCTAATGCGGGGTGCTGATTGGAAGCAAAGGAAATACAAAATCCAGAATTATCAAAATGGCCACGCCTATCTTACATCGCACAGAGTGTGCTATGTTGCAGCTGAAGACCCGCGGAAGTACTCAGTGGCCATTGATCTAAAAGAACTCGACCGAGTGGAGTCTCAGGTGCGACATGCATACATCTTGCTTTCGGGCCTTCTCCTATGAGCCGATCACTAACAAATTTATGAATTCAAGGCTGGCTTTCTGAAATCATCTCCAAAAGTCACCCTATACTCCAAACCGCAGAAGAAGAAGAAGACCGATAAGTCGAGGAGCGCAACAGCAAGCCCAGCCGTAGCCCAACAATCGGCCCTTCATCCAACACATTCATTTTCTCACATTCCACAAACGAACCTACCACAGAGCTCACCATCTCCGAAGACTATAAGTGCTACTTGGATCTGTCCCATATGCTCATTCTCCAACCCGGTTCCGTCCAATTTCGACCCCGCAGCGGCTAGTGCGGCTACAAATTTGCCTCCTTGTCTAGCATGTGGCATAAAACCACCATTTACGACCGTTCTCAAAGCAGCAATTAATGCTGTAACAAACCGGGAGATTCCGTTGCAGAATTCAGTTGCATCACCAGCCATTCTACAAGATACAGGCCAACCAAATGCCAATGTGTCACTATCGCCTTTGGGGTCCGGTGGAACTGTCTCTTGCTCGCGATGTACGTTTATGAACCATCCGTCTCTCGTGGAATGCGAGATCTGCGGAGCGCCTCTATGTGCTGGCTCCCCAGCGAATGCCAGTCGTGTGGACTCCCCTGCACCTTTATTTGAGCAATCACACATCGCGAATACGGAGGCTACTGAGTGTATTAAACTCTCATTTCGTGCAGGTGGCGATAAGACATTCTATGAAAGACTTAAGGGAGCCTTGGTGCAAAGAAAATGGCTTCTGCAGAATGCGCCCCCTGTACCTTCGCCGTCGCACGGCGCCTCAGGGGGCCTGCCTTCCCCTGCCCCTAGCGTTGAAAGTCCTCTGCCCTCAGTACCACGAACTTCCGGGGTTGGTATTGCGGGATTAGAACGCAGAGGGCTTGAAGCCCGAAGGAAAAATGAGCTGGTTATAGGGAACGCCTTTGAAGACCTGGAGGCGTTGATGGCCTCTGCCAAGCAGATTGTTGCGCTAGCCGAAACGCTGGCGCGTGAGTCTGGCATAACTACTAATGAAGGTTCATTAGAAACCAGCGCGGTGCTATCTGAGTCCGCTGCTGCTCTGGGGATGGTGACAACCAAAGACATGCTCAGTTCTGGATCTGAAAGTCTATATCTATCAGAACTTGCGCGCGACCTGGCCGAGTATCTAACCGATGACCGAAAAGGCATATTGCAGCGTGAAGGCGGGATCATGAGTTTAATTGATCTCTGGGCTGTCTTCAACCGGTCCCGCAATGGAGTAGAGTTGGCCAGTCCTTCGGATTTTCAGAAAGCAGCTGAGCTGTGGGAAAAGCTTAAGTTACCAGTTCGTCTACGACGATTCAAAAGTGGTCTTCTTGTGGTGCAGCGATATGACTGGAGCGACGAGAAGACCATTGAAAAACTTCAGACCTGGATGGAAGAGCTCAGGCGAGTTCCCCCTGACGACCCCGTTCCGTGGGATTGGTCCCTCTTCGGTCGGGCGGTCACTGCCCGAGAAGCTGCGCATCGATTTAAGTGGAGTGTTGGGGTAGCTGCCGAGGAACTGGAGATGGCTGAAGACCGAGGGGTGCTCTGCCGAGAAGAAGGAATCGAGGGTCTGCGCTTCTGGCGCAACTATATCTCATCCCCTGAGTATGATGATATCTCTCGCCTTGTTATCTAAGGCAGTGTGCTCCCATTTGAATGTATATATCATGTACTCCCTATTGATCCGAGGGGGTTGTGATCGTGCCCACGCCGAGCATAATAAAATGATGCATGGAAATACATCTAGGGTTAGAGCACACGGCTGAGAACCTTTTGCTACCCACCATCATGGTGATTCTAGCTAAGTGTTACACATGCAGTACTGCTTCGAACCGCAAAGGGCAAAGCAATAATGCCAAGAGCACTAGATTTCTATGTGGATGCTGTCAGGGTGTACTAAACCTACAATTGTTAATGCTTCTACTTACGCATGGTAGTCCAGTGACGCGCCACAGCGGCGGATGACGCATTGCATGCCGTCTCTAGGGCTTAAGGGAGATAGAAAATCCATCCAATAGGTATCCAAGCCACAGATCCTAGATAGGATGAAGGTCATTTATCAGCCTATTCCGGTACATCCTAAAGTTATCAATTAAGTATATCTGACTTTTGTTGTATGATTATGTATAGCACTGGTAATAATCTACACTCCCTAGCCCCGGGGGTTGCAAAGCATGCTCATCTTCAAGAATTTATCACGAATCACACACAGCTTATAAGATAGTGAAGCAATAGAGGCTGATAATTGGCTATCATAGGTCAATTTCCCGTGTACAGATATACACATTCTTACAAGATACCCATATCTACCTGTATGTATCTCTATGGTTGAGCTGGGCCCTGATGTAATTATATAAAATAGCCCATGGACCTGCCAGTTACCTAAATAGGTAACCTGCGTGGCTCGTGACCCTGCTAATCGTCATATACAGATAGATCTACAAGGACAAAAGTCTTGTTTCTTACACGCTTGATGTCAGGTCAAATCTGCTGTACAACTTGAGTTTCCGCCACTAGACTTGTGGAGGATGGGGGTTGTTCCCTCTTAAACCCTACACTTGATGGTCCTCCCATAGGTCTTAACTGACCCATGACTTTTCATTTCTCACTAAGCTCAAATCTGACAATGCCTCGGCGATTTACGATTCGGCGATACACTGAATCAGATTCCAGCTCTCCTTGGAGTTTGCGCAATAAATTCGAAGGCCCAATCCCACGTTATGACTAAGAAAGAGAATTGCCATCCCGCTAGGCGATTGGCCTGTGATGTTTGCCGAGAGCGTACGTGCTTTATAAACCCAACCCTTAAAAGCAGACAACTCAAGTGAAAATTCCAGGCAAGGTTAGGTGTGATCGGGCAGATCCAAAGTGTGGTCGCTGCATGCGCCTTGGTCATGTCTGCAGCTACCAAGGGCAGAAACGACGCCGCGCCGCCCAGGCGGATCTGCCACGACAAGTATCTGAACTTCAGGATCGACTAGGTACTCATCTTCTAATGTATATCACTGGTTCTAGAATATATCTTAATCAGATGGCATCATAGCACAAGCTGAGGCTATGCTTCAAAGCTCCACGGCGCCCACTACTCCAATAACATTCCCTCAGAGCGAATTTTTCTGGCCCCGGATCCCATCACCAAAGCCACCTGGAGACCACGAGAGGCTAATGCAGTGTCTTCAAAGCTGTGCTACTCCTCCAATGGACTATGGGCTCGAGGGGTTCGACTTGTTCACCAATCTCGCAGAAGACATTCCTGGCTTTGGGAGAGCTATCGATCCATCTTTGACATCAAAGATTCTTCCGCTCTCCCAAGAGGACATCCCACCACAATCATCTACGCTTGGGAGTATTTGTTTCCTGGACGGAAACTCGGTGTCCCCTTATTCCAACGATCCTTCCTTCCCATCAACCCCAGTCCTCGATGAGTTGATCTCACCACAAGATATCCAGATATTGTACTGTGATCCACCCTCTTTCTTCTCCGCAAATCAACACGAACTAACCAGATATATTTAGACACCGTAATTATTTTGATGTTTTCTATCCAGTATTACCTATCATCAACAAGTCGCGGTTTGGGCGGGAATGGGCACAGCATCCTACATCCCCTCGCATCCGCGGCTTGAGTTTTTCAGTGGCTCTGATTGGCACAACGATTTGCCAGCGATACGCTCATCTACAACCGGAATGTTACAGCAATGCACACAAATACGTAGAATTGTGCGAACGAGATGATGGCGAGCCCTATCTAAGCCTAAGCACATTCCAGGCATTATTACTCATCGTCCGATATGAGTTGACCAAGAAGCATTTCGCCCGAGCTTGGATGACTTTAGGCAAGGCCGTCACGCTGGCTCAAATTCTCGATCTGCAACACATGGACACCGGTGCATTTCATCAAACCAACCTCAGACGCCATATATCTTCTCCAGAAATAGGATTGCCGGATATCCATGACCTAGCCTCCATGGAGGAAATGCGCAGATCATTTTGGGCACTGTACATCTTCGAGACCTATGCAAGTATCCGAATTGGGCGTCCATGTATGTTGGAAGACGATAAACTGCGGACTTATCTCCCATCCCCGGGTAAACTAAGCGAGGCCTTTGTGCCTTGTCCAATGCCCTTTATCTGTGAACCGGCTAAGCTTCCTGCAGTAACAAATCTGTCCTCCTACGCTGCAGTAATAATTATGATGAAATTAGCTCGGTTATGCTACAAGCACGTTGATATTCTGTCCCGTGTCGTCGGTGACTCAGGCTTCTGGGACCGCCACTACCGACTGGTCAAGACGATAAATAGTGATACATTCATCTTCCAACGCCATCTGACCGCGAAAGCGGTGCGTGAAGACCCTCTTGCCTTTACATTACACCTCAATTTGTGTGCTACGCACATTCATCTTCACGAGGCGGTTATCCGAAAAGTTGATGAGGAAGAATTACCAAAGCTTGTCGCAGCCGAGAGCCGTAAGTGTAGTACCGCGGCAGTATTGAAGATTCTTGATGTGCTTCGCATGAATTGGCCTGTTCATATGTCAGAGGTGAGTAAGCCATGATCCTCTTTATACTTCTATAATTTGCACTCTCTGGTCATATTTGCCTTTCTTACTCACGTTGCCTAGCATAGCAACTTTGCACTTCAAGCAACATTTACTGGCTGGCCAATTTCAATGAGCCTAAATGCGCTCAGTCGCAATGTGCTAAATGGGATCGACACCACACCTATCGGCGTAGTAGACTCTTTCCGCCTCTTACGTTCCGCACTTGACCTGGTAGAGGAGTCAGATGGACACTGGCACACGGTGAGCGGGGCGGCGGTGTCTGCCCTAACAAAATGGGATGAGCAACAAAGCGGAATCAGTGGAATGGAATAGAATGTGATGATAATACTCGGTATGTGGAGTTCGAATATGGATTTTGTGATGGGGCTATACGTATACTTTAGACAAATATGGATCATATTTCGGTATGAATTGATATACCCAATAGAAATGTGAGGGCGATTTGGGGCGTCACGTCAAAAAATTCGAGTCCCCAAGCCTTTGATTATGAGCAATAATTGCGTACTCCATCAATTTCGCAAGACCTTCCATAGCTGTATAAATTTAAGTACATAATCTATGCCCCGCCTCCTGCTGCAATAGATTCTTTTTCAACTTTGCTCTCTGAGAGTCGCATTGTTAGCCATACTATCATTTCAACGCAAGATTTCGGGCAAGTAACTTACTCCAAAAATGCGGTCTTCACAAGACTCAAAACCTAGCCATAGTACTGTACCTTCCAGCCATTAAATGACCGAGGGGAGGCATCTTTGGAAAGCACATCTCGAAGTTTGGGCTCTCTACGTGGTTGTAGCTGGCGCTACATACTCCGTCCACTTTTTCGGGATGTCTGTTGGTGTTAAATGTATATAAAGCAGAGAGCTATAAATTTTTGAAAAGTATCTAGCCCAAAACAGAGTAATGATGAATGTGATTCTCTGGTTATAGTCGCGACCTGCCTGTTCTTAGGGTTGATGGTTCACCGTGTCTTGGCATTGTCTTGGCAAAGAAAAGCGGCCGCCTCAACTCCGTCCCCACGAGCTGTTCCTTCGGGCAAGAATCGGGCAAAAAGGCCGAAGAGAAGTAAAGAAAGTTTTAATCAAGGGAATCTTGACAAGTGGACTAATTAATTACCACCGGACATACCGATGATGTTCAATTTGATGGGGAAAGGGTTAACCTCAGCCAAGTACTCCTAAATCAACTAACCATTCTTCGAAGAATGAGCTCTTGCGGCGCGAGTTCAGATTGAGGTCTCATGAACATGTGAGATACTGTTACCATCCCCGTTGAACCGAAGAGGACGATGGGCCGCTCGGCCGCTCTTTACCCGCATCATCTCCAACAAGCTGAAGTCGGCCTATCAATCCGTGATCTAGGCCCCCGGTCTCGCTACAGCAACGCGAACGGCCCATATTTAGAAGCCCTACCGCTGCCGCCGTTCCGTGCGCCACGGACACCGATTATCCACGGTCCGACTTAGCGCTATGCGACTATAGAGGTCATTGGGGCCGACGATGGCCCGGCCGGAACCTCTCAAACCCGAGTTACGCACTTCCGGAGATAGCGATCTATATCAGTATCTCTCGTGAGCCATTCATGGATGAGTGATGTAAAATGAGTCTGCTGGCTGAATCGCGGCCAGCGAGGACTGGAGGAATATATATATACTCGCACATCCCATCGCATTCTGACAGATTAACACATTAGTAACATCTTCAATCAAGCTCATATACAATATATCAATCGCAATGCCCTTCATGAAAGATAGCTCCTCTTCCGGATCACCGGACTGTGAGCCGAGCCCCCATGTGTATCTGGATACTCAGCGAATTGTCAGCGACAACGAATATGCTGGAGGGTTTAGCAACAGAGCCAATGAGCCACCCTTGAGAGAGCAATTGGAACCAATTGCAGTGATAGGGATGGGTGGGATATCCATGACGGCCATACGGCCTTGAAAGCGCCTAGTACTGACTTTGGAGCAACAGGATGTCGCCTTCCAGGAGACGTTGCATCACCGAATGATTTTTGGAAGATGATGATGAACCAGAACACTGGTCACTCACCTAAAGTGCCATCTTCTCGATTCAACATAGATGCGCACTTCCACAAGGACAACGACCGCCCCGGTAGTTTCAATGCGAAGGGTGGCTACTTTCTGAATGAGACGCTGCAAGAGTTCGACCCCGGTTTCTTCGGGATGACTCCTGTCGAGGCGATGTGGATGGATCCACAGCAGCGAAAGCTGCTGGAGGTCGTATATGAGACTTTCGAGTCGGCTGGTGTTAGCTTACAGGAAATGTCGGGGTCGGATACCGCATGCTTCATTGCAACCTTCACAGCCGATTTTCAACAAATGTCGTTCAAGGAGCATAGCTTCCGACACAGCCTGGCTGCTACTGGAGTTGATCCTGGAATTATCAGTAATCGAATCAGCCACGTTTTCAACTTGCGAGGCCCCAGTATCGTGGTAAATACCGCATGCTCTTCCTCCGTGTACGCAATTCACAATGCCTGCAATGCGCTGAGAACAAAAGAGTGCTCGGCGGCTATCGTCGGCGGATCAAACCTTGTCTTGACAGTTGATCAGCACATGAACACTGCTAAGCTAGGAGTGCTCTCACCCGACTCAATTTGCCATACATTCAATGAGCACGCCAATGGGTATGGTCGTGCAGAGGGTGTAGGTGCTGTTTACCTCAAGCGGCTCAGTGATGCCATTCGGGACGGAAACCCTGTTCGCGGAGTGATTCGAGCCAGCGCTGCCAATAGCAACGGCAAGGTTGCAGGCGTAGGTATCACGCATCCGAGCTATGCAGGCCAGTGTGCTGTTATTCGCCATGCCTATCACCGCGGAGGACCTCTTGACCCCGCCTGGACCGGGTACTTTGAGTGTCATGGTACTGGCACTCCCGTCGGCGATCCACTCGAGGTGCGTGCAGTAGCTGACTCCATGAATGATTTACGAGAAAGAACTGCCAATCCTCTGCTCATTGGAGCCGTCAAGACAAATATCGGTCACAGCGAGGCTGCAAGTGGATTGTCTGCCGTGATTAAAGCTATTCTTGCCGTTGAACGGGGTATTATCCCACCCACGCGAGGTGTGACCCATCTGAACTCGAAGATTGACTGGGACAGCTGGAAAGTCAAGATTCCTACAGAGCCAACCCCATTCTATTCTTACTTGCCAGTACGACGAGTGAGTGTGAACTCTTTTGGATATGGCGGCACAAATGCGCACATTATCGTGGAAGGCGCAGATTCCCTGTTGGTTGCACCACAGCGTTATCAATATACCGCTACCCAGCCTGAAGCTCGACTTCAAATCACCCGGGGTGCATTGGAGAGAAATCGACCATTCCTTGTCCCCTTCTCTGCTCACGACAAGCCAACCCTTAAACGTAATATCGAAGCGCATTCCGCGGTAGTCCAAAACTACAATTTGCTAGATCTATCCTATACACTCGCCAATTGTCGCACTCGATTTCAAAGTCGTGCATTCGCAGTTGCAACTAGCCCCCGAAAGGCCGATATCTTTGCTGATGATTTGCAGCAATTCACCTTCGCCGAGAGGAAGAAGTCTCACGCACTGGGCTTTGTCTTTACTGGACAAGGTGCCCAGTGGGCCCGAATGGGCTCTGAGCTGATGACATATTACCCCAGCTTCCTGCAAAGTATCAGGTACATGGACGCGATTCTTGAAGGGCTAGATGATACCCCGGAGTGGACGTTGGAAGACACGTTGCTAGAAGACGCAAACATATCCGTGGTGAATGAGGCTGAATTCTCGCAACCCTTGTGCACGGCAATCCAGGTCGCGCTCGTCCAACTTCTTCGACTGTGGAACATTGTCCCTTCCATCACTTGTGGCCATTCCTCGGGCGAGATTGCCGCTGCATACGCTGCCGGCTTCATTTCCGCAGCCGAAGCAATTGTTTTGGCATACTACCGTGGCAAGGTGGTACGCGACATCAATACCAATGGTGCAATGATGGCAGTCGGACTAGGAGACAAGGCAGTCCAGCCATATATTGCGGAGTGCGGTACATCCGTCGTTGTGGCTTGTCATAATTCTCCAGCGGGTGTCACCTTGAGTGGCGACGCAGATGCCTTGGAAGCCATTCGTGAGAAGATGACAGCTGACAAGGTATTTGCACGTATCCTGAAGACAGGAGACAAAGCTTATCACTCACCGCACATGCAACCTGCAGCAGCCAAGTACGAAGCCTTGGTTCGTAATGCAAGACAGACACTAGACCTGGATAGCCCGAAGTTGCTTTCAGACAATGTGCAAATGGTGTCGTCTGTTACCAATACAATTCTAGCACGAAATGCTGTTCTTGACGAAACATACTGGAGTGCGAACCTATTGAGTCCAGTGTTATTCAACCAAGTCATTCAGACGATTGCATCCAGTGCCGAATTCGACCAAATTGACACGCTCATCGAAGTCGGGCCTCATTCTGCGCTTTCTGGTTCTATACGCCAGATAAAGGCAGAATTCAATTTCGAAAACCTACAATATCTAACCACTCTCATCAGGAATGAAAATTCCGCCACATCTCTTCTTAAACTTGCGGGCGAGCTGTTCCTCCGCGATTATCCTCTTGAATTGCAACGAGTAACTGCCATCGAAGAGAGTTCACCCAGTAGCAAGATCTTCTGCAAGAAGGGCAGCCTCATCGTGGACCTTCCACCCTACCAATGGGACAAAACCAAGCGGTTCTTAGCAGAATGCCGTGAGAGCCGCGAGCACCGACAGGCCAAGCACATACGCCACGATATCCTAGGTTCCATCGTACCAGGCTGCGATTTAAAAGAGCCTTCTTGGCGCAATTTACTCCGCATCCGCGATCTACCATGGCTGAAAGATCACTCGATCGGCGGCGAGGCTATTTTCCCTGCAGCTGGATATTTCTCAATGGCAATGGAGGCCATAACACAACTCAGCGAGAGAGCAGACTCGGCCTCCAGCATTGAGGGATATGTTTTGCGAGATGTTAGTATCAAGCAAGCGCTTGTCACCCCTGATGATGATTTCGGCATCGAGGTGATGCTGAGCATGCGTCCCTCTTTGTACGCCCCAAATGAGGACCAAAGACCTTGGTGGGACTTCGACATATCCTCCATTACTGAGAGCGGATATGTTAAAGAGCATGTGGCGGGTAGCATCAGCGTTACAACTCGTCGCAAAGGGCTTTCTAGCCGTGCCATTCCAAATTTTCCGCAACGCGCGTCGGGCAAGTCTTGGAACCAGGGTCTAGGCGAGGTTGGTTTCCATTATGGCCCGGCCTTCCAGGATATAGAGAATATCTACTTCGACGGCAAGACCTATGCTGCGGCCTGTGACACTCGTCTTAAGACAACAGTCGAGGGCATGATCGAAGAGTCCCGCCATGTCTTGCACCCTGGAACCGTGGACTCTTGTTTGCAGCTCCTCCTCATCGCTAACTGGGCTGGTTGTGCCAGAAACATGACAGCGGGCTCATTGCCCATCCAAGTAAATGATATGACCATCTGGAAACCCACGGCGGCGCAAATTGATGCTGGTGCAGCAACTGCCTTTTCGTGGATTGACCTGCGCGGGCTACGAACCTTCAATGGCCAAAGTGAGCTAAAAGCAAAGAACGGCGAAGTACTTATGGAGATAAGAAATATGAGGTGGGTGGCCTACGAGGCTGTCGTGCCGCAGAAGGCTGGCGAGCCAGAGATGCCTCAACCTTATGGGGAAATGGTGTGGAAGATAGATGTCGACTCGGTATATAAATCCGCTCATCTAGATGTTTCTTCCTTCGTAGATCTTGTCTTATTCAAGGATCCGGAGTCCAGAGTGATGGTGGTCGGCGCGGAAACTGCCGAAGCAGTTTTGACCAAGTTGCAGGGCCGTGCAATTACAGTGATGGATTCAGCAAGCGAGTTGGCCCAATTAATGAAGGATGAATCCTTCGACCTTGTAGTTGCGTCTATAAACACAAGCAAGGATCTCATGGGCGTGCGGAAGCTGCTGACCCCCGGCGGTAGAGCAATTATCACACCGGAAACTCCACTCGATCCTAATGACTACGCAACTTCTGGATTCTCTCGCGATATTATCACACTGGGAGATGGTATGGGCGTGGTAGTCAGTGCAGTGAACTCGCCACTCACAAAATTGGACTACATGGATGGTTCTAATCCTCATGCAATTCATCTTGTCTACCGCCACTCGCCTCCAGCTATCATGTCGGATATCCAGTCGGCTCTTGAACAAAAAGGGTGTTTGGTATCTTCGTCCAGTATCGTCTCCCATATTGAGATGGGTAGTAATGTCATATTGCTGGCCGATTTTGAAGAGCCACTTCTTCATTCCATCACCGAGAGTGAGTTTATCGGTCTCCAACGAATAACGAACACCGCGACAAGGCTCCTTTGGGTTACTGCAGGTGGTCTGTTGGAGGGTAAGAAGCCCGAATACGCCATGGCATCCGGACTGATACGGTCCCTCATGTCTGAGCAGGCTTCTCTCTGGGTAACTCTGGTTGATTTTGATACCGAGACGACATCCTCTGAGGATATCTGCAGAATTGTGACCAAGAAGATTGTTCAACAGGACAAAGGAATCAAGCCCACGGAAAGCGAATATTATGTCTCCAAAGGCCAAACATTCATCAGTCGCCTGGTTTCCAACGAGATCATCAATACCGTATACTTGACAGATGAGACCAAGCCAAAGTCAATGATCTTTGACCCCAATCTGCCAATAGTTGGGAAGCTACAGTCTGGAAAAGTCATATTCGAGATGGACGACAGCACAGATGACTCGATTGCTTCCGAATCGGTCGAAGTGCGGGTTTTTAGCACTGGTCTGAACAGAGAAGATGCGGTCATTGCTTCAGGGGCAGATGTTTTAACAGACTTCAGCCATGAGATTGGCGGGGTAGTAACGCGAGTTGGCAACGCGACGACAGGATACGCTCCAGGCGATCGGGTTATTGGCTTCAGCTTTGGCAAATTCGCTACAATCCAACGCGTCCACCAGAGTCTTCTGCATAAAGTCCAGCCAGATGAGTCTCTGCCGGAGATGACCTCTCTCCCTATGGCATATGGCACAGCTCTTTATGGATTGAAGAATCTTGCTCATTTGCAAGAAAGTGAGACAGTTCTCATCTTGCCAGGTTGTGGTCTAGCAGGCACCGCGGCGATTAGAATCTCCAAGGCATTTGGCGGATATCCATACGTTGTTGCTACCAGTGCGGCTGAAGCCGAGTTTATCAGCTCGCACTTCGAACTGGATTCTTGCCAGGTCATTTTGGCCTCTGAGATTTCCAAGCTACAAGATGTAAACGGTCAATACAAGGTTGATGTCATCTTTGCTTCAGAATGGGTAGCACCCTCTGTGGCACAAGAGGTCTGGCGACACATTTCTCCCTTTGCGCGCTTTGTCAACTGTGGTCGGAAAAATGTCCTCACCCGCAGCATCCTTGACACAGTCCCTCTTCGTCGGGGAGCTCAATATATTTCGTACGATCTTCTAGATCTCTACAACATCAAGCCGCACATTATGTCCCAGCTACTGGTGGAGACCGTTAGTCTTTACCGACAAGGCATCATTGCCGCAATCTTCCCTCGGTCACTCAAGAACATTGCTGGACTTGATAGTGCCCTGGCGTCATTTTCTGATAGCTTCGAGGCGGGGAAGACAATTATTTTGCATGAGACGTCAGAGGCAACTTTGAATATTCTGCCTCCTCGCCCTCGCTTGACATTGCGTGCAGATGCCACATATCTTCTCATCGGATGCCTTGGAGGCTTGGGCCGTAGCCTCACATCGTGGCTCATGAAAAAAGGAGCTCGCAACTTTGCGTTCCTTTCTCGATCTGGCGCTGACTCAGAACAAGCTTCTCTGGTTGTCGATGAATTAAAAGCCGCCGGTGCCACTGTTCAAGTATTCCGGGGAGACGCAGGTGTAAAGTCCGATATTGAAGAGGTCGTCAATTCTGTACCGGGTGACCGGCCTATCCGAGGGGTGATTAATGCCGCTATGGTACTGCGAGTAAGCCATTCCTTCGTTGTGTCACTTGTGCTGCTGATATAACTGACATGCCAACTCACAGGATGGATTGTTCCACAACATGCCGTATGAGAACTGGACAACATCCGTACATCCAAAGGTCACCGGTACGAAGAACCTGCACGAGGTCCTTTCCAATCTTCCACTGGATTTCTTCGTGACAACAAGCTCCGTCTCTGGGGCATTGGGAACACCAGGACAAAGCAACTACGCCGCAGGAAACAGCTATCTAGATGCTCTCGCGCGACACCGTCGCTTTCACCGGCAGAAATCAGTCTCGATCGTCCTTCCAATGGTCCTCGGAGTTGGGGTGGTCGCGGAGAACAACGAGCTCGAGGAGTCACTCAGACGCCAAGGGATGTATGGCATTGACGAAGAAGCCCTCCTCCGCGTCTTTGAGATTGCGATCATTGAACAGGTTGGGCAAGGAATTTCAGACCACATTGTTGTCGGTCTGGATCCAATAGAGCTCACCAAGGCAGCACAGGAGACAGGTAACATCGACAGCTTTTGGGCGTCGGATGTACGGTTTAATCACACTGTTTGGGCTATGAAGTCCCAGGGTGAGGATGTGCACGCTGCAGGTGGGAGTCAGAGTATCCTGTCTTCCTTGCAAGGGTTGAAATTTATCGATGCGGTTCAGGCTGTGCGTGAACACATTATTGGCAAGCTTTCTCGCATGCTGATGCTGGGCATGGACGAGTTTGAAGAAGAGCATCGGTCTATTGCCAGCTATGGGGTTGATAGTATGATTGGTGCTGAGTTGCGAAATTGGATCTTCAAGGAACTGGGTCTGGAGATTTCGTTCCAGCAGCTATTGGGTTCGAGTCTGACGATTACCAAGCTTGCAGAACATATTGCAAAGAATGGGGTTGCAAAGATATAGTGTACCACGGTGTGCTCATGTGCACAAAACAATGAGAGGGAAAGAAGTGTATCTGTTGATTAATAGCGTACTAGTACGAGGGAAGTGCCTAAGATCTTTCAGTACCCGAATGAGACTGTGTTTTATATCCTGTTTTATATCTTACACTACATATCGTCCGCCCCTTGTGGCTTATACTGTATGTTGCGGCGCGACAAGTCTGCTCCTATGTGGTCAGGGCCGTCTGGAGAAAAAGAAAGAATCAACAAGGAGCTTTTAAAAACTCAGACATTGGAACATGAACGGTCCACAGTAATAGGTAATCCACTAGAATTATTTTCATCAAGAAGTTATTTTCATCAAGAAGTTATTTTCATCAAGAAGTTATAGTCAATACTATGTATTGGGATTCATTTCATACGTGGATCTACTTTAAAGCACTTCAATATTCCGCAAGACAAAAACAGTAGGTATGATGTATGAGTCCGCATGAAAATGAAATAAACACCCATCAAACCTGCATGTCAATTTTCTAGTTTAATGAAATTCCAATGACTGGCTTTCAATGATCCTATAGTCGTAAAATAGAACCCGAAAACTACTACCAGCACAACCTACTCTCGACGACGCCGATCAGACTCAAACACAGTGAACCCATCAATTCCACGCCCATCCTTTCCACCGGTGCGGAAGAACTCGGCCATGGCTCCGACAGCATAACACGTCGCTAAGGTAGCTGTGCTCGCAATGAGAATTCTACGGCCTATTTTGCGAAACGAAGACTCGGATGTTGAGGTTCGTTCGGTTTCAGAGCTAGAGGGTGAAGTTGCTGGAGGAGGCTAAGTCGACCTGTTAGGAGGCCACCTGAATAGACAGTTCTACTGTCTACTCACCTCAGTGGTGGATTGCCAGGGAGCTCCGGCGTAGGTAGCCGAGGAATCCATTGAGTCGTGGCGAATGTGTTTGGCAATCTCGGTGTGAATTTCTTGTTCCTGGTCTGCTGTGGTATTCGATGGGTTATAACGAGGGATGCTTTGAGATTTTCGGAAGACAAGGATGTTGCCTCCGCCGGTTGCAATTTCGTAGCCATCTTCTTGCATTTTCTCAAAATAGGGCAGGAATTTGGCAGGGTTGTGCAGTCGAGATAGAATCTCACTTGGTCGACTATCTTCGTCAATACCGAAGAATGAGTCTGCCTGTGAAGCTGTGACTTGCGACGTCGACGTATCAAAAGCAAGAATATGGAATTTAGGGGAAGGGAAGGCTGCCGGTTGCTCTCCTGTCTCAGTGCCTAGGTTCCGACTTTGGATAATAGAGTCGCCAACGCGGTCTTCGGAAGTATCAAAATTCAGCGGGGTGTCTGGCACGTCTAATTCCAAAGGAGTATAACGTAAGGGGATGTCCGTGTCCAGGGGGCTCAGGTCCTTATTCTCACTGGGGTCCTCGGCACTCGCCCTTTCCAGAATCGATTTTGCCTCCAGTTCATTCCCGGGTGTACAGTCGACGATATTCTTGGCTATCTTGGATGTAGCAAGGCTAGAAGGTAGCTCTAGTCCTGATTTCATTTCGTCAGTTGAAGCCGGGTTGCAGACGAACTTGGCCTCCAGTTCGCTCCCAGGAGGACAATCAATAGAGGTCTCATCTCCCGATTGGGAACTGCGCTGACTGGCCAACTTTGATAATGCATGTGCTTTAATATTACTACCTGCAGAGCATTCAAAGCTTTCTTGGGGGCCTGTTATTGAGGATGCGTTGGTATTTTGAAGGACAGGACCAGCAGGCTGAATACTGAGACCAGCGGGCTCAGAAGAAAACTTTGCGTCCAGCTCGTTGCCTGATGAGCAATCAATTGAAAAGCCAATTTGCTTGTTTGGAATCTGTGTCGCCAACGCAGACGGAGGACTCTGGACAGAGCAGCTGGCGGGATCGGAGATGAACCTTGCCTCCAGCTCACTTCCCCGGGAGCATTCCACGTTTTTATCTGCAGTCAAACCAGCATCCAGTTTATTAGTGGATCCGTTGCCATTAAATGCGCCTGGCCAAGGTTGTGCAGAAGGAATAAGTTCAGAAACAAACAATATTTCCAATTCACTTCCAGGGGGGCAACCCATGTTTACATGGGGCTTTCGCTCAACTCGAGCCCTGCTCTGCGCATCCTGAGAGGTTGATGTTGAGGTAAAGAGTGCATCTAACTCGCTACCTGGAGAGCATACAACTGTTGACAGTGGATTCAACGGGGCTTTCAAAGGACCCAGTCCCGTGTTTCCAGGCTGAAATTGTCCATTTCCAGCCAAATTAGGGCTGTGAGCAAATTTTGCCTCGACTTCGGTGCCTGGGGGGGAGTCAACCGCCTTATGAGAGTTAATTTCTGCTTCCGCATTACTGGATTCGGGTGCAGTAGACGATGGTATCGCTACCATACGTCCACTGATAGGGTCGTACTGGAGTCCAGCATGGTTGGTGTCAGTTCTCCTGTGCCACTTGTCTACTCTCGGTCTAACATTGGGTGGTTTTTCCATATTGAACAGCGACTGAAGGAAACCATTCAATGAAGTGTCGTTCTTTCCAAATTTCTGGAAGAGGTCCAATCGGCGCCCAAAGACAGCCCTGTAAGGGTCTGCCTCTATGTACTTTCTCAAGAACTCCATGTGTTTGTGCATCTGCCCTAGATCCGAATCCCAGAGCCTTCTCTCTCGGGCCCCCGGGGGTCCGAAGAACCTCGACTGGGAACGCCAAGCTGCACAGCTCCAGCGTAAGTGTGTATCATTAGGAGTAGCGTTGCCCTCATGGCGAGTTTCGGGCTTTCGCTGATATTTGTTGAAACTTTGTGAGATACATTCTTCCTTGTCTTCTTGGCCGTGTCGGGCACATCGCCATATACCCCGATTTGAAGTATGTATGGCCGCCAATTGGGTAGTTGCCGGGCGAATGACTCGAGACCCCGACTTTCTGACTGACATTGCAACTGAGAAACTCATGATGTATTCCCGGGCTTTTATGTTAAAGCTCAAGATGTTGTGTATCCCAGGCAATTTATTCTAGCGCCATTGAAAGTCTGTTGATTCCCGCAGTAGTCAATGACCCCCTGTTGTGGATCAGATCCACTTATGGAGCACAGTGATATGAGGAGGTATTGATCCTAGCCGAGTCTGTCCTACAGAGGCCCTCCAAAAATCAAAAATAAAGAATTGGAATGGGGACAAGAATATTGATGTCAAATCCCCTCTAAGTTGAAGAAACGAAAATGAATGGGAGAAGGATCAAATAAAGGAAGAAGGACCAGAGGACTCCGGATCAACATTGGGGTTACAGCCAATCGGCGGTCGCAGCTCGGATTCCCCGCAAAGTTATGTCAGCGTTGACGTCATATTTGAACGTCACGATAACATCTGTCCCAACCACTATGTTGTATGTTGTAGATCACCGATGTACATGGGCATGGCCTTCTCTTCTTCTAAATAATAACAACTTCCCGACAAAATTCAAGAATTTTCGATTTGTTGAGAAGATGCTTGTAGAGGATCTGCAAAAACAGTTGACGGTTGAAAGTGGGCGTGTCGTACCGTGCATTGAAGTGTTCCTCGTCAATATTTGCATATTCAGCCAGACAATGTGACTTACTTCTTGACAGTAGGAAGAAACTGTTCTGTAGGCACCCATTTTAGGTCCGGTGGTAGCATCTCCCCATTGTCGGGCATCTTTCGATCACTTCCTAGCGCATGACAAGTTGATGCAAAATTTGGCATCCATGTGGCAGCAAGATAGGGAGTAGATACAGCCCAGAATACAAGGTCTGCTGAGTTTGATTGCATTCACATCTTCTGTGAGAAAGTCGCCCTGTTTATGACATTAGCATCTGCACCTTGCAAAGGTCTTTCACGTTCGGCGCCATATTTTCATCTAGCTCAGCGAGGACGGAGAAGTGCGGCTTCCTCAGTCAGGTATAAGGCCAGACTTCTGTTTCGCGGGCCTAATAGCCTGGTGGACGATGGCACGGATATGGTGCGGCTGAGACCAAAAGCCCGATTACCCCGACAACCGTTGCAATTTCTGTAACCCCACAAGCAAGATTATTAAATCAAGATATAAGGCAGGATCCTTTAGTGGGCTTCCTTACCATGAATATGTGCTCGAATGGCAATTTTCAGCATTTCTAACTTTAGCTTCACATCTAACCTCTCATCGAAATGACTCGCCCCGCGCCATATCACCTCTTCATCCTAGGATCACTTGGCGTTGCCTCGGTTTGAGGGTTCACTGGGTATTAGGGGAGATGTACGACAATTTCGATGCCATTGTCGCCTCAGGTCATCTTCCGGATAGACGCACCACGCGAATGACCTACACGGGGATCAAGGTGCCGGATCACCAAATAAAGCCTATTATTTTACGAAACCCTTAGCAATACTAAATATGATAGGTCTCGAATGTTATTCTTTTATATCAAATTTTTGTCGCTTGTAGCAGTATCTGGGTTTTGATCGAGAGTCGAAGACGGGTGTGACATCTTACACGTCGAAATACCATGTGTATGATAATGCCTTTGCATCCAATGCCTGTCACAAATTAATCCGTAGACAGGTTTCTTTTCATCACATTCTGGCAGCTCATCTGTGCCGCTCTCGTGCAACCATCAATATCACTTTTTGGTAATCCGGCATAGTAAACAACTACGGGACCCAACTACCCAGAACACGACGCCATAATACTATTTGCTACTACCATCCCAATAGTACTCTGTTCTTTCCTATTGGTTGTCCCAGTACTGCAAGCCAGCGAGTGGTCACGGGTATATTGCATTTTCGCTTCCAACTCCTCTTCAAATTACTTACCAGTTCGTCGTCTATTCCCAATTTTTAGGACCAGGACCCGGTCGCTCCCTTGTCCTACTCCCCTCCACAAAGAAAAAAATCTAGCCAATCATACAGAGAAGTCGTGGCTTGTGACTTCATATAAATTGGCTAGAACGGTTTCTAGTGCTGTACATCTATTTGCGAGATCAGAGCTGACACCAAGTGGGCGTGAAAAGATATTGGAAAGCTGACCTCAAACACCAAGGTGGCCAGCAATCCAATTACCAAGCTCAAAACTTCCAACTAGTTAGAGCGAAGGTTGATGTTATATGTCAATATATATAATCATTACCAACACCTATACTTAAATTGCTTCTCCATATTCGACTCCAAACAGTTGGGATTATGTTCTAAATTACGTACTTTGAAAATAAAAATCATTCTAACCTCGCCATCGCGTAGAGTGCTCCGAGGTCGGTAGTCACTGTGGGGAAAAGGACGTTATCCCCACAGAATCCCGGGGGGGCCAAATAATTTGAACGACTCAACAAATTCTGCTTCCTAATTTGACTCAATTCATTCCGACTGAAATCCCACAAAATGTCCAAGCCAACACGTACCGCCGTCAGCACTAAGGGAGCACCAGTCCCGCCTCCAATCCTATCCCAGGGTCTGGTCGTCGGCAACGTTGTCTACTGCTCTGGCCAGTTGGGAGTAGACCCGACCACGGGTGAAATGGTGAAGGGAACTATTCAGGACCGAACAGTATGGGATATGTGACATCTGATGTGTATTATATTTTCTGACATGTAAATAGCGACAAATCCTACGCAACCTCAATGCCGTCCTAGAGGCTGGAGGGTCGAGTCTGCACGATGCAATCAAGGTCAACATCTTCCTCACCGATATGGCTGATTTCTCGGCTGTGAATGAAGTCTACGATACTTTCTTCTCGGATCCTAAACCGGTACGTACTCTCTGATCAAAAACCAAAAGAAACGAGAATCAAATTCCATGGAGAATGTCATTTAGTCTGGAATTTGTCCCTCTTCTGCTATTGTCTGAAAAATGGATCGTTTCTCACTATTGGGCCTCTTCTAGGTGCGTACTTGCATTGCCGTCAAATCCCTCCCTAAGGGATCGGATGTCGAAATCGAGTGTTCTGGCCTGGTTACGAAGCCTAGTAATGGCCGCAGTTCTAGACTTTGAATAGGGCTGGAATGACGATGACGTGGAGAATGAACAAGGCAGGCAACTCCACCTGAGTTGGTTTCATGGCTTTTATTTCTTTTGATGGCCCAAACTCTACCAAAAATCAAATGTGCGAGAAAGTCACATGATTCATGTATAATTTACAGCCTATCTGGAAATATTACGATATGATCGGCATTGAATACTTGTAACTTTTGTTAAACATTTTTCAATAAATACAGGCTAAAACCAAGGATGAAGGGTGGAGACTGGAGCTGTAGCGCTCAGGAACAGGGCTAGCGTCTGCACTCATCCATGGTACGGTTGATGAGCCCCTGGAATATTATGTACATTGTATATAAAAATGCTATTAAAAAAAAAAAATACCGGAAGTAAACCTAGTACCTAGACAATAGAAAGAGAGCCAAAACTACTCTGTAAAGCTGACCTGGGATCTGTAGGTTAGACAAAGAGGATGTGGCTGAGTCAATTTTTAATTACGGAGTAAACCCGTGGACAATTCATGGCTCTCGCATAAGCTTGTATGCTCGGTTCTTGGTTCCTGCATTTTTAAACGCTCAATCTCGAGGTTTTATGCAGCATGCAGCCACAAACCCCTAGATAAAGCTCAAGAGACAAGACTTTATAGCAACAGAAGGGAAAAAAAAAAGAATTGAAGGTGACAAGACTGGGGTCTCTCGGCTCAGTTGGTTTCACACCATTTGGCATTGGTTGGCACAATCTCAAACACACTAGGAATGCTGAGCATCTGAAAATGACGACAAGAATGAGGGGAAATGGCAGCTGCCGACTCCTCCATTCCGATCGGGGAGCAAAGGGCACGTGGTGTATTATATCATTTTTTTTTTTAAAAAAAAATTGAAAGCTCGGCTTTGGACGCAGATTTTGTAGAATACTTAAATTATGAGCAGGTGTTCATGTCAGTTGCTTTTATTAATTTAATATTCTGGAGAAAAAAAAACCTAAAGCTTCGAGCGTGAAACATGCTTAATATCTGCCGGGGTTTGACCAAATTTGGGCTCATCCCCTACTTCCATACAAAGTGGGTTGAACTAGTGATGTCGTACAGTGTACGGGTTACGCCGTACGAAGTACTCGTAAGCTAAGTAACATTTGAAGATAATCCCTGTCTCAGACATCAAAATAAAAGAACTTCCACAGAATACCAACTCTCTTATTGCACTCAACAGCTGCGAGTCACCTCGCTGATTTGGTTTCTTTGTTGATCCTAAGCCAGAAGTAGCTAAGTGTACACGACCGGGCTCAAGCCACTAACAATAATGGTAATGTGAGCCGAAAAAAGTCATCAACTTCCAAGGACGTACTATGAAGTATGTTGTAAAGAGATAATTGGGGTCACGCACTTCTTTTATTCTCGACACTCCCAGGAACGCGTGTGGGAAGGGACCCACTTAATTAACGCCTCCCGAGGTCCGGGCTTAGACTTTGGGAACGAAATTCGTAGGAATTCCGAGGTCGTCTTGACTTTTCATTTATATTGTATATTGTGATATGCGGCTTAGGTTAGCTTTGACTCCATTACGGTTTTTTTTTTTCTTTTTTTTTCTTCTTTCCTCTCAATAGTCTCCAAGCTAATGATATTGATCGGCTTAAATGAAAAACGCTTTACGCTCGGACTTTTTTTTTATGTTTTCTTTTTGACAGGGGTAAATTATCAAGTGCCATTGTGTTACATTGTGCAAAAACTTAATTTTGATTCTTCGGATTTTATATGTTGTAGTACTCGGTTCCTAACAGATATAATATAGATATGAAATATGGATGTAGTTTATGGATTGATTACCTCAAGATATGTATAAATTATCATCTCATCAAGCTCGTTAATTCGCAATGGCCGGAATATATTCGTACTATTGTCACACAGACAAACGCCGTAATGGGAAATGAAAACGCAAATATGGTCCAAGTATTCCGTCCTCCGTCCTCCGTCCTATATGTACAACAGTACATGCCGAAGAGGGCTCTAGTTGATGTATCAGTACAAAGTGATCGTAGACCTATAGGATATTAGCTCATTCGTTTCCCGATGGACATTTATTATTACCCATTCACTATTTCACTATAGTACAGAATATAAAGTACCGGCTACACTGCCTAACTACCGTGGCTTGGAGATATTATGCAGGTGTCTCTTAGCTATCTGGTTTCAGATGAGGGCCTTGGAATGAACCTTATAGGTTACTAGCTATTGTTATGTATGGTAGATAATACAAGTTTATAATCAGATCAGGATACGGAGTATACATTTATGAATTAAAGGTTCAATGTTGTAGCCCTGGAGGAACAGGATCCAGTCTCCGTATACTCCGTAGTCATATATGACTTATGACTATGTAAACGCTCAGGGGTAACCTTAGAAGTGCGTGGCCACATCCCATGCACCTGCCAAATGCCCGGACCAACTCATTAAATACACTAAAACATGTAATTTACCGTAAATTACCCTTGTTGACGCTGCCACAACGTGTCCCGCCCCCCCATTCCTTTCCCCCCCCCCCTGATGATGAAGTGATCCTCTTCTTTTCTGATCCTTTGACCTCATTCACTCATTTTGCTCCTTCCTTTCTCTCCCTTGTCTGTTTTTGCTGTGTTCACCTGTTGACTTTCAACAGCGTTTTTGACCTGGGACAACATCCCCTTGCATCGGTCGCTCGCATCGCCCGTTTTCTCTTTCTCTGATCCCGTTGCCCGGACGGTTTTACAGAAAGTAGTCATTCGCTCCTTACAGCTTTTCGAAGCCCACACTCGTTTTTCGCCTTTGGGGATCGTTTCGGATTTCCCTTTCCATTCGTTAATCGTCGAATTATTGTTTACACCGATTCGGTCTGTCTCATTGGTTGCCATCGAGACGTTGGATACAATAATCTTGCAATTGTGAATTTATTACAACTGCCCGAAGTCCGGTTGTGTTGGAAACTAGAATATTCTAGGCGATATACCTCTTGTCACACCCCCTTGATCGTTCATGAGGTGTTGACAGACGGTGGTTATCGCATTTTTGTACACTGACCTTGGACTTGCTCTGAGCCATCACGTACATAGTTCAACATGCGTCCCGACGCCATCTCCGTTCTCGCGGCCTTCCTCACTGTAGGCGGCCTCCAGCTCGTCGCAGCTCAAGATGCCCCCGAAGCGCACGTCCAGCGGCCGCGCTGGTACTTCCCGCAGGAAGTCAAGCGAACGATTCGCAGAAGTGCGGAGGCTAACCCTGAATTGAGCCTCGACGACCTATTCGACAACTCGAGACCTACCCAGGTCTCTTCCTCCACCACTACTACCACCCCCGGAAACTCTGCCACGGCTCAGCCCCAGAAGGGACAGGAGGTCGTTGTTGTAACCATCTCGATCGACCCCAAGAACCCCGAGATCACACACCGTATTACCGGTACTACGGTCATTGGCGGTGAACCGACCGCCACCACCACGACGATTACGCAGCACACCGAGGGTTCGAGCACGGAGATCACAAGTAAGAAGAGCTCTGAGGCCGCATCTACCGATGCGGAAACCACACGGAAACAGGGATCGGCGGTCGACTCCTCCGTCCAGACTTCGACTAAAACCTCTAGTAACGGTCTCGTTGGTGGCCTGGCCTCAGACCTGGGTCTTGTCGGCGAATCAACAACCAACAGCCCCGTCTCTGCGACATCGACTGGCTCCTCTAGCGCCAACAAGATCAGTAGCTCAAGCACGGCAAGCTCAAGCACGGCAAGCTCAAGCACGACCAGCTCAAGCACGGCGAGCTCAAGCACGGCGAGCTCGGGGTTAGATCTCACTGAGCTTTTGGGTCTAGGTGATAAGTCTTCCACCGGCAACAGCACTAGTGCTACCTTGTCCTCTGGGGCTTTTAGTTCACCGACCATTCCCGTCAGCGTGCCTGCTTCCGCTACCAGCTCACCGTCGACCACCCCCACGGGAACTGCAACTTCGACTTCCGGCGACCTCATCGGCAGTCTCGTTTCAAGCGTGGATTCCCTGGTTGGTGTCACATCTACTAGCACTGGCAGCACTGCTTTGATTTCGAGCACGTCCATGTCCAGTGGTGGTAGTCTTCTGCCACCTAAATCGACTGGCATCATTCCTACCCTGCCAGGTACCAATACCGGTGTCATTCCCACCCCGACGAACCCACTTGGGTCAGTTCCTGTCCCACACTCGACCAGCTCTGGATCTTCCTCTACTTCTGGATCTGAAACTGTCTCTGGTTCTACCACGGCCTCGGCTCCTCTGTTCGGCACTACCACTACCGCCTCTCTTCCTGGTTATCACGAGAGCTCCAAGGTTCCCATATCCAACTCTCGCCCAGCCTCCACACCCCTTCCCTTGTCGACTTCCACAACTTCGACGAGCGAAGAAGTGAGCACGACCAAGACCACTATGGAGCCTCAGACAACTGCGGAGACGGTTACACCCCCCACCTCCAATGACAACGACTGGATGCCATCTACAATCCTTATCGTGCCTACCGTCAGTACCACCCAGAGCTCTGCCTCCGGTGAGACCGCGAAGCCCACGGCACCGCCATCGCTTCCCGGCTCTATTACTCCATCGCACCAGGTGAATGAGCCTCCTTCTGACTCTATGTTGCTCCAACTCGGTTTCAACAGCTTGCTGCCCTGGTCGTTTGTTGCAACCACTCCCTTGTCGTCGTCGCAGATCTTCAACTATACCCCTCAGGCTATTGAATACGCTTTGCCAGGCCTCTCTGCTAAGGATAGCCCAGTCATGTTTGCCATTGAGCCTTACTATAACTGGAAGTCCACTGGCTATAATGCTACCATTGCTATCTTCTATTTCCCTCGTGACAAGGTCGACGCCCTGCAAGCACTCAAGGTTAACCCCAATTCCGCTCTCTACAACCAGGCCAGCAACTCCACCCGCTCATTAATGGCAATGGTTGACCCCACAATTCCCCTCGAGTTCTCTGGAAACTACCCTAGTGGTAACAGCGACTCGACAGGTGGCAACAACAACAGCGGCAGTGACGATGGCCCGGATAATGGCAACAACGACAACACCGATGGCTCTGGCGGTAGCTCCAAGGCTAAAGCTAGCTCTGTTGGAATTGGAGTAGGTGTTGTGGCCGGTGCTGCCGCGTACGGTGCTGGTATGTTCTGGGTTGCGCGCCGCTACCGCAAGAGAAAGCAGCTGCACCAGCGCTCAAGCTCGACCGTTGAGCAGATGAGCCAGGGAGGTTCCGCCGCTGGCTCCATGTTCGCTGCCGGTGGCCGTGTCCCTAGCCATGGTAGCCGTGGGACTGCTCGCTCTCAGATGATCAGCGCCCCCGTTATGGCGGAGAACTCATTGGGATGGAACTAGACATGCTTTCGATAATAAGACGTTCACACTACTCCTTCCGTCACACCTCCCTTTTTGGACCCTACGACAATAAGAGAGCACCGGGCCTTGGAAGACTCTTATTTCTTCTGAGATAACTGCTTCTTTCAACGCACCCATGCTCTCCCCACCCTCCGACAGAGGTAGGGACAGAGAGACTGCACAAAGCTTCATTTTCATTGTCCATCCACCAAGGACTTCCATGTCATATATCACGTATCTCTTCTTTTTGTGCAATTTTTGACCACTTTTCTTCTCAAACATGATACTCCGAGCGACGGTTGGTCGTCACTGCGTGTGTCGCGTTATCTTTTTTTTTCCCTCCCTTTCTTGACATATTCCCCCTTTTGTTCACCAAATACTTTTTTTTATCCCCTTTACTTCTCTCAATGGCGCTGGGACAACAAAATTTGGGATGAAAGCTCTTCTCTAATTTTGGCTCCTGCTTTAAAGCTCTGATGAACTATTGGTCATTCCGTCTTGGATTTGCACATTAATATTGGATTTGGGTGGCATTTTTTTTTCACAGAGCTGACGGCTTCTTCCCTGCCCTTATTTCATCTCCATCTATTCCTGTTTGTGATCAATTGTTTGCGTTTCTGTTTTCTTTTGTACAGATGTATGAAATGTGTCCAAGTGTGGTCTTGTAGATGTGGACGTGAGCCTGTGAATGAGATGAGTAGAATCTTTCTTTTTAAAGTCTTATAGAATTAAATTGTAATTGTAAGCTTTGAATTTGGAAAGTTTTTAGTCCCAGAATGTAGTATAACTCATTGGATTGAGGCTTTCATAGATCAATGCCCGATGTGGTGTACAAAGAAACATGGACAACACATATCCCTGCTATTTGATAGCATCCAACATATTAGGAATCTGAATACATAACAAGAGAAATGTCAACACCGCCAGGTTCCTGGTAAAGTGCCCTCTATGATACCGTGGATATTGCATCTTTCGTATATTGTGTGGGTTCATGAAAATTGGTAGATTTGTATGACTACATCTATCAAACCCTAAGACAATAGCCAACATGGTATTTCTGTCAGGATATTGGAGTTATAGAGACAAAAGATACACTATTCTGTTGAATAGCCAAAAGTGCCAACTTGTCCAAGTCTGAGTCAGATAGTTCTTGATCATTCGGTTTATGCGCCCTAATAACCAGGTTTCTCCCATAATTGTGCTCAAAGTCAACTCTGGTATTCCAATCAAAGAGTGGTGAGCTCTCACGGAAGAAATAGGGTTGACCATTCTTCGTAATGAGGTCAAACTTCTGCCGGTGTGTAGCTTGGTGAGCTGTTATAAATTCCCCTGCAGTTGTCACTGCAACACTACAGTGCCAAGGGCTCATTGAAAATGAGTTCTTTTGTGGGATAAGGGGACACGATAGCTTTGTTTGACCTGATGAAGGATGAATGGAGAGACGCAATGAGTCAGGGTAAATTTGGCGTACTAGGTCCGCGTACTCCTATGATCCACCAAGTCAGACTTGTTCTATATAGCTCTCGAAATAACCTACCACTCCGCGTACAATCATTGCCTTCGCAATGATCTTGATCCTCTTCTTATATTGCTTGGGACCAGCGCAGTCTTTAGTCACTGGGCTGAATTTCAGGTCAACTTTCATGAATTTGTCGTATCCTGCAATCAATCAGCCATGAGACATTGGCTAGACTTAAATGCCATCCACCTACCATTATAAGTTCTCAGGTAATCCTCATCGCTTTTCAAAAACTTATCAACATCAAATCCCGGCCGTCCACACCGTCGATAAAGTTCAGTCCTTGATATACCGCAAAGCTTCACATAATCCGACTTGGAGATATGCGCCCCAGTATAAAGACCAAGCATATTCATAATGCGATGGAACTGAATACAAGCATATCCCTTCTCGAGAGCGATCTTCCGCAGTCGATTCCCATATTCCCAGACCTCCTCATCGGAAATCCCTGTAAGATCTAAAATCAGATATCAAATTAGCATTAGATCCTATATGTGATACCCAAACAAGAAAGATAGTTTATATCTCACCATTGTAACAAATCCCATCTGTAACAATAACCACAACCGCACCAGGAGGATAAACAGCCTTGATATCCTGACAAAGATTCACCAACCGTGCCAATCCAAGCTCATCTCCCAAATCTGGAAGTGAACCTAGCACTTTGTCCATGCGATTATTACTCTTCATTGGAAAAGCAGGTAGAACCATAGGAATAGCCCTGTTGGCAGCGATGTGTGTCTGCACGCGTGGCATGAACGAGGACCGGCCCAGCCATTCACCGTCAGCGGTTGTGCGCTCATGGGAGCCGTAACGTTCCACGATGTTCATTATTTCATCTGCCTTTAGGCGGTTTAATATGGGACATATTTCCGGTGTGTCGAAATGGTTGTCAGTGGCGGCTTCAGGTTTGGGGACTGGGTGTGGTGTTGAGAGGAAGGATACTTGGGTCTTTGAGGTGGAAGTGATGCGGTCTAAAGAGATCAGGTCTAGGCGAGGGGTGACTTCCACTACCGTCGGTGCTAGCATTTTGATATAGTTCATGATAGACTGGGGCAGGGTTGCAGCCAGGGATTGGGAAGGGGTAAATTCAGTTTTCGAATGCACTCGTAATTTATAGGGATGGTATCCTCAAGTCCTGTGTTGGAATTTGGGGGCTTTCTATTGCCACGCTTAACTCCCAGTCTCTTATGCTCTGGGTTAAAGGATGTATTCATCCTTCCATGTGCCCCCTCGTCATTTTTGCACCTCTGATAGTTTCTGTTCGGTTCAATGGGAACTATGCTGTTGCACAAGAAATATAAAATTAAATTCTAATGTCTGACTATTTGTGTACTGAAACCAGTGCATGACTCGGAGTACGACTGTTTTCGTATATCTGGGTTAGGTTTTTCATCCAAGAGCCCTAAAGAACAATAATATGGATAATATACTCCGTAGATACTCCGTAGATAGATACGCTGTATCGTAAACAATGTTGGTACTATTTGGCCAGTCAAAGATGTTATTCCAAAGAATTCTATGGTTGTTGAGCTGATTGTTCAACCATGATTTGGTATATGCTGTCTCCAGGGCTAAATTTAGGAATATCTTACACGAGAGGTCGGGATAGATGGGAGCCATTATATGTCTCTGGTAAAAGCTTTCTCGGGCAAAGGTAACATGTAGACGTAATATTACATTGGTTCTGATAACTGAAAGCTGATACATCGCGAGAAGTGAAGGTCAAATCGCTCCAACTTCACGGCTTAACTATATTTATACTAAAACCGGGGGGTATTCCACTCCCAAAGCTCCGTCATTCCCCATCGGGTCAGAGTTATGTAGCCAGTTAGATCTCCTCTCCTGTTCATTTCTTTCCCTATCTGCCTCGCTACGTGGTGAATACAACAGACGCTTCCACTATATAGAGATCCCATTACGTAGGATTAGAGATTCGCACCGAGTATTACCTCCGAAGCGATGATCAAGAAAAATAGAGCCCATCTGTAAGCTTGGTAAATTTTTTTGTGGCAACCCCATTCACAAGAAGTAAGAAGCTTCCTTTTCTCGCTCCCAGCGATACTCCATCCGCTTCGCAGTCTCCCTCCCTACTGCAATACCACCATAATGGGCCGAAATAAACTCCAACATCACATCCATCCCTGCAGTGATCCCAGCAGACGACCAGATCTCAATTCCAGGTAGCAACGACAGGCCGTCAGGCACCACATCCTTAGGAACACTATCACGTAGCCACCGTCTGTTACGTTGCCATCTCACTTCGCTCGTTTGGCTAGTGACATCGTCATAGCGGGCTGAGTTTGTAGTTACTTGGCGTCCATCCAGAAGCCCAGTCTGCGAGAGGACATGGCTACCCGTGCAAACAGTAATGATACTGTGGCGGACATAGGGCGCAACGGCAGTCAGAAAGTCCTGAACCTCCTGCGTGTTAGAAACTTTGATTTCATTGGATGTATTAGTGCCGTAAATACGGTTCAGACGTGTCCCTGGGCCACCTGGGATGATCAATACATCGATAGGTTTGAATTCACCACTCCCATCCTCGGCAACTTTCCCCGCTTTCAGGGCAGAGATCATGTCATTGAAGGTACATTGTGGCAACATTTGCTGATTGCAAGCTGTATTGATGTTGGGTAGATCAAATCGCCATTGTGCCTTAGCGGGTGGAATTGGTTTCACCGAGACTGGGTCCAAAGTTGCGGCTGATACAGTCAGGGTGATGTTTGATGTGTCAGGATACTGTGTGCGGATGTTGAGAATGTCCAGTGGGGCCGCCACGTCCAGTAATTGGAATCCAGGGAATAATGGAAGGTGGTAATGGAGAGGTTTGAGGAACATCTTGTGTAATACTCCGTTGGAAAAGTCCCGTGAGATGGGGAGAAATCGTAGGAAGGTCATTCCGAAATAGAGAGGGGTCACGTTTTGGTCACGCTTTTTGACTCAAATGAGGTATCCCAAGCCTTCAAGCCTGATTAACCAGGAATGTATTTATATTTTCATGTGAGAATAATAACAAAATTAATGGGACATACTAAACAGGTTTATGTTATTACTACCTAATTTTAAATAAGATTCTGTAAGACACAATGTCTATAAACAAAGTACAATCATGTATAGTAATTTTAAGCCAATTTAAGCCCCCGAAAAGTGAGACCCGATTACGAACAATGCTCCAGTTAGGATACAAATACCCCCGAACAATTGTGCGTACAGGTAATCGCCTCCCCCTAACGCGATCAGCTGTCCTGCGATATAAGGTCCAGTCAGCAGCGGAATGCTATTGATAGTGGTAATCATCCCAACACGTGTGCCGGATTTTTCTGGGTCTTTGGATCCAAAGTAGGCATTTGCAGCCGGCAATTGACTTTGCGCACAATTCACCAGTAATCCATAGACTGTAGCCCAAATGAACATGCCAACCTGGGTGTGTACACCAATCCACCCTAGAATGACGATGCCGCAAGGGATTGAGACTGCAATGCAAGTCCTTACTGCACCCAGCCACCGGTCCGCCACGAACGCCGAGGCGATGCGGGACGGAACACCCACGCCATTCATTAGGATGAGGAGGAGGAGTGAATCAGATGCTGTAAATCCTGTGTGAGCCTGGGCATATTGTCGAAGCTGCGAGTGTTATTAGTTAGGTTGCCAACCCAATGTGGAACAAAGAAATAACTTACATAGATGTACGCAAAGTAAATTCCCTCAAAGATCAGGAATGAGCCGATTGAAAAAATCAGGTAAGGGCGTTCGCGGAACGCGCTGAAGTCAACCCAGGGAGGAGGACGACGAGGTATAATCCGAGACCTGGTAAACTTGATAATTATAACGCTGTTGAATAGGATAATGGCCGCCATGATTCGGACAGTCCATGCGAAGCCAATATTGTTGAAACACTTATAAGCAACCACTGGGAAAACCATCCCTCCAGTCGCTGCCCCACAAGAAGCCAGCGAGACGGCCATCACTCGCTTGGAGTTGAAGTATGTCGCATATAGCGAGATTATGGGGCTGAAGACGAGTCCGTGGCCAATTCCACTGACGATACCTTGCGCTAGCCAAAAATGCCATAACTTTGTGCCGAATGAGGTCGCGAATGCTCCAGTAACTTGAAGAAGGCACCCAAGGGTAATGCATTGTCTCAGATAACCCGCGTCCATTGCTCTGCCTGAGAAAGTGGCCAGGAAATGGACGAGGAACATCTGCACCGCTCCGATCCAAGACGCATTTGCTGGGCTGACATCAAGAGTTTTGACGTAGTATTCCTGAAAGAATCCATATCTATATCGCATCAACGGGTGAGATTGGCATCAGGTTTGACAGGGGCCCCTTACGATGTGATATAGCCCCATACATTGAACACAACCAGGTGTCCGGTCAGAACTTGGGTCCAGGCCACCAGACCTCCATCAGGGATCTCATTGTTCTCAGCTTTGCGGTTTTCGTCTTGTTGGCGAGGATCTGGGGGAATAAATAGAGGGGATTCTTCGGTGAGAGTAGTATAGGTAGTGGCCGGCGGCGTTGAGTGAGATGTACCAGTCGTCGAGCATCCAGTTGCATTGCTCTGGGATATGTTTGGCTGGCCCATGCTGGTTGACAAGACTCCAAATAACAAAAAGGAAATATCTCCCAAAATTTGGAAAATAGAGGAATGCTGGTAGTGTATGAGGCTTGAATTCTAAAATGTGACTCCTCAGGTGTTAGTTACATTGTGGAGTTACCCGCTCCGTGTAGAAATCTTGTAGATACGTTCTGGATTTGTACAGAGTACAGGTATTGCTTCAGGTAACAATACATATAAAGTGTGTAGGCAACTAAATAAAATACTGTACGTAGTAAACTATATCTGCACTGGGATGTTGATCTTGTCACGAGGGATAACAATAACATCCGAACCCTTACGGCCCCATTCACTACACACATCCACCAATTCCCATTCTACTAACAATGAAATTTGAATACGATCCAGACGAAGTACCTCAAAAGGTTATCGAGGTGTTAAAGCGGTTTTGCTTGCATTCGAGCAAAGATGGCCATCAGAAAGACGTCGGAAGGGTATTCGAGTCCATGCCTGAGAAGTTAAAGATTAATATCACGGCAAACCGGCCGATAACTATGGTTTTACCTGCATTTCCATGGAAAAGTCCGAACCAGGATAAAGTGCTAGCAGATGGGGCAGATCTAGGAGAAGAACTGGGTTTGGCGAAATTGAACCACCTGTGCGAGGATATCTCGAAGATCTATCCTTACGGTGCACGACTAATCCTCATTTGTGATGGCCCAGTATATAATGGTATGGCATTCCTTGTTCTTTCTAAGGAGGAATATCATTATCGAGAATGGAATAAATAGACTGACGGTGTAGACCTGGTCGGTGTCCCTGACGACGAATGTTACGACTATGGCATTGAGATACGCAAAATCGCCCAAGAGAAACATTTTTCTTCTATCCAGTTTGTCCGGCTGATGAACTTGCTGGGACTAGGAGATGGCGAGAAAATCTCCAAGGCAGATTATCTCCGTCTCGTCGCCACTGTCAGGGAGAAACTGATGTCACCCACATACTTCGACCCCAAATTTGACATTGAACTTGAGTTGAAGACAAATCCAGATACCAGAACAACATACGAGAGCTATTTTAGTCGCATCTCAGAGGATCTAAAATGGGCCAAGGGGCTTGACCCTATTGTCGCGGCCGACCCGGCGCTCTACGCGGCTGAGGTGTCCAAGATGGCGAAAACCATGATCAACCGGCTCATCGTAAGTCTTAATGCTATGACATATTTGATGCTTTATTTTTCCTGGAATGTCTGGCTCCCTGGCTCACAGTTTTCCCAGGCATATGAAGCCGTCATTAACGATACACTCGGAAAATACATCCGTCTCTCGATTCACCCTTCATTAGGGCTAAACAAGGTCTCTATTCCCTTGCTGGGCCAAGGTGATCTGTTTGGTGATATGCCGTGGCATGCAAGTGTGGCGGTACTGTCAAATGGGGAGATCAAGACCGGAAAATCGCGGGAATTTCGCAAACTGTACGAGGTCGTTGTGAGGCATGGCCGGCCTTATTACTTCAGAGAACGGAGCCCAATGTACGAATGGGAGGCAGATGTGGAGTTTCAGCATGACTACGATGGGTTGATTGTGAAGAACCCTTTACAGAGAGCTCAGACGCTTGGTAGGGATGATCGCTTAAAGCTAGCTCGCTTGATTGTGCAGTATCAGACCAAGTCGGTTCGAGTGGAGGGGTTTGAAGTGTTGAATGACGCATGACTGTTTAGATTTCACCCGTTCACTTAGTAGCATATGCGGCTAGAAAAGAGAATACAAAATCTAGTGGCAGGTCCTACTCTTATAAGCATAAATTGTTGGAAGGTGTGGGTCTACCCCACGTTCTGGAACCATGGGTTCTCGAGTAAGACTAACCCGACTCTGTCTAGGGTAAACGGTATTCAGATATTCTATTGTTTTGAGCAGCATCGGAGAGCTGGATTGTACAGGTGAAGTCTAGCAAGATATTTCAACGCTCACTGTTTTCTGTGAGAGCTGTTGGCCATGTCATTGATCTTCTAGGGCAGCAGGGAAGATATGACATCAAGACAATCTTCACTAGCCACATCTATGACGATACAAATCGGAAAGGGGCCCTCACTACCTTCAGAGATATGAGCAAAAGACTATAACGAGGTAGGAAAATGGAGATAATGTGTATTTTTGTCTATAACAGGCAGGTGTAGATACATCAGAAATCCCAGTGGATATCAGAAGGAATAGGAGGTTAGAGAGTGGGAAATGATATGTACAATAAGTGGTAGGGGAGATGCGCCCATCCGCAACAGGCAGAAGCAGCCAGAAGAAAACATCTCAGTCAGAGTGATGAATATAAATTGGTGTATTTGCCTCATTCCTTCTTCTTCTTATCTGACTCCGATTCAGGCTTTCCAAACCAGCTCGTCAGCGCTGCAATTCCACCGCTGCCGGCCGGGTTAGTTGACTGGCGGCGGAGTTCACGCGCTCGCTCCCGCTCAGCCTTGTACTCGTCCCAGGAGAGATCTGCCGCTGCTGCTGCACGAACTTCCTCCTCTTCCCGGGCAGGGAGGCTCTTGCCTGGTAGTGGGCGAACGGCTGCTTCGCCGCCGTAAGCACGAAGACCAGTGCGGAAGACCCATTCAACGGCCTCATCAACGGGGTGATCGAAGATATAGGGAAGGAAGGGGACAACGGCAAGACCAAGCTATAAGAGACAGTGTTTAGCATCGTATTCACCAATTTACGTTCTCACCCAAAAGGAAAACGGTACTTACCCCAACCGGCGTCCAGGTACGGATAAATGCAATCTTGACATCCTTTACCATCCGCCCAGAATAGCGGACCACACTGTGAATTGTGAACGCAGGCAATCCCATACTCGCGATACTCTGGAATACTGCGCGCTTAGCCATGACCATGCGGTAGTCCTCCGCGAGCGGGATCTCGGGGGTCGGCCAGGTTGGTTGCTGATCTTTGGAATCGGCTGAGTTGCCAATCGTCAAGTTACCTGTCACCATGCCCTTGATAATCTGGTTCTGCGAAGGCTGCCTAGCGTCCTTGTATGTCTCATCTGTGGGAGCTAGTGCGTTCCAGTTTCGGAGATAGGCCTTGTAGCCTTCATGACCAACATCACCAAGCAGGTATGACCAGGAGATAGCGTAGGCAGAGCGGACAAGCCATGGGTGTGCGATCGGACGGAAGGACTCGCCGATGTCTGAGGTGTAAGCGACATAGCGATGAGCGGACAGGAGGATCGTGCGGATGCGATTAGCGTACGCAGCATAGCGGAACGGTGTGTCTGTAGAGTTGACCGAGCTGCCGTCAATCGAGGTGCCCATCATTAGTTTCTATTTTGTCTTTTCTTGCTTTTGGCGCTGGGTTGATTTGCTCGAGGTGAGTTGGCGAAGCTCTGGAGTGTTACATGTAGTATGTCATCGACTCAAACCGGGAAGTACCGTGGATTACTCCATCTCTCCACTCCGAGCACGCGACAACAATTTCCTTGCGACCAAAAAGATAAATTTTGAAGAGTTAGAATTTCACATACTATTGGGAGTAGAGGTCATCGTAGAATTCATCCTCGCGATCAACCAGCTGTTGCAATTTTGTGGGGAGCTTCTCTCGGACTACAGGCTTATCCAATAACTCCTGCGGGGGAGATTGTGGTTCATCCTGTTGACGATCGCCCCTGACCATTGCGAAAGTAGTATGATATGTCAGTTATGGGTTATGTAGTCGTTTTGAACAAGCAACGCTTATTTGCGTGCCAAGTGAGATCAAGACAAAGGGGGTATATAATACAAAAAGAATGTGAAGAAGAAAAACGAGCGAAAGCAATGCAAGGGAAGAAACAAGTTATTATTAGGAGATTCTCATATTAACCGCACACTACTCCGTACAGCCGGAAGACACAGCCATAGCCGGAATATACAGCATTAGCTATGAGATATTTCCCCCGAGGTACCGTTGGTATCTCTCCCGGTTCGGAATATGGAACAGAATGTAATATACGGAATATCTCAGGGCCAAACTCGACATCTATTGTTCATTGTCAAAAGCTTCCGGTCTAAGTTTTGTCGCTCCTTTGTTTCCAAGCCAAATCTTCGGTGTTCTCGTGTGTAAATTGATCTTCATATGCCAATGCTCTTGTGACGCTCGTTTCGGGATGTCACATGATATCGGATACATCCGGGTGCCCGAGCGTCCTTATATAATCATACACAGAGTCATGTGAATTATCTAACCAAATTAGGAAAGGCGGTATCCGTGCCGACCTCGTCGTTTGGTCCAAGCCTGAGGATTCCGTCCACATCGCTGCCAATTGAACCTCTCGTTATACCTCAATTCCAACCCTACAAAATGGTTGTCTACTACCAAATCGCCGGCAAGAAGGTCGGCTCCCACGTCGTAAGTTTTCATCTTTCCAAAAATGCCGCTGCGCGCTCGGCATCCCTTTCTCTTCGCGCTTCGTGCGGGTACTAGTGAAACATGAAAGTTGACCGGGTTCTCTTCAACCTCTTATTAGCTCGCCATGGCCACCCTCGGCAGTATGTTTGCTGGTTCCTGGCTCGCCATGTCTGGCGGTGAGAAGCCCAAGACCGCTCAGGGTCCTCCTATCAACGCCTCCTCGAAGGATGAGGAGAACTTCGTCCAGTATGTCCAACACCATCGCGGAGAACAGAGCCACTGCCGACCACGAATCTGATCTCAATATCAGCTCCCGAATGTCTTACTGACTGCTTATTTTACAGGAACTTCATGAAGGAGGTTGATGGCGGCGAGAAGAAGCCCGCCGCTAGCCACTAAACCACCCTTCGATACCATTAATATTGATGGAGCGGTCGAAGATGAGCAGCTAGCGTTCTGGATTCAAACAAACTGTCTCCGCTCTCGCGCCCCGCGCAACGATGTGTATCCGCCCTTCCGCAGCGTTTTTTTGTGACCACGATTTTTTCGAGAAGCTACACGGACCGATCTTGGATGTCGGCGGATGAGGTTGATTGATCTGTACATAGGAGACGTGTACACTGCATAGAAAATTATCCTCTTGACATTGTTTGTCTGGTCTGCTTTTCTCCCTACCACTGAGCAAGATTAATCACGGGAGAAGAAAGACGAGCAATACGATTGCTTTGCTGCGATCCCCAGTGGGCCTGGAGTCTATGCTTGACAAAAGCCTTTAAACTTTTAGTCCAGCAAGCGCATTGCTCTCTATAGCTCCGATCAACTCGCTCGCCAAGCCGAAGGAGATGCTGTAGCAATGAGGGACTGTAGAGGGAAACGAGAAGGTGTAGATGTAAACCGCATAGAAGAAGCATTGTCTGAAAACCAACCTAATATTCACGCATGACCTCCATCCACAACCAATGACTTTTTAGTGAATTAAGCAATTCCAGTGCTGCTCAACTGAAGCTTAAAAAAGCTAGATGGCTATCCCGAGTCTCGTGCCGCAACCCTCTTACTTACCACTTCGCCCTCACAACAACCCAAACACCCCCATCAACAACCAGAAATCCCAAAATGAAACCCCTCCCCTTCCCATTCCCCTTGAACATTGGCACAGACATCGTCCACATCCCACGAATAACCCGCCTCCTCACTCGACCGAACTACCTCCCACGATTCACGCGCCGTATCCTCTGCGACCAAGAACAGCATGATTTCCACACACGCTTCAGCGATGTCATCAAAGACCGTGTCATATACCACGAACAGCATTCACCTGTACCAGCGGATATAACACGCTGGCTGGCGGGACGCTTCGCAGCGAAGGAGGCGGCGCGGAAAGCGGCGCCGTCTGGTGCGGCTTCAATTGGCTGGAAGGATGTCATGGTCCGGATTCAGGAAGATGGGGGCAGGTTTGGCGAGGGTGTAAGTCGGAAGCCTGAGATCGTTTATCTTGGAAATGCGCTGGATGGGGATGCGGGTGAGGGGAGGGTTGCGAAGTTGTCAATCTCGCATGATGGGGAGTACGTTATTGCTACTGTTTTGGCTGCTGGCTGAATTGTGGGTTTAATGGGCTATGCTTTGTTGATTGGATCTCATTGCAATTACTGAGGACGGTTCACTTGCTCTCTGGGCCTGTGACTGGCTCACCACCAGACGGCGAACAGATACTTGTCTCTGAGGGTTCCAGTGTGTAACCACTAGGGACTACAAGGGGCCTATCCTCTTCTAGAGAGGGTCTAGGGAGACAATGCGCCTCACTCAGGGACATCATCATTAGTGTCTGTTATGAGTCCTTCGCACGCTTGTGGTAGCGAAACCTGGGTGCCAGGGATAGGCTGGAAACCGAGAGCATATAACTTATATTGAACGAGTCAATTATGAAAACAACGAGGTCCTAGAAATTGTATATTGAGATATTTGCTATTTTTAGTTGTTACTTGTGACCCTACGCTATAAAGCGGCACAGAAATCCTTATCGTCTATCAACTTTCGACCTTGGTGACTCCTCGACGTAACCGGCATATTCCCATATTCTTCAGAACACAAGTGTAAGTATGGGATCTATTCACTGTTTGAGAAAAAATACCGTTGCCTATCCCTGTCCATCTAACAGATTGGCCTTCATTTCGGATATTGTGCTAACCAGTCGCAGTGACATCCACAAAACATGCCATTCTCGCATCACAGCCATTCGGGCCAATTCTGCCCTGGCCATGCCCAGAACCCCCTGGAGGATATTATCAAAACTGCTATCAATAAGAAGATGCAAGTCTTCTGTCTGACTGAGCATATGCCCCGCCATAAAGAAGATTTCTACCCCGAGGAAGTGTGTAAGGATAAACCTACTGCAGTATCCTGAATTAACCGATCATTCAGTTTGAATCTGGCACTACCGAAGAAAGCCATGCTGCAAATGAAGCCGCATACTGGAAGGAAGCAGTCTCTCTCCGCGAGAAATACGCCTCCCAGATCAAGATCATCATTGGCTTCGAGGGTGACTGGATCCGACCCGCCTCTAAAGATTTGATCGAGCGCTCACTTTCCCGGTTTCCATTTGAATTCTTCATTGGCTCAGTTCATCATATGCACACTATTCCAATCGACTATGACCGACCTATGTACGAACAAGCTCGAGAGCAAGCCGGCGGAACAGATGAGCGACTATTCGAGGACTACTTCGATGCCCAATTAGATATGTTGGAGCAACTCAAACCACTCGTTGTGGGACATTTTGATTTAATTCGTCTGAAGAGCGATGACATGGAGCGCAGCTTTACTACCTGGCCTGGTGTCTGGAGTAGAATTCTACGGAATTTGGACTTTATTGCCTCGTACGGTGGTATCCTGGAGCTCAATTCGGCTGCATTGCGCAAGGGAATGACTGAACCGTATCCCAAAGCGGAGATTTGCAAGGTAAGAATGCAATCTTTCGTTATGTATCTCGCGACTAATCTTTTTAGGAATTTGTGGCACGTAAGGGCCGCTTCTGTCTGTCTGATGACAGCCATGGCATCAACCAGGTTGCTTTGAACTTCCGCCCTGTGCTTGATTTCTTGGATCGTGCTGGTATTTCAAAGCTACATTATCTACAATTGGAAACGTCGTCATCTCCGCCCGATTCTCGGTTTCCTAATACCCATATTGCGGAGATTTCAGTGGAAGACGTGAGAAAGATGGCATTTTGGTCATGAATTTAATGCTTATGTTAAGTAGACTGTCAAGTAATTAAGAATGTGAATATGAATGTGATTATGTTCAGTGTCAAATGTCAATATATTACGTCGTGTCCCGCCCTGGAAGAAAAGTGGATAATCTTGCCCCTCCCGAGCTCCCGTTCCTTTTTCTCTTCACATCTCTCTCATATTCCTAACATTACATTCACAATGGGCGTTGAAAAGAAGACTCTGGTCGAGGGCAACGGTGTTGACTACCCTAAGAAGGGTGAACACGTTGCCATTCACTACACTGGTTGCTTGTATGATGCCGAAAAGGCTGACAACCACTTCATGGGCAGCGTGTAAGCCAAACCTTGGAATATCCATGCTCACCTCGATTTATCTAATATATATCCATAGATTTGATACCTCCCGCAAGCCCGGCCGTGGTCCCCTTGCCACCCCCATCGGTGTCGGTCGTCTCATCCGCGGTGCGTTTCAATATATCTTGTGTAAGATAGCTTTCAGTTGACTAATTTGATGAATAGGCTGGGACGAGGGTGTTCCCCAGATGTCCCTTGGCGAGAAGGCCATCCTGACCATCAGCTCGTGAGTTGCGACCTTTGGACTTTTATAATGAACTGAAACACTAATATTCGATTCTCAACAGTGACTACGGCTATGGCGACCGGTACGTACCAACCAAGTCCGATGCTGAATCAACATATTGAAACTTTTGCGATACTTCCAATGCCTCGCAACCCACCTTACACTTTAATTCTCCCTATGAGATTTGTGCTGATCAAATCATTTTAGTGGCTTCCCCAACCTGATCCCCGCCAATTCTAAGCTTGTCTTGTGAGTAACCCGTCTCTTTTCTTACTTCATACAACGAACCTATAGCGAAGAACTAAACTAACTGTTCACAGCGAGGTCGAGCTTGTCAAGATCGGCACCAAGAGTGTTTAAATCAATCGCTATTACCGACTTTCCGGCGACATAGGATATGGAAATACTACACGAGAAAAGAAGAGAATCCGCATGGGTCATTCCTGCTCGTCTCATACGGTCGACGGGCTACTTGGATAGCAAAATCAAAGTTGGGTATTTTTGCTGTTGATTTGACTCGTTATCCAACGGAGAAAGTCATCTGGACTAGCACATATCTACCATCTGTTTCCCTTCTTCATGCACACACCGTAGATGCTAGCCTAACTTGCCTCATCCACATCACCGTGCGATGCTGTTGATATAATCAATCCCGTCGACACGGTACGTGTCGGCCTCGATATAACTATCATTCCGGGGTAAGCGGAAAACAAAGTTCGCCGCGCGGGACGAATAATTCGGCCATTTGGCAACATCAGACACTAGAAGACAGTCAGCTTACAGGCAGTAGTATCAAGTACAACGCGTATTCTACTAACCACCATGTCCATTGGGGTCCAGGTCCGCCACGAATGACATCCACATCCGCGCTGCCATCTGTCCCAGTTCCAAGCGCGCTGGGTCGACTCCGAGCGGTGTGATAGTCTGCACTGAGTTTGCAAAGACGAAAGGAATCTGTATAACCGGATGCAGGCATTAGTTCATCTTGCAGGCCAGAAACTCAAGTACCCAAGACCAGGTGGATTATCACGTACCTCTGCAAAATGTTGCACCCCAATCGTTGTCGAGCTATTCAACGCCGCCACATCCCATCTGTATGAATATACATTGTCGCGCAAGCTGGCCATACGTTGTGCCAGCATGCGCCGTGGCCCTACCATGGTCAGATCCCCAGCTATGGATTCATAGCGCTTGTACATGAGTCCCTGTGAGGGCCAGGTGGTATTTCCCCAGCCATAGGGGCACCCGATGGCGGGGATATTAGGGTAATAAGATAGCAGCTGCGTAGCTTGAGAACGGTCAAGGACCCAGCGCTTGGACGCTGTGATGATCACTTAGTCCAACATCGTTATATATGATGGCTTAAAAGGATCCGCAGCAGGCACTTACTAGTCAATTCGTTAATGCAGTCCTCATCTGTGTCTGTGCCTGTTGTCCCGAAACTGGTGCCCTCATCGGTATTCGTTCCTATCAAGATAGGTACCCGGGTCAATTTCCCCTGTTTATAACTTATCTGGGGGTACTGGGTTATAAATGAGCCGTCGACAGTAGCAAACCATTCCAGATCCTCATTTGCAGTGTTGTATAAGGTTTCGTAGGGTAGCTCACGGAGACATTGTAGGGTATTCACAGAATTGGTGCATCTAGGCATAGTATATTAGTTTTATGTTTATAGAAACTCGTTCGACCTAGACTTGCTCAGCTCTGTCGACGAGTCGGTTGTACATTGGCTGGTGCCATTCTGTTCCATTGTATGGGGGCCCGACAGCGTTTCCAGACTCCATGATTGCTAGTCAATTTTAGTCCGGTGTTAAAAGGAAATGGTAGAATTGGACTATACCAGCTCTGAAAAGGCCCTCATTATCACCATTGTTGGTGACCAGATGGGCTCCGACACTATATGCACCGCTATTTATTCTCAAATAAGCAGATTATATACCGAGTATATTTGCAGTGACTCACGCAGACTCGCCCCAGATAGTGATTTTGTTAGGATCACCACCGAACACTTTGATATTCTTCTTCACCCAGCGCATGGCTGTACGCTGATCACGCAGTGCTAGATTCGTGTTCCCTTCGGCCTGGGATCAGCGTCAGTCCACGAGAATGTGCCGCATCCAAGTATATAGTGCCACTGCCTTACCCTTACTTCCTCTGAGTCAAGGAATCCGAATGCTGCCAGACGGTAGTTGATAGAAACACCTATGACTGGCTTGCCATTTAATGCACTCTGTTCAACAATATAGCTCATATTATATCTGTAGACAGTGCGCAATGTTAACCACAGCCATCAAGCGTCTTTCCCCGGTTTGAATATTCGTATCATGCCCAGCCCTATTTTCCTCAAACAACATACCTTGGATCTGCAGTAGCGCCCTGTGCCCACCCACCACCGAAAATCCAGATCATAACTGGAAGCAGCCCATGACTCTCGTCGGCATTAGGTCGGATTATGTTCAAGTTAAAACAGTCTTCATTCAAAGTGATCAGACCTTTATTAACCAGAGTTGTGGTATCGGATCCATACGCAGGGCAGTCGCTACCATACTCCGTCGCATTGTAGTATACTGACTTGGAAGAAGGGCTGAGTCCTGCGTGGGATAGATCATAAGAACCAGAATTACTATCCTTAGATGCATAGGCGTTCTTGAGCTCGACTGGCGTGAAGCGGATGGGCTTGTCGGCATACTTGATACCTAGGAAGAGATCTTGGTTGAACCCTGGAAGAGAGCGACCTATAAAGATGGTCTTCGGGCTTTTGTTGTTTGTTGATAGGGTTGCTGTTGGGGGTTTCGACGTGGTCCCTGTTGGTTTGGGGGAGAGCGGGTTGGATATTACTCCAGGAATTATAGAGAGACATAAGGTCGAAATAAGTAAGGTGATCATTAACTGCATCTTCTAGGAAGTTCGAGAGCCTACGGGAATCAAAAGGGGAATCAAAAGTGCAACAGCCACATCACTTTTATATAGTTCCCTACCCCATTTTCGGGAAATTGTATCATCCAACTATATCATTGGGGATGTGATATTTGGTGCTCCTGTGTGCTTATAGGTGGGAAAATAAAATAGAAACTCCGGGCAGTGGAGATCTTTCAGCATTTGACTATACTTGATAGTAATCAGAAATATTTACAGATGAAAAGGCACATATCACTGCAAAAGTAAAGTCTATTTATAAACTATTGTTCTAAATTGTGCAAGCTGAAAGCCCGGATATAGAAAAAGAAATATGTTGCAGTTCGAAGAGTGTTGAAGATATTGTACATTCAACATGCCAGATGGCAAGAGAAATGCTTTCAGTCCAACAAATCCAGCAACAGCCTGGTCATTCGATACATTGGCCGTCCAATCAGGTGGGCTGTATGCAATAGCGTCGAAGATGCTGTATACGAACTTCTCATACGATGCTCCAATGCCCAATATTATGACTTGGCATAAAGAAAATGGCACCCAAGTGAGAAAAGCACCTCGCTCAAGGGAAAAGAAAAAATGGGCGAAAAATGCAAAAATCTTGAACTCCGAAGGATACACACACGTGGAGACTCTTATTATGTACGCTTGGAAATTCAAACACATTAATCATCCTTGACCCGATCGCCATAGGCCGATGAACCGGAGCTCGCACCAAATCCAATTGCACGAGACCTGCTCGCTGCCACCACCGAAGGGCTGTTGTATTGGTTAGATGAGGATGAGGATGAGGTGCCCTGTAGCTCGGACCTCCGTGATGAACCCTTGAGTGGGCTAGGGGAGTTCCGGCCATCCACCATCCCATCATCAAGCTCGATTAGGTCGTCCATCCGCCACATATTGCGACCCCTGCTGCTACCCTGCTGGATGGGTGGCCCTTGCTGCAGTTCATTGATGCCGGCCTTAGCGCGCGTTGCTACCTTTCGAACCCACCCCTCAAATACCCCGCCAATGTTCTCGAGGCTAGTAGATGCATTGGATGTGGCAGTGGATGTGGAGTCAAAGGAAGCTTCCGTGGCATTATCTGGGGGTAGTGCCGGGGTGAGATTCGGCATGTGCTGCGCGAAGAATCGGGTGAACCCATCTAATGCAGGCCCCGGGCCAGTCGAGGTGGGGTCAAGGGTTCCCACCCCAGTGCCAGACAGCTGGATGCTACTACGCTGGCGGCGATGTCGAGGACGAGCAGGGTGTGTCATTTTGGGCTTGGGCTGGTCGCCGTTCGGTCGAGTCCGTGGCAGTATGCCAAAGGATAAAGGTGGAGGGGGTGATCCAGTAGGAGACGGAGGAGTGATTGTTTCTCTGTAAGAATCAGGAGGTTCTGCATCTGAATAAGATATAGATTTTCGACGCGTACGCGGAAAGAATCCCAATGCTCTTCGAGGAACACGGCCAATTTGCACTGGTCTGGGAAACCCATCCATGTGCACCCACGATTCATGCTTCCAAGCATGATTGCTATCCGCCCCAGACGGGGTTATAGACGTATCCTGTTCAATGGAGGTATCATCGGCAGAGGCAGCGGCGGGGGCGATCGAGCTGTCACTGGGATCTTCGTCATTGTTGCTCAAAAGATCCACAGGCTCTTTGGGAATAGGCCGGCCTTTCACAGAGCACGCATCGACTGGTAGGAGAACAGTGTTTCTGCTCTGAATGTTGTCGTTGGGCCAGAAACCATTCGCCTTCCGGAACACTGCAGCCTGGCAGCCATATTTGATTGTCACGCCGGTGATAGTGTCCGTGGGTTGCACTTTGTGGATATAGGCTAGAGCGTCTTCATCTTGCTCCGACTCAACCGTTTGGTATGAAATGTCGCCAGAATCGCGTCTTTTGTGAGGGAGCGTGCGGCTTGCGATTGGATCACTATCAGCGAGGAGCAGCGCTTCTCTCTTTTTGGCCTGCACCAAAGCCTGTCGCTCCTCCTTTGTCCCAGTTCCGTATTGCGGAGCGGTCGGCGCTGATGGACCCCACGTAGACCTAGGGGTACTCTTGATATATACGTCCGACCGAGATGGTTTCCTTCGCGTGTGTGTTTTTGGCACATTATTTGGACTGACTCTTCCAGCATCACTGCCCAGTACTGAAGATGCCAAGCTTTGAAGAGAGGACCATGAGGAGTCCAGAAATTCTACAGCGCCTCCCGATGAAGCCTTTGATGATCCACTCCAAGGAAATGATGTTGGCCCATTTCGAGTACCACGGTTGGTCAATTCGGTCGCGCGTGACGGGTGCTTCATTGGAAGTGGTGACGCTCCACGGGATGACAATGGCGAGGGAGTCGCTCCGCGGGACCGACTCGTTCCACCCTCAGAGGGAGCAAGAGTCGTTGACAGTCCGGAGGAAAAGGGTTGGGGGTCGTCCTGGTAGGAGTTTGTAACATTATTGTTGTCATCTTCGTCCATGAATGAAACTAAGCGGCGAGGGCGCGATCGAACCGTGGAGGTTGAAGTTGTGCTTGCGCTGAGTGCGTTGGAGCTTGGGGAAGCATTTTTGTAGCTATTTTGAGAACTCATTCCTGTGAATCCAGCAAATGGGTCTAAGGATGCAAAAGAAAAGCCCCCTTAGAAGTGTGTACCGCCAAGGCACCAGTTGCCATCAGAGTTGATCTAGGAGAGACCCATTCGTCATCCACCCCCGGACTCGCATTCGTGGCCTTTTGACTGGAAGTACGGACGGAATATGTTTGATCATATATTCCGGTATTCCAAAATATAATGTAAAGAGTTCCAACCCAAACCCTTTGGAAGTGGAAAACAAGAGAGTTGAAAGAGGATAGGCGATAGGAGGTCAAGGAGACGTGACGATAACGACCCGCAGACCTTTGAACGCGGAGTAGGTAAAAGGCAGGACCTCGGGATTTGCCCACAATAATTACAATTATTATATATAATTGAGAGATAGTATTATTTTATTTGTACAGATGAAATACTCCGTATAAGAAATCAGAATGGTTAAGCCACAATGTTAGCAGGTTTTGTTCTCAGGTGACTTTGCCGCTCGGCAAAGTAGCGGTACATGATGTCGCCCGGTGAAGGCCACCTATTCTGTGTACCAGGTACTTTTGTCGGCCCCCGAGGATATCAATTGCCATAATAAGAATGTAAGCAAGTCAAGACCCAATTTCAAGAGCAAGATTTGTATTAGATTGTATCCGAATCTACTGTACATATGACATTAGAAATTCTATCAACAAGCTGGCCATACTGGAACAAAAGATAAAATCAAAAGACGAAATAGCACACTACAGAATCTGGCATTTCCAGTAGATTACGCCAAGTCTTCGCGCTGCGGGACAAGGAGAGAATAAATATCAACAAGGCGACCACAGGTGCCTCACATTTACTCTGGCGGCTCAGCCATCACAGAGTGTCGAGTCTCAGCTTCCGATGTGGCTTCAGACGCAGTACTCCAGTCTCCATCATCCTTCTCAGAGACTTTGCCGGTTGGGGTGGATAATGGAACAGGCTGAGGAATGACCTTGATACCACCGGCACGAGAGAAGAAATCTTCTGTGCGAAGGCCACGAACTTGTTGGGGATCCATTGCATCTATTTGCATCCCGCTAGCCTTTCTGGCTCGAATAAGTTCCCGCACAGGAACCATCGCTGCGTCTCGACATGCTTCCTTGATATCGCTACCAGACATACCGGCCATAGTCTTGACCAGATAGTGCAGATCGAAATTATCACGATCAACCTTCGTGTCTTTGAGGATCAGACTGAGAATGCGAAGGCGCTGGGCCATCGGAGGAAGAGTCACAGGGAACTTCTTAGGCATTCTTCGGAGAATCGCCTCATCAATATCTTGAATGCGGTTGGTCGCTCCTAAGACAACAATCCGCTGGGGCTCTCCCGTTGAATTTGCCGATGTAAGACCATCCCAATGAGTCATAAACTCAGCCTTCACCATACCACTTGCTTCATGTTCACCACTCCGCCGGGTTCCAAGTACAGCATCAATCTCATCAATGAAAACGATGGCAGGTTGTAACTTGCGCGCAAGTGAGAACACTGCATTGACCAATTTATTGGAGTCACCGTACCACTTCTCTGTCAACGTTGAGATGTGCAAGTTGATAAAGCATGCTCCACTCTCTGATGCTAGAGCTTTGGCAAGCATAGTCTTTCCGCAGCCAGGCGGACCGTATAGGAGGACCCCAGAGGGTGCGGTCAACAAAGACGAAGTGGAAGCGTAGAGGTGAGGCATGGTCAATGGGTAAATGACTGATTCCTTCAATTCCTCAATGATTTCATCAAGCCCTCCGATATCTTCAAATGACACTGGGATATCCTCTGGCGCAACAACATCCATCGCAATCGCTTGTTCATATTGGTTTAAGGTGAGCTCTTTCTTTCGTTGCCCTTTCTCCTTTTTGCCACCTTTCCGTGGCACATCATCATCTGATTCATTCACACCTTCCAATCGACGTATGATGGCGGCGGACTTCTGCCGTTGTTCCTCCTTCTTCTGACTCTCTGGGTCGAAATCAAGACGTGATAAAAGGTAGCGAATGAGGAAATATGCGGATGCAGACTACATTGGTGTTAGAAACATTCAGTCATGAAATAAGAACTTCCTCACAGTGCCTGCAACCATCACCATTTCTTGGAAGAACTGCTGCCATCTTCGGCCACCGGCTGAAGCCATGGCGAGTAGGGAATGATTAGATAAAGTGCAGTGATGGCGCAAATAAGAGCCAAAGGCGACAATACAGTGTAAAAGAAAGTAGATTAGAGTCACCAGTATTAAAACAAGAGTCGCCGAAGATCATTCGGGCAGCTTGTGGCGCGGGACTCGGGGGGATGCCAGTCACATGTCATAAGGCGGAGAAGGCGGTGTTAAGAGGTGTTGTTGTCGGTGCGCGTCCCGCGAGTATGCAATTGCCAAACAAATTATACCTAGGCACACCTGCACAATGACCAAACGGAAAGCTCCTTCCAAAATCTCTAGTCTAGTAGGCTCAGATGATGAAGACATCATGCAAGTCGAAGCAACGGAAACTCAAGAAACTCACGAGCCTCCTGCCAAAAGACGAAGAGGCAGACCGCGTACCTCAAACGAGAATGTGATCGAACCCAAACCTACCAGACCCGCTACTCGAACAAGGAAGCAGCAAGCAACGGTAGCTGCAGCTGAGCCAGAACTCCCTACAGACAAAAAGCCCGTCCGCCGAGGACGACCCAGAGGAAGCAGCCGTGCAGCGCAAGGCGCGGAAACGTCTGCACAGGCAACCGAGACAGAGGCTATGGTGCCAGAACAGGACGACACAGACAACCAGGAGAATGAAGACTCACATGTCTCAAAAATTACAAAGAAGCAGCCGCCCAAGGCCACAAGAGCTGCCCCAGCACGCGGTCGGGGACGACCCCGTGCGGTCAGCACACAGCTCCAAACAGATGGTGAATTTAAGTTTACCCCAAGCGGATCTCGACATGTTAGTTTCAATGAAACCCACACAGAGCAAGCCGAGCTGAGCCCTCTCGCTCGTACAGCGAGCTGGGGAAGAATCGAGCCAGAAGTTGGAGATTCTCAGCAGACCGAGCAACCCGCAGCAGAGCTCGTAGATGAGACTATCATTCACGAAGAACCCACCTATAATCGCAAATCGATGTCCCCCGTGAAGAACGCTCGCTCTCGGTTATCCATGTTACGCAACTCACAGGATTCTTCTCCTCGTAAACGCAAGCTCGGAGGCACCGACTCCGAGCAGGGCGGAGACCCAGAACTGAGACGCAGGCTTGGGGAACTGACTAAGAAGCATGATGCCTTGGAGAGTAAATACCGCAATTTACGGGAGATTGGGATTGTCGAAGCCAACACCAACATGGAGAAACTGCGAAAGCAAAGTGAGACTGTTACTAAAGGTATGCTCTTCCGTTGTCTTGTAGCCCCAAGGACATATCAATTGATACATTCTCAGCGTCAAATGAATTGATTGCCTCGCTCAAGGCCGAAATTGACACCCAGCGAAAGCTAGGGCTCCAGAGCCGTGGACTCCAGAAGCAACTCAAAGACCGCGATAATGAGTTATCTCGACTCAAATCTAGCGCCGATGAGGCACAAGCACAGCTTGCGTCTGCCCAGTCTGAGGTTAAAGCTTTGCAGACCAAGCTCGCCGCGGCGCGGAACACAGCTGCCAGTCTCGAGGGGGCTGCGAAGGTGCCCGGCAGTGCCATCAAGGGCGCTAACCGTGCTAATACAGTTGCCACCGCTGAAGCGGCACAGGCTTCACAGCTTGCCCAATTAAAAGAAGACCTATATAGCGATTTAACAGGATTGATCGTTCGTGATGTCAAAAACAGAGAGTCAGATTACCTATACGATTGTATCCAGACTGGAATCAATGGAAGTAAGTTGCGTGATTTCCTAGTAATTGGGGCATTTTCCTGACCTCCCTGCAGCTCTTCACTTCCATCTTGTCGTGCCCAAGGTCTCCGTTGACTACGACAAAACTGAGTTCCAATACCTGCCTCACTTGGACCCTAACCGCGATCGCGACCTAGTCAACTTGCTACCAGACTTCTTGACCGTGGACATCACCTTCGTCCGTGGACAAGCAGCCAAGTTTTATACGCGCGTCATTGATGCCCTCACAAAGCGTCGGTCTCTTCCGGCGCAATAGCAATACCGATACTAAATGTCAGACCATGGTGTTTCTCTTTCTTTTTTCGGGGTCTGTTCATTTTCATGGAGTTTGTTCGAGGACTGGGAATCTCATATTTTTGTTTCGATCATCAATAACATCAGTGTCAACAAGTATGCCTTCCAGCGTTATACTTAGTAGTAAACGTCTACCAGTGGGACCTTTGCTTAGAGAAACACACTTCCCAGCATCCCTCTTCAACCATTTGCAAGGCAGCTCAAGTTCTCGCCAGTCGCCACGATAATCTCGATATTCTGTTGACACCGGGGTTTCAACTGAGCTGTTCCCTGGCAGGGTACTATCTTCTTACTATATCCACTCAAAGGGGTATAACACCAATTATATCACATGTCTTTCTACATCGGTATATTCGATATCATCATCTCAATATCCAGTTTTTTTTCAGTTTTATTAAGACAGAGAAAAGCTTCAATAGGGGAAATAAATACCAAAATATAATTATATGTAGAGGAAACAAAAACAGGCCTGTGATTGGCTCTCACCGCCAAGTTCCCCAATGCGTCTCAAAGGTTGACGGGCTGACGTGTTGTGACCTTCCTATCTCCTTTTTTTTTTTTTTTTTGTGAATTTCCCTACGTTTGTGGCAGTGGACCACTTCCACTCTTTTAACACTTGAGCATCTAGACATAGATCATGGCGCGTCTAGGCCGCGTCGGGTTTCTCGCCCTCGCAGTGGTCTTCCACTTGATCTATACATACTCAATCTTTGACATCTACTTTGTCAGTCCAATTGTTAGTGGCATGAGATCATATGGTGTCGAGCGATCAGCTGGAACCCCGGCACCTGCCAAACGTCTCGTCCTCTTTGTCGCCGACGGCCTACGGGCTGACAAGGCCTTCCAAGCGTTCCCTGACCCATCCCCCGACGCCGATCCAGAAAACAACGAATTGATTCGCCTGTCTCCCTTTATTCGCTCGCAAGTTCTCTCCCATGGAACATTTGGTGTATCCCACACCCGCGTCCCCACGGAATCACGACCAGGCCATGTTGCACTTATCGCAGGTCTCTATGAGGATGTGTCCTCCGTCACCACAGGATGGAAGATGAACCCGGTGAATTTTGACAGCGTTTTTAACCAGAGTCGACACACTTGGAGCTGGGGTAGCCCGGATATCCTGCCAATGTTCAAGGAGGGCGCCGTACCGGGAAAAGTCGATGCGGAGATGTACAGTGAAGAAGCGGAGGACTTCACTGTCGATGCGACGCATTTGGATACTTGGGTCTTCTCCAAAGTCCATGACCTCTTCGAATCGGCAAAGACCGACCCGGACTTGAACCGAAAACTGCGGGACGACAAATTGGTGTTCTTTCTCCACCTGCTTGGACTGGATACCACTGGCCACTCTTTCCGGCCCTACTCGAATGAATACCTACACAACATCAAGGTAGTGGATCAAGGCGTCCAGGCCGTCACAAAATTGGTGGAGGATTTCTACGGGGATGACAAAACGGCGTTCGTGTTTACCGCAGACCATGGCATGAGTGACACAGGCAGTCATGGTGACGGCCATCCGGATAACACGCGGACACCGTTGGTTGTCTGGGGATCTGGCGTAGCGCGGCCTCAGCTCTCCTCTACCGGAATTGCTGCGGGTCATGAAGACGGTTTCTCGGCTGATTGGGGATTCGACCAGGTCCACCGACATGATGTAGCACAGGCTGATGTTGCGGCGCTCATGGCCTACCTAGTCGGTCTTGACTTTCCCGTCAACTCCGTTGGCCAATTGCCGCTGGACTACCTCAATGCTAGCCCCAAAGAAAAGGCCCTGGCTGCTCTCGCCAACACTCAGGGTGTTCTCGAGATGTACCGCGTCAAAGAAGAGCAAAAGAGAGACGCGGTGATCCGGTATGTGCCCTATGAGCCTCTATCGGGCTACCACGAGAACTCGATTGAAGGCAGATTGGCAAGAATTGAAGCACTCATCTCCAGTGGTGACCACGAGGAGGCTATTGTGATATCTGCCGAGCTTCTTCGTGTTGCTCTTGAAGGTCTGCGTTATCTACAGACCTATGACTGGCTGTTCTTGCGGACCATTGTCTCTATTGGATACCTTGGCTGGATCGCGTATGCACTGACCACGGTTATTGACCTGCACGTCCTGCACGGAACATCAGACTCCCACCGGACGACGGCCAGTATCTCATTCTTTTCGTCCATCCTGGCTGCCTTGTTCTCTGTATTTCTTTACCAGGGCTCGTCCTGGCGCTACTACTTCTATGCGTTCTTCCCGGTCTATTTCTGGGAAGAGGTTTTTGCACGCCGTAAAGCTTTGATTGCCGGGCGTCAGATTGTATTGGGCCATGTGTGCTCTTTCACCGGATACCTCAAGTTTGGACTCCAGCTACTGGCATTCCTCGGTACGATGGAGGCAATGGTTCAATCATATTTCCATCGCGAAATCTTTACCGTCTGCTTTTCCTTAGGTGCGTTGTGGCCTATTATTCATGGCTTCAGCTTTATTCGCAGCCATGCATCATTGTCTGTGACTTGGGCTCTTGGTTGCGGATTGATGAGCTCGTTCACTCTTCTTCCAGTAATCAAGGTTGAAAACCTTGATACAATGTAAGCTTCCTTTCTTTGGCAATGGCTTTTGCGTGACTAAACTTTTTTTTTGCAGCACATATGGCGGCTTGCTCATGTTCCTCACTGGCATCTTGTATTTGTTGTTTGAGGATGCTATCATCGGACATCGTGACCCGGAATCCAAAGAACTCAATGCCATCGGTCGTGTCGGTTCGCGGATCATCATGGGAATTCAGTTAGGCATGGTTCTGCTTGCTGTCATCGTCACTAGGTCATCTGTGCTCTCTCTTCAGGCCCGCCAAGGCCTACCGTTTGGAAATATCGTTGTTGGGTGGGTTGTCCTAGGTAAGTCTACACAGCAGTTTATCCCAGGACCACGGTGATCTTTACCGGGAAATGCTAACCAACGCTCAGTGGCTTCCCTGACACTTCCATTCTTCCACCGTTTGTATCCCAACAGCCACTATTTGCACCGGCTCATGATTATCTTCTTGACCTTCTCACCAACCTTTATCATTCTCACTATCTCGTGGGAAGGGCTGTTCTATTTTGTATTCTGCATGACCGTTGTAACATGGGTTCGCCTGGAACATGCCATTTACGTCCATACGGCGGGCACCTTGAAGAAACCTAAGAATCCGGGCGTGACAACCGTTGACGGTGAAACGTTCTACTACCGTGCCCTTACTCTCTCCGATATCCGTGTGGCACTCTTCTTCTTTTTCCTCCTGCAGTCGGCTTTCTTCAGCACGGGCAATGTGGCCTCGATCTCGACCTTCTCCCTCGACAGCGTCCGCCGCCTTATCCCTGTCTTCGATCCGTTCGCCCAAGGCGCGCTCTTGATTCTCCAAATCCTCATCCCCTTCGCCATTATCAGTGCCAATTTGGGGATCCTTAACCGCCGCCTAGAGGTACCGCCCAGCGCACTCTTCATGGTTGTCATGGCCATCTCGGACATTATGACCCTCAACTTCTTCTTCATGGTACGCGATGAGGGATCGTGGCTTGATATTGGTATGACCATTAGCCATTTCTGTATTGCAAGTGCCCTCTGCACCTTCGTGGCTGGTCTAGAGTTCCTCAGCGAGCAATTTGTCAGCGGTGTGAACTTCGCCCCGGTAATTCTTGGGACTGTCCCTATCGAAGAAGTCACAGAGTGCGAGGACCGCAAGCCTAAGAAAGCCTCTGGGGCCAAACAGTCCAAGTCCAAGGCCAAGGGTAAGGGTAAGGGTAAATCAGGAAAGTGGTCATAGTTAGTTGGAATAGGCTATATTGTATTTTATTTTTATAAATTGATAATTACCACCCCGCACTATACAAAATATTCCGGGGGAACGTTAAAAGATTCAAAATCCCAATCTCTCATTGGTCAAAGCTCAGAGTTACCGAGGCATCACAAGCTTCTGCTTTTTTTCTGCTTTTTCTGCTTTTTCTGCTTTTTTTCTCTTTTTAAAGGTATAATGATGTACTCTATACGGAGTACACGAGTATTTAATATCTCTGAAACAGAATAGTACATGTAAACTGAATTTACGAAAACCCTAAGCCTATACTCTGTAGTCATATACGAAGTACTCCGTACATCTTCAATATAGAACATATAGAACTCCACCTCCCCTCCACATCTCCGCATACTCCCGGGCTCTCATTTTATTGAAGACATGGAGTTAATGCATCTAGGGCTTGGTACGTCATGGCTAAAAGACTCAACCCAATCTTTTAGGGACGAACCCGAAGGAGGAATGGTATTTCCACGCAGTAGCTTAGCTGGAAATTGGCACACTTTCAATGTTTCTATCTATATAGATTTCCCATTTCCCGTCAAGTCTTTTCGTTCTCTCTCTCTCTCTTTTGGACCCTATTTGGTGGCTTTTACTGTGCAGTTAGCGCTTAGGTCTGAACCCCTATGGGCTGTTTCGTACCTTTTTACCCCTTTTTTTTATATTCTAAGAAATAAATAGATGTGAAAATAAGAAAGGTTATAAAATATGGTATAGAATATAGAATATGATATAGAATATAATGTATATAATATATAGAATAAAATAGATTATCCAAATAGTATCCAAATGCATAAATGTTAATGATGACCATTAATGCTGACCAAATATATAGCAACTCCACCATTTGATATTGCCACACCTTCACCTGGGCACTTCCTCTTCTCTTTTCCCCCCTCCCCGGTACTTTTTTTTCCCTTAATTTTCTGGACTTGATCGCGTGGCGTCTTTTGCTGTGATATCCCCTTTCTTACCCTTTATACTCCGTACCCCATACCTCCGTGAGCCTTAAAACTCCTTCTATATCATATCCCCTCCCCCCTCTCCCGAGCGCATCCCCTCCAAGTCTACCCCATTCCTGGATGGAGAGACCCTACCATGAGTACTGAATTCCATACCGACCAACTATCGGATCATCCAAGCCCTGCTCCGAGCAACGCGGGCTCGACGGGGACTTCGGGCATCACGGTGCGCAATGGTCCACAGGGCCAACCGTTGAGTTTCAGAAGGTAAGCCAGTTCTGATGCCTAGTTTGATGTTGGCATGGTGTCTGGTATGGGTTGTGGAGTGTGCGAGGGGTTTTCGACTTTTCACTTCCCTTAGAAGGAAAAACTCTTTCAGTTAAGCATTTTTATACGCTTGCTAATTCGTTTTATCTAATCTTAGACAACGTGCATCACGCGCGTGCGAGGTACGTCTGGATTTCTAGGGAGACGCGACTCTCGGGGCCGAGGTTGTTACGCACCTCGGCTCAGTTCCTTATCGCGATACATTTCACTCTTTCCCTTTTAGTCTTGGATTTGGAAAAACATGTAACTGATATCTCTTCTTTGACTTAGACATGTCATGCTCGTAAGGTGAGTTTTCCCTCGGTCGCACATTTCCTTTTTTCCCCTCTAACCCCGTCCCTGTCGCCTAGGTTCGATGTGATGCAGCCAGTCTCGGGGTACCTTGCACCAATTGTGTCGCTTTCTCCATCGAATGCAAGATTCCGTCTCCGAAACGAAAGAAGAACAATCAGAACAAGAGTAAAGAAGATACTCAGTATGACGACAGCCCACCACAAACTGCCTCCTCCATCGTCGATGCTGCGGTTGCTCACTTCCGACCCAGCACTGAGGAGCAAGCTGGTTCGGTAACTGGCTCTGTCTCTGCGCCTAGGGAAAAGGAGAAAAGTTCAGACTCGGATGAAAAGAGCGATGCCTTCGGATACCGGAACAATCGCATGGGCGTCGACGGCATGCCTAATACCTCCCTCTCCGAGGCTGAGGCCGCCCAGCAAGCTTCGGCCGATAATGCCTACGCCCAATTTATGAAGCCCAAGTTTGCCCGTGCTCCAATAAAAGAGGCTGGTCGGGTCGCATACCTAGGCGAGTCGTCGAATCTGTCTCTCCTGGTTCAAGATCGACATGGAACAACGGATGTTGTGCATTATCCGCTCCCACCGAATATCCGAGGATCCCGCGCCCGGTTGACGGACCTGGACAACTTGGAAATTGACATCCTACATCAGCGGGGCGCATTCTTGCTCCCGCCCAAACCGCTGTGTGATGAGTTGGTCGATGCATACTTCAAATGGGTGGCACCTGTCGTGCCGATTATTAATAAGAGTCGCTTCATGCGTCACTACCGTGATCCCAAGAACCCGCCCTCGTTGTTGCTGCTGCAGGCGATTCTGCTGGCAGGATCGAGAGTCTGCACTAACCAACAGCTCATGGATGCGAATGGTTCGACAACCCCTGCGGCTATGACTTTCTATAAGCGTGCTAAGGCTCTGTACGATGCTAACTACGAGGATGACCGTGTCACTATCGTGCAGGCATTGGTACTTTTGGGTTGGTATTGGGAGGGACCTGAAGGTTAGTTCCCAATCTATACCAGTCTATCCTAATGGCTTTTCTGACTAGTTACAGACGTCACCAAGAACGTCTTCTACTGGACACGGGTCGCTATGGTGGTAGCTCAGGGCTCTGGAATGCATCGCAGCGTCGAAATGTCTCAGCTTAACAAACCAGACAAAAGACTCTGGAAAAGAATCTGGTGGACCCTGTTTACCCGGGATCGCTCTGTCGCTGTTGCACTGGGACGCCCGATTGGAATCAATACAGATGACTCGGATGTTGAAATGGTGACGGAGGACGATTTCATCGAAGATGAGCTCGATACTGTCGCCGAATACCCATCAGACCCTGTCCATGTCCAATTCTTCCTGCAATACGTCAAGCTGTGCGAGATTATGGGCTTGGTTCTGTCACAGCAGTACTCCGTGGCTTCCAAGTCACGGCGTATGAATGCAATGGATCTCACTCACTCAGATATGGCGCTCGCCGATTGGCTGCAAAACTGTCCTAAAGAAGTATGCTGGCAACGCTCTAGACATCATTTCTGGGCGGCTCTCTTGCACTCGAATTACTACACTACGCTCTGTCTTCTTCACAGGGCTCATATGCCGCCTGCCTCATCCGCGCCCAATAACTACAGGGTCGAAGAAATGGCTTATCCATCGCGAACAATTGCCTTCCAAGCTGCAGGCATGATTACCTCTATTGTTGAGAACCTACAGGCGCATGGGGAGATTCGATACACGCCTGCCTTCATTGTCTACAGTCTATTCTCGGCCTTGATTATGCACGTGTACCAAATGCGTTCCTCGGTTCCTTCGATCGTGGCCACCTGCCAGGAAAGAATCAACGTCTGCATGCTAGCCCTCAAGGATGTATCAAAGGTTTGGCTGGTAGCAAAGATGGTGAACACCTTGTTCGAGTCTATCCTTGGAAACAAGGTGTTGGAAGAACGACTCCAGAAAGCTGCGGGCCGGAGACACCAGCGCACACGGCATGGGGAATCATCTTCCTCCAAGAGGCAGGACCCACCGAAACGCAAATTCGACGATATGGACATCGGCATGCCAAATGGCGGGCCTACGCCCCCCGTGTCATACGAGCGCTCCCGGCCCCAGACCCCCGCTGTCACCCCCTCCCGGGAACTGAATCAACCCCCTCCAGCCGGCCAACAATCACCAAACATCCACCGCGCTGCTCACGATCCAATGACCGGCACGGGTAATTCCCGAGCCAACACCAGGCCTACAACCCCGTTCAACGGTCAATTCTCTCTACCCGCCACACCCCCCGACTTCTTCCTAGTAACCCGTACCTCACCTAACCTTTCCCCCTCCCTCTGGGAGAACTTCCAACCCGACCAACTCTTCCCAGATGGCACCACCTTCTTCCCGGAGTTGACGTCGCCACCCCAGCCTGCTGCGGTGGATCCATCCCTCCAGATCCCATCACAAATGCCCCCGGGCATGAACCCGCGTCCTAATCCCATGATGAACAACCACCCACAGCCCGTCTCGGGCCGTAGCATGTCTATCTCCCATGGTAGTCCACCGGTGATGTCAGGACTGCCGGGCGCGATGGGAATGCATCCGAATCCGCCGCAGCAGATGTTCGGCATGGAGGGGCAGCATCAGCAAGCCTGGCCGCCCATGCACGGTCTCGACGGCACTATGAGTGGAGCCGCCATGGACGCTGCGAGCCAGGACAATGATACCTGGAGTAGTAGTTCCCGTAGCGGACCGACTGCCCCAACAACGCTGAATGTTGAGGATTGGTATGTCTCCCAAGGCCTTACGGTTTTATTTTAACATTCCTTTGTGCTAATACGCAATAGGTTCCAATTCTTCGGCATCAACGGCAGTTTCGGCGATCTGGCTGCATAAACAATCACAATCTGAACTAGTTACATATGTACGCTTCACGTTTATGTTGTTACGCCTTGTCGAGAGTGAACTTGGGATTTTTGGGAGTACAAAGTACACCCGTTTCCTAAGCTCTAATCTAATTGTTATGCTTGGTATATACTGTCATCTTTTGGAGCGTTTCTTTTTTCCCTCAAAACGGATTGCTTTTCGAGGTGGGGCGTTTGATGTGGGATGGTCTATTCTTTATGGACGATGTAGTTTATGCATATCCTTGGATGTTATCTTTTGATTTGTTATCCATTCAGAGGGAGTTGGAATGGGAGTTTATACAAGTTTCAATTGCTCTTATATTATTCTATTCTATTCAAATAATTGAAACAAACAAAAAGAAAAAGGAGTTCCTAATCAGCGACATATCAGCCCGCGACGCGTCTAGTCGCGTCTTATCACAGAAATCTACCTGTCAACTTCTAGTCATTTAAAACCACTTGTTCCCTTTTTCCATCTGTTTCATCTATTTTCATATTCATCCTTTTCCATCACAATGCCTCCCAAGAGAAAATCAACCGACTCCACTGCCAGCAGCACAAAGAAGTCTAAAGGCCCAAGCCCTGAAGTAGACATGGAAACAGAGCGCGCTCTTAACAGGCGCTGGGCTCCCGTCTATGTATCCCGCAATGCAGATTCGGAGTTCAAATTGCGAACTCGTGATCCCGTCAAGGCTTTCAGTTATATATGCCTGGGATGCGCTCCTTGGAAGACCCAGATCACAGACGAGTCTGAGGAGGAGGAAGATGAAGATGAAGACGAAGAGGTCATAGAGTAGAAGAAGAAAGATGATCTGGTAAGTAAATTAAATGTGGAGGAACAATCTCTATTTCGGGGGCTGATTCTGATATCAGGAGGCGGACGATACCACTACCCTCAAACCTGCTTCCGAACACCCAGGGGGAAAATGGATCTTCACAAACGCCGGCCTGGCTAAGTGGATTGCGCTGAAGCAGGGCACTGCTGTGCGTGACCCGGATAACTTCGAGATGTATCTCTATAATGACTTCTTTGGATATGCCATTATGGAGCTGGTGGAGAACCTCTTCCTTGATTTCGAGGAGGCCAATGGTGATTGGAAGATGCAGTGGGCTATCTGTGAAGCGACGGGGTTGTATTTCCAAATGGATGCTATCATGTCGATGATTGGGGTTGTCTCACTCCGAGTGTGATATTGTGGATGAAACGTTAACGAAATCTATAGCTGCGAAGACGGAGATACTGTTAACGTGGTGTGTATCGCCTTTGCCACAATGTTCCTTACTATGCTTGCTACTTTGGAGCGAAATGATCTCTTAAAGTCGGATTCGGAGGTAAAGAACATCGGAGCCATCATCGGTCTGTTCATCCGCTTCATCGTTGATGTCGAAGCGTATGGTATCAACTGGGATAACCACGATGCAAAGCTCAAGGCTTATGCCGCCAAGCACAATATTACGGTCCACGGCTTGAATCATGCGAGCTATGAGAAGTCGTCTGGTGAGATGGTCGATCTTCCTGAGGCTACGGCTGGTGCCAATGATCCCTGGGGCTGGCGAAAGACATTAGCAAAGCTGAAGAAGGCCAATGACGGGCGCCTGGGTGGTGATTCGAAGGACATCACGTCTTGGGCTTCTGCGGAGCGCAAGAAGGCTGCTTTCAACAAGAAGGATCCAATTTCTCGAAGTGCCATGACTCATATCAAGAATGGTAGGATTATGGAGATGGCCTGAATGGCTGAAGGGTTGTGTTTGTGTATATTAGGATCATTGATTATGGAAGGATTGTTGTTTATGTATGAGTATGGTTTTTGAACTTCACTATAGCACGGTCACCGCTCAATGTATCCGAGAGTAACTAAATTCTCCAAACTCCCAAAGGATCAGACCTCATATCTTCCCTTGACTGTTGCAGTTTCTTTACGCGTCTGACCAGAGTCCCAACCAAGATCGGACCGATCAATGTGCAGAGCGAAATTGCCCAGATGACCACTAGATAGGTTTCAGATGGTCCTTCGGAAGATTCATTGGAGAACATTCCCTTGCTTTCAGCAATTGAAGCAATAAGGTATCCTACTTCACCTCGGGCAACCATTGCCAATCCTAGTATAGCAGGCGGGTACAAGGACTTGGGTTTGGGGGGGAGGGAGATGCGGGAACTGGGGCGAGAATTGGGGGCAGGAGATCTGTTCATTGGCCAAGATTCGTTTTCAACATTATTCGGCGTTGAAACATATGCGCTGTCATCTTGGATTGCTGGTATTTGTGTAGTTTTCTTGTTTTGATTCGGCTTTCCGCTGATGGTCCAAGGAGTCGCACAGGAATGAACACATGCAAACAGTTTCTTGATGGTAGAGACTAAACCCGACACAGGGCTTGGAGAGAATCGAACGAGCCATAGGCCTGTGAGCATTTTTCCAATTGCCATCAGCATGGCGTAGATAATTCCACGCCATACAACCTGACCTGAGAACATTTTGGTTATGGGGATTGCAAATCCAATGGATGCCTGCTGATGTTAATAAGTCCCTTTTTAATGAAATGGCAGGACTCACAAAGAAAAAAGGGAGAAGAATTCGGTTGACCGGCGCTTTATAATATTTGCTGTAAATGAATTCACCTGTAGGTAGTTTATGGGTTATTTCTGTTTGTCGAGCTGGCACAGGTGGGGAGGGTGTCTCTTCGGTACACCCGTTCTTGCTATTCCCTGTGCTTCCCTGATGATTCAAAGTCTGGTCGTGAGAGTCCCCTGACTGTAAGTCAGTGATTGGTATTTTTGTTTCAGCTACCAGCCCATCAAACCAAGAGACAACCACACCAGCAAGATAGGCAGCAAAGAGACTCGAGGTTCCAGCATACGTTGCACCAGCCATGATCCCAACTAACACACACGTCTGTGCAAGGAAAGCAAATTGTGCAGTTCCCACAAAAGCTGGGAACTTGTCTTTGTAACCAAGCAATTTCTTTAATGTTGGCTGCAAACAGAATGCACACAGCAATAGGAGACCAACCGCGAAACCGATGGAAACAAAAACAGGTCGAATGACAGTCACAGGACTAAACGAGTTGGTACCTCCAAGGTTGGAAATAATCTGAATCATGACCAGACCGACCACATCGTCTAGCATCGCAGCACTAGTGGTGACTGTGCCAAGCCTTGTAGTTGTCAACTGGGTGGTTGAGAGTATAGTAAAGGTGGTGCCGAGACTAGTTGCACTCAAGGCTGCGCCGGCTGCAAAGGACTGAAGAGATGTTGCAGATACGATTTCCTTGAGAATGAATGACAAGCCCATTGGAACACAGATTCCAGTGATGGCAACGGCTGTCGAAAGAAGGATGTTTGCCTTCAAAGACTTGATTGAGGTTGACAGACCACCTATTTATTATAAGATAATATATCCAAGAGGGGGGGCAATAGTCCAAACACTTACCTTCATATATCAAAAGTATCAGGCCTAAATACCCGATTTGCTGGATCACTCTTTCTGTCTCTTGATCGAACCATTGTGCTCCCGGTGTGCCCCACAGGACACCGATGAAGAGCTGGCCGATTAATCCACAGTAAAGGAGCTGGTCCAGGCAGGTATTGACTATGTTCAGTGTCAAAAGAAATCCAGTGTAGTTGAGGACTGTTTTGATTGATGGTTCGTGATAGGCAAATGCTGATCCCTGTGTGGATGCCATATTGTTGGTCCTCTCTAAGGTAAGAGTGTTGGATATTCTAGATTCCAGAGTCCATATAGGTGTCTAATTAACGGTCATGGCTGAGAGTGAAAACCTTCCTTTTGCCCAGGTGCCCAGGTGAGCCAAGTCGATGACTAAGAGTTTACAACTGAGACTTTAAGGATGTTTTCCGAGAGTATACATCAATCTATATATGAATGTGTATATGTATCTCTATTTATATATATATCTATATCTATACATTGTAAAAGAGTATTCCATGGCTTCTAATTGACTTTCAAATTAAGATATTGCTAGGAATATACAACATATAAAAAGACTAGAACGTGTATAAACTAAGAACTCTTGCGATGTATTCGGTTTATATATATACCTTACCCATACCTATATATAATAACATATTAAATATGTTCTAAATCATTATATAGATCTCCTATAAATGTATTATAATCCATATATAAATCAAAACAAATGTTGACTCATAAAACTCCACATACTTGCATGCCTAATCGGGATTAGCGGATGACGAAATCGCAATGGTCGTTGGCTCGACGAATCAGCGCCGACTCGGACGAGTCAGCTTGTCCGGGGGGGAAGAGGAAAGAAGAAGTGATTGGGGATTCTTCGGATTCTTTTTGATTTTTTATTCCTATTTCCCCTTTTTACTCTGACATCGCATCTTTTTCATTCTTTGCTTGCAATTATCTCAATTACCCTCTATACCCTCTCTTTCTCCCTCTTTCTGCCCCCGCTACAGCGATGTCGGCCTCAGCTGGAATTCCCAATGCCTCAGGGTCATCCAGCGGTGTGAAGAAAGATTTCCCCCAGGTTGACCTGTCAGGCAATGACCTACCACCTTCCCCTGCCCCCTCTAGTCCTCATACCGGTCGCCGGTACAATATCGCCACCGAGCTGGTCTTCACCGAGGGCAGTGACCAATACAATGCCAGCAGCGTTCCTATCTACCAGGTACAGATCCCACCTCGGTCACATAATGATCCTTGTAATTGCACTTGAATACTGATCATTGTTGATCACATAGAGTGCTACCTTCAAGCAAACCTCCAACGCCGGCGGTGGAGAGTATGACTATACACGGTCCGGGAACCCCACTCGCACACACCTTGAGCGTCACTTGGCCAAGATCATGTCAGCACAGCGCGCCCTGGTGGTCTCATCTGGCATGGCAGCCTTGGATGTGATTACAAGACTTCTCCGCCCCGGTGACGAGGTGGTCACCGGTGACGACCTCTACGGTGGCACCAACCGTCTGCTTAAGTATCTCTCTACCAACGGCGGAATCGTTGTGCATCACGTCGACACCACACAGGCCGAGAAGGTCCAGCAGGTGCTGAGCTCGAAGACAACCATGGTGCTTCTCGAGACCCCTACAAACCCCCTGATCAAGATCGTCGATATTGGAAAGATTGCCACCGCCGCCCATGAAGCCAACCCCGCCTGCATTGTCGCTGTGGACAACACCATGATGTCTCCCCTGCTCCTCAACCCACTAGACTTCGGTGCCGATGTCGTTTACGAGAGTGGTACTAAGTACCTCTCTGGTCACCACGACCTGATGGCCGGTGTCATTGCCGTGAACGACCTACAACTCGGAGAACGCCTATACTTCCCGATCAACGCGTCAGGATGCGGCCTGTCACCGTTTGACTCTTGGCTACTACTGCGCGGCGTGAAGACGTTGAAGGTACGCATGGACCAACAACAAAGCAATGCCCAGCGCATTGCCGAGTTCCTTGAGTCGCATGGCTTCAAGGTGCGCTACCCCGGTTTGCGGTCCCACCCGCAATACGAACTCCACAATTCCATGGCGCGGGGTGCCGGCGCTGTTCTCTCGTTCGAGACCGGTGACACGGCCATTAGCGAGCGGATTGTGGAGAGTGCCAAGATTTGGGCTATCAGTGTCAGTTTTGGTTGTGTCAACAGTCTGATCAGCATGCCCTGCCGTATGAGTCATGCTAGCATTGACGCGAAGACGCGGGCGGAACGTGCTATGCCAGAAGACTTGATCCGGTTGTGTGTTGGTATTGAGGATGTAGATGACTTGATTGATGACTTGCAACGAGCGGTATGTCTTATGTTTCTCCCTTGCATCATTTGGATTGCTAACTCTTTTTTTTTTTCAGTTGGTGCAAGCTGGTGCGGTGAATGTCACTCTGGATGGTATTGAAGCTCGGTAGATATGTAGTTAAATATCTTGGTATTTGGCGTTTGGGGGATTTAAAATATAAAGAGTATAATGAAGGAAACCTATACTTGTAATATCTTGACAATATGTAGACAACCCCAAGGCCTGATATAAAATGCTTATCTGATAAGCTATCGGGCCGGCATCGGAGAGCCGGCGCCGGATCGCGTCCGGGTCATTCTCGTCCGAAGCTGGGGGAGGTCAATAGATATCAGACCTCGCATTTGTAATTCATTTTTGGACCTATGTACTCTTTTATCCAATGCATAACCTCGTTTTTATCCATATTATAGCATGAATCGGGATGTTGTGCAAGATACAATATCTACAATGGCGACAATAAAGGAACAGGAACATCAGGCCCCCAGCACACGCCCGACAGCTTCAACATGGAATACGAAGGATATGGGCAAGCGACTCGGTGTTGATGTTGTTAGTGCAGCAACAGCTGGTGTTCTGACCTGCCCATTAATCACCATCATTGATCGGTGAGTGATCACAGATCTCAAATGCTTATTTAGAAATACAAGACTAATAATCCTCCAGTGCAATCATGGAAAAAGCCTCGAAAGGCTTCCCAATTGGTCAAACAATCAAAAGCTGCCTCCGATCAATGGTCGCTCGACCCAGCAGCTTCTTCTTCAGCACTCCATTCCTCCTCATCTACACCCTATACACCTCGACTTATCTGACAGCAAATGCAATCGATACCCTCAGATCAACAACACACAACCAACCCTACAATACCATTGACACAGGCCTCCCCAAGTTCTTCGCAACGACAATAGTTAACATGACAATCTGCGTCTATAAAGACGCGCGCTTCGCCAAAATGTTTGGCGTATCTCCTCCCAACGAATCGCCAGCTCGAAGCAGCACCATAAATACAAACCCAGTCGCGTGGAAGTACAGCTCTGCTCTCCGCGCACCATGCCCTCCCTCCGCGCCCACACCAGCCCTCCAGATTCCAAAAGTCTCCTACGGCCTCTTCTGTCTTCGCGACAGCATCACCATCTGGGCTTCTTTCAATATTCCCGCTCTTATTGCACCCTCAGTCCCAGACTTGATCGCCTCGAGCCCAACTATGAAATCCAGCATCGCGCAATTTGCCTGTCCCGCTGCTATGCAGTTCGCCAGTACGCCCATGCATCTCCTTGGGTTGGACCTTTACAACCGCCAGCCGGCTAGTGGTTTGCATTGGACTGAACGTGTAGCACGGATTCGTCGCGATTATGTGCCTAGTTGCTTTGCGCGCATGGGGAAGATCGTCCCTGCGTACGGTGTTGGTGGTGTGGTCAATGTGCGAATGAGGGACTCCCTGATGAAGAGAGTTGAGAAGGGAGAGTAATTTGAATTTGATTTGATATCAAAAGGAAGGATAGCGGTGGAAAGGGGTTTTCGGTGGGTTAACGACCTGATGATCTCTTCATTTTGTTTTCATTTAATGTTTAGATTTGCATTTCGTGGTCTTTTGATCTCATGTTCATCTCTCCACTCAGCCTTATGGGATTAATGCTCGGCGTTGTTTTTCAGGATTTGGTGTTTTTTATCCCCAGACTTTGTTTTATAATTCTGGGGTACTGTTTTGGGTATCATTTTCTGTATCTAGTTCATACTTAGATTGCTGTGTATTCACCTGGGACTTAGTACAGACTCGGGATTTAGACTGGTTTAGAGAGTCTTGACCGTTAATAACTTGGATTTTCTATAGATATCACTATTTTTTATGAATTATGTGGTAAGTCGATACTTGATATATACTCGGGAGCAAGAAATATTTCAGTCGAAGATAATAGAGTGAAATAACAACAGTACTCTGGGGATGATATTCCATATCAAAAAGCATTCACCACCTATAGTAGCCAGTTAGCCAATCTTCATAACAGCAAGAAAACGAAAGTCTTACACAAAAGGTTCAGAATGCAAATACAGCTCCTCAACCTCGCCCTTGAGCACGTTGGCCTGCGCCAAAGCCGCCGCGTTCCGTGTATCATGAAGCATAGAAGCAGGGCCACAAACCAAAACCCCAACCCGCTGCTTTTTCTCAAGATGCGTCCCTTGATTATGTGCCATCGCAATAGTGCGTGCAACCAGACTAGGAATATCAGGGCGAGAATAGCGGCGGACATTCAAAGTGAAATTTCCAGTGGTAGTAATCTCAGCCGGCGGTACTTTACCAGCCGTGCCCTTAACATTGTCCAACTCCGAAGTCGAGGAAATCCCCTGTCCAGGCTGGTCAGTGACGTGTACAGACACCGCAGTCTCGAATCCCTTGTCTGAATCCGCAGATAACATAGTCGATTTTGAGAGTCGTGAGTCGATTTCATCGATATACCAATCTGCCATGGCGTGGTCGCGGGTCGAGAAGACGACTTGAAGGTTCCGCCTGGAGAGTGGTCGTTTCTCGCCTGGTGCGTTTATCTCCGTCAACCGGAGCGCTTCGTCTACCATGGCTAGTGAGAACCCGCCTCCCGAGCCACCGGCTATCACTAGAATCGTATCAAATTGCGCCATGTGAGGTTTGCTGACGCCGCCATACGGTCCCTCTATCAAGATGTTCTTCGTGCAGCCTGGATTCTTGGCTGCCATTGCTCTAAGGCGTCCAGTGACACCGTCGCGTGGTTTGATGTAGAATACTAGTTCCGAGGCTTTGCCTATTTCGTCTGGATTGCGACATGTGGAGGAAATGGTAAAGGGGTGGGCGGTGAGTAGGTGTAGGTCTGATGTGAGGAAGCGCACGAATACGTGCTGACCGGGGGTCCATTTGATAATTGATGGGACTACCACGCGGACAAGACCGCTGGGGAGAAGTTCGATAGTTGCGTTGTGGATTCCATGCATTAGATAGGTACGGATGTGGCTGGCGATCAGGCTTAGGAAGTAGATCACACCCGAGGCTATGAAGTAGTCCCTACTATATGTCAATATAAAGTCATCTTGGGGGCTTATTGGGGTCTAACATACCAGGAAGAGAGCCGGAAATCGCAGTGAAGGAAGAAGAACACGACAAATACTACCGCCATGAAGATGTGCGTGGCTTTGAAGAATTCATAGAATCTATTGCTGTAGAAGTTGTTAGGGGTTTGTCTCCTTGATAGGTTAAGTGTGACCTTACCGAATGAATGGCAAAGACATGAGGGTTAAATATGCCTGTGAGATGAGAGAAACAACTCCTGTCCAGTATACCACACTTGTCTTCCACTGATGCATCATGTCCCCTTTCCTGATATGATACACGATATATGGGAATGTGTGGACTAATGCTAACACAAACATCGCATAGCTAGTCCAGTGGTGGAACACTTGAAGTTTCTCATGTGGAATACCAGTCACGCCAGTGATCATGTTGGCTTTCGTGCTCAATGCTCTAAGAGGAGGTCAGCGACTGACTTGCATGCTCCGAATAAAATACACACAGTACAAATGGAAGCAGCGCAAGAGCCATCCAGCCCGATCGAGTCGCAATTGGAGGACTACTTCCATAAGAAGCATCTGTCGGCCAGTAATATGGTTGTGGGCCGAGTGTCATTCCTATATAAACCCGTCAGTTATCATTGCTACATCTTCACAAGTCCAACTCACCAAAGAAGAATATAGTGCCAATAGCACCCAGAATCACCACACCCAACGCAGGAGACCAATATTGCAGTGCAGACAATCGATATCCACGATAAGACAAGTATCGTGAGGCGGAAGTGAACATGCGCCATAGTCTAGTCCGCTTTACTCTATCTGGAGCAAGTCGTACAAGCAAGTTTGATATCGCGAACACTCCAATCACCACACACATGAAGTAGACAGTGTTTAATGCATAAACATGGTCGGCTTGGTACCTGGAACAGATCTCACATAAGCACATATACACGTAACTCGAAAGAAGGTACATACCAGTATCGCCAGATATAATTGCGATAGAGACATTGAGCTTCGGTCAATTTGCATTTGTCGGCACGAGACGAATGAAGCATCACCGGCTGATCGAGCCATGGTGTGGCCATCTCCATGTCCATCATCTTGTGAAGAAGTAACACCTACAAGACAAGGAAATACAGATATGGGATATCGAAGGTATGATCGGTAGATCCAAGTTTAGTTTTGACCGAAAGCTGGGGATACCTTTATTCTCCTATTGAAGGTCATTTGAATAGTTCCAGACATTTTTAGTCTCGCAGGGATTCTGCTCACAATTGAGCAGATTTTCATGGGATAAATTGGGGGGTGTCTGTAATTTAGAGACTTGTGGTTGGTTGGAATGTAAAGAGCACATTTGCGCTTAATATTGAATCTGACATGGGGGTTACTTGGAAAAATATCATATACATCATAAAATATCTTATGAATACTCCATTTCCTCAAAATGTGTGTTATTCAACGCATGCGGAGCACTCGAGGTGGATAACTGTCAAGTCGAAACCAAAAAATAAAAATTCTCAAAAGAGTCATAGGGTAGTATGAGCCAAATAAAATGAAATTGAAAATGATAAAAAGAGAAAAAAGAAGAGGGGGAAAAAAAAAAAGAAAAGAAATCGAGGTACAATATGTCTGCATCGGGACTAGCGTCTCACATGGTAGATCCAACCCTACATTCTGCATTTTCACAATTGCGCTATGATATGTCTCAGGTCCTCTGTTCAAGGGCCACCGCTGTAATGGAAACATTACCCTTGATAGGCCCCTTGTCAGTGGAGATCGGGTTGTCACCCCCAATTCCATACAGCTTCAGCGCATGATGGCCTCCACGCACGCTGTCTGCTTCGATACCTTTCGCCCGAAGCACGCTGGTAGCCACACGTGCCGAATCTCCATCGTAGCATATCACAAGGACGTGATGCCGTCCTAGATCTGAGATCAAGACGTCATCCTTGAAGATCTTCTCCAGCTCGACCCATTGCGCTTCTAATAAGCCTGGATCGGAAAATGGCGACGGGCTATGAGGTCTAACACTACACAATGGCAAGTTCATCGAACCAGGAAGGTGCCACGTGTAGAAGTCATCCGGCTGGCGCAGGTCCACAACGCTGTTTTGCGGTTTGAGGGAAATCTCACTCAATAAGCTTTGCGCAAGGGATCGCGGTGATCCATAAAAGTGTGGTAAAATATCTAATGGGTCCCGCTCCCAGCTCTCGTCATATCGGTGCAGGTCAACTTTTGCCAGGCGCTGGAAATAGTGGACAGATTAGCTTTACTCTCTTTTTTTCTTTCCTTTTGGCTAAGGTGGACTCGTCAAAAGCCAACACGTCAGGAGTGTGGTATTTACCTCGTTTCGGATTGGGTGGAATTGCTCTTCGCCCAGCTTTTGGAAGTACTCATCAATGTACTGGTACGGCAAATCACAGCAGAGGAAGACGCAGTGGATAATGCCATCTGGCCCCGCGAGCTCAGATAGGGTTCCTGCAGCCTTACGCTTTCCCAGTGTCTGGAAGAGTCCTTGGAGGTTGAACCCGGATGATGGGCCACAAACCAGTCCCTCTCGGCATAGGTTCAGAGAGAGTGTGTATGACTCGGCCGATCCAACTTCTTCGATAGTATCCACAGCTGCTCTCCAGGGAAACTCGACAGGGCGCATTAGAGCATATGACCTGGGGCCAGGTACCCGGTCACCAGGGGCTGTACAAACACCAAGTCGGTAAACAGATGGCTTAACCTCTTTGAAATAGGTCCCTAGACCGGTCATGGTACCAGACGTGCCCATACCAGCACACAGAACGTTTATTTCAGGCAGCTGCTTGAATATCTGTGGTCCGGTCCATCGCATATGAGACTTCCAGTTGTTGTTGTTTTCGTATTGGTTGGGATTGACAGTGGTCTCTGACTCCAGAGCCATTCTTCGGGCATTTTGAATGCCACCTCGTTCGTCTAATGGCTCTGGTTGAGACGGTCCACCGAATAAGGTAATGTCGAGACCAAAGAATTGCATCAACTTTAGTTTTGCGTCGCTCGTTTTGTTACTCAGGAAGGCCCTGGTGTCATTCACTCCGTGCATGACGCGGGCAACCATTGACATTGAAATCACTGTTGACCCGGAACTGTATTCGATGATCTGATCTGTCTTGCCGGACACAACACTAGACTCAAGCATGTTCAATGCTGGTCTCATATTAGCTTGTACTGTTTGGTATTCTCACAGGGTTTCTTACCTGGCATTGCCTTGACATTGTTTGCCGGATGCATGGTCATCATTTTGGCATATATCCGCACCCCATCTTGATGATAAGGGTTCAAATGAGGTGGGAGCTCTACAAGAGGTAGAGGAGGCTGACAGTCCGGGTTGAAGTATTTTTTCAGCGAGTCAGTGCCGAAGTATACATTGTTCTCATTCATATTGGCCATTTTCTTGGAAGAATTGATGTTGAGACTTAGTACAATAGATGTTGGTTCGCGGACAGTCTTTCTACTGCACAAGTTTCAAGAGCAACCCGAGGGATGAAAGTAGATGTGAGAGAAGAAAATCCTAGGGTCCATCTAGGTAATTATACAGAATAAATTTCTATAGCGGTCCATCACTTGCCCCTCCATCCTGTTGCGTCTTTTCTTGGCGTCCAATAAGTAAGAAAGTAAGATCTCTTCTTACTCCACTGAATACGCAAATCAGATACTTAAAAATATAAGTGGAAGCCCCTGGAAATTTGATACGAACAAGGAAATGGCGTAGAGCGATCTCGGGGATATACGGTCCAAGAGAACTCTGGCAAGTCCTGTCATAAATTGGATATAGAAAAGGTTGAAAACGGAATTGCATTGCAGCGTCATGTTCTATGTGATAAAATATTTTTATTTTATTATTATTATTTTTTTTTAATCTGACAAGGTACTCAAGAATGGATTCAAAGGTGTTATTTAATTTCCCTGAAAATCAAATACTCTATCCTTGTAAGCCATAAGGACCTTGAGGGCGTTTGAGAAGTTTTGTTCAACTTGCAGATCTTCTGTCAAGGTGCTCATCGCCGATCTATGAACTTTCCCGTTTGAACCTCTTGTCTTTTCTTTTCTTTTCTTTTCTACTTCCTTTTCCCTTAGGTATTTACTTTCTATTCATATCAATACACCATGACAGGGGTACTTGAAAATTCGAAAACAGATAATGCGTTTGAGAAGGATGTGACTGTCACTTTCAATGAACAAACCAACTATGTGCCTAAGCGCACTGTTATCACGGTTAGTAGATACGGTACTCAATATGTGACCAAGATAATGACAATTATCTAGATCTTCCTGGCCTGTTCCAGTGTTGACCTCCTGGCACTGATGGACCAGACAACCCTGGCAGCCAGTTTGTCTATCATAGGAAATGCACTGGGCGCCAGTGATCAGACCTCCTGGATATCAGGCGGGTACTTTGTGTGAGTTACTCTTTTCTCTTGTAATGATACTACTCAAGCTTACACGGCACAGAACATCAACATGTTTTCAATTACTCTATGGAAAGCTATCCGACATCTGGTCTCGCAAGCTTGTGCTCTTTGTTGGTCTAGCCATCTTCTTCTTTGGATCATTAGCAGCTTCCCTTGCGCAGACAGCCACACAATTGATTGTATTCCGTGCTTTCACCGGAGTTGGCGGTGGTGGTCTCATGACGGTTGCACAGATGATCGTCAGCGACGTTGTCCCTCTCCGTGAAAGAGGTAAATATCAAGGTATCCTAGGTGCTGTGGTTGCCATTGCAAATGGCATTGGTCCTGTCATCGGAGGTGCACTAGCCTCCATTTCACAAGACTCGTGGCGATGGATCTTCCGTTTGAATCTACCACTCACTGCGTTAACCACGTTGACTGTTTTTTTCTTTATGCCCCTTCGGAAAGTTACTGGCAACTGGAAAGTCAAGCTAAAGGCGATTGATTTCTTTGGTGCACTTCTCGCTCTCGGTGGAACTTCGGTCTTGCTGCTTGGTTTGACCTGGGGCGGCGGCGAGTATGAGTGGAACTCAGCGCATGTTATTGCGACTCTGGTCGCTGGGTTCACTATCTCGGTTGCTTTTGTTGTGTGGCAGTGGAAGGGTGCATCCACACCACTGGTTCCGATGCATATTTTCCAGAGTCGGATTGTGAACGGCGCGTGTTTAACCATGTTCATCAACGGGTGGAACTTTTTGGTGCAAGTTTACTATATTCCCACTTTCTATCAGCTGGTATTTGGGTATTCAACGGTAAAAGCTGCTGCAATGCTGCTTCCTATTACCCTCATGCAAAGTATGAATCCTCTCCTTTTGGTTACGTTCCCGTGCTGACTTTTATCACAGCTGTTAGCAGCACAGGCTCCGGTCTTGTTGTACACTGGCTAGGCCGCTACCGTGAATGCATCCTGTTTGGATGGATGGTCTGGGCTGCGGGTCTTGGCCTGTTCTCGACACTTGATCAGCATTCAGGATTGGGAAAGCAGATTGGGTATGGCATTTTGACTGGTGTCGGGGTTGGAAATACTCTGCAGCCGTACGTGGCCCCCTATCCTGATCCAATCAATTACGCTAACTCCCTGTAGCTCTCTTATTGCAGTTCAAGCTGGTGTTGAAAGACGGGATATGGCTGTGATAACTTCCTTCAGGAAGTAAGTGACCCCCATGCTAGCCATTTTGTGAAGCTAACAATAAGCAGCTTCGTACGAAATCTCGGCGGCACTTTAGGGCTCGCTATTGCCGGGACTATAATGTAAGTCTTCTTTCACATATGGCTCATTCTTTTATTAATCGATACAGTAATAATATTGTCTCCTCGTCTATTTCAATCCTCAATCTCGACGAATCCCAGTCCCACTCCCTTCTCTCGAGCCCACAGAGTTATCTATCAAAGTTATCTCCAGAGGAAGCTAAGCATGTCCGTGATGTGTTAACACCGGCATATCAAAAAGGATTTCGTATCATTTTTATTGTCGGTGCATCCCTTGCAACATTCGCTTTTGTTTTAGCTGTTTGGTTGATGCCACAGGTTAGTTTAAACCGGGCAGACGATCAAGCTTTGAAGGAAGAAGGGAAGAGGCGACTTAATGGAGATTTAGAAGAGGGAGAGAAGTAGATATCATCGGTCACAAAGGTGATTTTGGCTCATAGATATAAACCATTGTTCAATTTTTGCAGTCTCTGGGTGCCTGTGTTGATTTCTAGTACTAGAGCTTCTCTTATCTCAGAGTCTCGTCTTCCCCTCTAAAGCAACGCCGAAGAGGACATTCTATAATAACTCGGTGATGTTGATCCATTCTGTGAGATATAGTGAGATGCTTCCCGCTTGATTTGAACCCAGCGCCGAGAGTTCTCTTCGACCTCTTCAGCGAAGCCAGGTGCATGGAATATTTCGCAGAGAAGTGAGTATCAAGGAATTCCATATGAATACCTTATCCTGGTGCCTGACGGAGAGAGGGTACCGTGTTTAATATGGGATAACTCTATGAAGGAATTCATCTTGATACAGCCACAACAGTCGCCTTAAGTGGTGCGAGCTGAAATGTGATCAGAAGATATAGTTAGCCGTGAACATATTGGCTGCTTGGATAAAATATTGCCTGGGTAAAGAATCATGAATACATAACAACCTGATGGAATGTACTGCCTGATTTTGTCTTTTTGTCAGGATTCACTTGTAAAGGATTGTTCACAAACATTTCTTTGATTCCTTTTACTTACTGTCATTTACTAAAGTAATGCTTCTTGCTACATTTTGACAGCAATAAGAAGCCACGAAATACAGAACTACGGTCATCAATGTTGAAACCTCCCAAGCAAATGAGACTCACTGTATGCCACCGGCATTCAGATACTCTGCGTAGAGTACCGGGGAATGAAAAACAAGTGCCATCATTGCAAGATGCAACCCTAAAATAAGCAGGCAGAAATAAAAAAGAAGAAGAAAATGATCTTAGAAAGGGCCAAAGGTACACAGGGGATGTATGATAGGGGATCATACATCCCCAACTTCGACAACCCGTTCCACAATCCAGTCTGTAAAAGCCTGACCCTCGAGTTTCCACCGTCCATCAGTCCACACATCACTGAGCCAGTAAATCCACGGCTTACCCGAAGGTCTAAGTTGCAAATCCCAAAGTGAAGTCGGGCGATTCGCAGGACCATCCGCCCCGGCCGAGAGGTCTTGGTTTACATTGCGAAATTCAAGAGAAGTTTGGTTGCTAGTACCGGAATCGCCTTGCCTGATCCGCCATTCACGCTCGGCTTTTTCGCCTGCACGACGGGCGACCGCCTCCTCGTCTTCTGCTTGGTACAGATTGCATTTCGTGCATTCTGTGCAGCGAGAGCCCGGAGTGATGCGGAAGTGCTCGCAGAAGTGTTTGTAGCCTTCTGGTTCTTCGAATTCGTCGTCGGATATGTTGCCTTCTACCTGCTCATCGTTAAAGGGTATATCGTCCGGACCATCAAAGGCATCTAAGCCGCGGAGGGCACGGGCAGGCGCAGTGGTTCGTAGAGGTGGTCCTAGAGCCTTGCGGCATAGGTAGCACATGGAGTAGCCACAGACGCAAGTTAGTTTGTTGCAGCCTGATGATTTGACGAAAGAGAGGCAGCAGCGGGGACAGGTCCGTTTCACGGCGGCGGTGCGGGCAGCCTCGACGGTAGCGCGCAAATCCAGGAGTAAAGGCTCGTGACACACATGTGGATCTCGCCACGGTTTGTGACATGTCATGCAGCTAATGCGTAAGCAGGAGGGGTTGGCGCAGGTAAATCGTTTGGGCCGGATCTTAAGACAGAGGTTGCGAATGGCATTCCCGAAGGCCGCTGTTACGGTGGCTGGGTCCAAGAGTAATAGAATAAACACAGGGATTACGAGTAAGGGGACGAGGTCAAGGAGTAGGAGGATCATCAAAATCGTGGGTATAATACCACCGTCACGACGGAACCGCCAGCGGACACCACGGGGTGAAGGGTGGTAGACCGGGTCAATTTCAGCATAGGAGCAGAACGGACATCTAACGAGCTTGAGTTGAGACTTCATAAGTGCCTCGGAAGAGAGCCGATCCTCGAATTTGCGGTATGTCTCGAAGCCAGCCGTGTCGAGAAGAATGGCCTGCTTGACAATCTCCGGATGAAGACATCCTTCGCATGACCCGACGGACAGCGGTGCAAGACACATCAAGGTAGAGCGCTCTAGATCGACAGATTTGCCCCAGCCCTGCCCGAAAAGCGCCTCGTAGACAGTTCTTTGAATGCAGTGGTAGCAAATGACATGAGTGTTGGTTGAACAGGTCGCGATCTGCTCGAATGTCACGTCGGCGAAACAACACTCGCATTCGTAAAGGGCATTAAGTTCTTGAGCTTCCTTCTCGTTCAACTCTGAAGCAAATCGGAAATCCTTATCCTGCTGCTCTTCGCGCTTCTGCCGCAACAGCGGGGCCAACAACATCTCGTAGAGCTCTGCATCCAGCTCGCTACATCCGGTTTCCTTCTGAACAGGAACAAGCTCCCCATCCGGCCGACGATGCCAGACTAAAAGCGGGTGTTCCTCGCGGTCCTTCTTTCGCCTGAAAGAAGGGAACATGCTGTTGAATGTCGCGCGCCATGTTCGACGCGACAGATCCCGGAGCATGGGTCGAGCCCGAGCATAGCTGAAATTCACTTCAGCTAAAACAGCCTCCACAGTGCTCTTGTTCAGACCATTGTATTCTCTTGTCATAGCCAACCGCACGGCGGCCTTGTATTCGTCGGACCGAAACCGCTCATCGGGAGGGACCAAACTACCATCGCCAATGTCATGTCGAGTAAATTCATCGCCTCTAGGGGCTGTGCGAGCACCTCCCTCTACCTCGGCTTCAGTAGTTCCTTCCGAGAGATTCCACCGCCCCGAAACCCATTTCTTCTTATGCCTAAGCAGCTCCTCGACACACACTTGTAACCGGCTCTGTCCGTCAAAGCGTAGCAGCAGCTCGCGGAATACCTCTATCTGTACATCGGGAAAAATGCGAACCAGAGTCTCGAGTGCAGTATTGAGTTCCTCCTGTTCCCGCTTGTGTTCCTCTGTTTCGTGGGTCGAGAGCTGGGCGGGGGATCGGGAGCTACTGCCAAAAGGGTTATTCCGTAGCGCTTCAAGAGTGATAGAGTAGCTGTTGGGGGATAATCCAGTCTGTGCTAGAGATGGGTTTCGAACATTGCGACTGGATGAGCTGGTTGAAGAACCGGAGGCTGACTTTCGGTGAGATGGTGCATCGGGGCGGGATGTGGAAGATCTGGAGAAGCCGGGGACTGGCAGCGAGAGCACCATGATTGTGGGGTTTACATGGTTTTAGGAATATGAGACTTGTCAGATGTATGTAGGATGTAAGAGGATAAAAGTTGAAAATCCCGTGAAGAATGATTTGTTACATAAGACGTTTCCGCGCCCCATGATCTCCAAGGCTTTGGAGAAGTTTAGTATACAAAGCCGCTTAAACATTGCATGCTCTTAGTGAACATCATGCCATATCAAAAATGATATTTCCCCTTTTCAATTACCCATAATGTTTTAGCGCAGAAATCAGTGGAAATCCAAATGACGCTTATATTAAAGGACGATTTTAGTTTGTCATGGACCTGTGTGATTCACTACAATGTAGATCAGAAGTGCAAACTACACTTGAATAATTACCAATTTCAGATCCATTGACCTAATGGCGAAAACTAAATCAAAAAGCACAGGTAGTATATACAAGCAATAGTCTGATCCAAATGTTCCAGCTTTGCCAATGGGAATATCGCTTCAAATAGTTCATACTTTACAGTTTGGCCTTAGCACCCTCCAAGAGCTCAGCACCAGCACCGGTGATGGCAGGCTTGCCAGTCTCAACAACGGTGGCCTGGAACAGGACAGTGTTTCCCTCCTTCCACATCTCAATCTTGAGGGTCTGGCCAGGCAGAACAACACCCGCAAACCGAACCTTGAGGTTCTTGTAGGGACCGAACTTGGAGAAGACAGCCTTGGCTGAGACACCGAGCGAGCACAGACCGTGCAGGATGGGAGTCTTGAAGCCGCCAACCTTGCTGAACTCGGGGTCGATGTGGAGCGGGTTGCGGTCGCCGTTCAGACGGTACAGCGCTGCCTGGTCCTCGGAGGTCTTCTCCTCAACCACGGCATCGGGCTTACGCTGCGGTGCCTTGTACGCAGCAGTGGCAGCCTTGGCGCGCACTGCGGTCGGCTTGGGCGAGCCTCCGAAGCCACCGCTGCCGCGGATGAAGACACTGGACTCGTTGTAGAACAAATCCTCGCCGGTCTTAGCATCCTTGGTTGTGTACCCGGCCACGACAATGGCCGCGTTGCCCTTGTCGATGACGTCAATGAGCTTGGGATAGGTCAGGGTATTAGCGGTGGTGGGGATTGGGAACTTGCGAACCTCCATGTACTGCTCGCCGTGGAGCAGCATCATGGGGGAGAAGTCCTTGACCAAGTCGTCCATGTTCCAGGGATTAGCGGTATTGAACCAGGGGACAACACCGTACGAGGGAAGCGCCTGGAATTGGTCGTTGTTCTCGTAGACAAGAGGCAAGTCGGTGCGCTTGGCGCCCACGCTAAGGTTGTATAGGATCACATCGCGGTCATCGTAGTTGAAGGGAGTGCCCTCGCTCGAAAGAGTCTTAGCCTTCTCAATATTCTTCAGAGTCTCGTTCTCGCTGGAGGGATTGCCGTGCACACGGTTAGACATGTTAGCCATGATCTTCTCCGTGCCGGCCTGGCCGTCCTCGGGGTGGTCAGCGCGACCATCATCGAAGTTGGTGATCTGCTTCCAGTTACGAACCACCTCCTCGGGGGTCAACTGGACGTCCACGGGGAAGCCGTGGCCGCCAGTGCGCTGCCAGCGGGTACGGCCGAACCAGCCGCTACCACACTCAAACAGACCCTTGGTGGAGGGCTCGGGAGCCATGTCAGAGCACAGCAAGACCACAAGGGGAGCAACATAGTCGGGCTTGAAAGCCTGGACCATCTCCTCGGGCATAATGGTACGAGTCATATTGGTACCCGCGTTAGGAGCAATGGTGTTGACCTTAATGTTGTATTTGGCACCCTCCAAAGCTAGAGTGCGGGAGAGACCCAGGATACCAAGCTTGGCAGCAGCGTAGTTAGCCTGGCCGAAGTTGCCGTAGATACCGCTGGTACTAGCAGTATTGACAACACGACCGTACTTCTGCTTGAGGAAGTAGGGCCAAGCAGCCTTGGTCACCTTGTAGGTACCACGTAAGTGGACATTAACAACGGAGTTCCACAGGTTATCATCCATGTTGGTGAAAGCCTTGTCGCGCAGGATGCCGGCGTTGTTCACCAGGATATCAATACGGCCAAAGGCATCAATGGCGCTCTTGACGACGGCATCGCCGTCCTCGCAGTTGGCCTTGTTTCCGACAGCCTTGCCACCGAGCTTGATGATTTCCTGAACCACAGGCTCGGGATCAACAAGATCATTGACAACAACGGAGGCGCCGAGCTTAGCAAACTGCAAGCAGTATGCGCGGCCGAGACCGGCACCACCTCCAGTGACCAAGGCAACACGGCCCTTGAAGTCAGGCTCCGTTCCAGACTGAGCGCTGGGCATCTTCAAGCCATCTTCCAAGAAGCTCATGAAGTCGGCAGGGCCAGTGGGGTATTCGGGCTTAGAGAAATCGTTGACATCGTTCCACTTCCGGGCGATAGCACCAGGGGTTAGAGAGTCATCGGTCTTCAATAGGGCACCCTTGGCTCGCTCCCAGCGGAGCTTGGCGACATGGCCACCACCGACCTCGTAGATACCACCGGTCTCTGTGGTGTTTGATGAGTGCACAAGGGCAGCAACCAAAGGAACAACCCAATCGGGTTTGAGGTTCTCCAGAACATCAGGGGGCATGACAGTTGCAGTCATGCGGCTGGCAGCTAATGGGGGGTTAGCCTTCCCAAGTCATGCCGGGGTTCTGTTAACTTGCTTACCAATGGGAGCAATGACGTTGGCAATAATGTTGTATTTGGCACCTTCCTTGGCCAGGGTCTCGGTGAAACCAACCTGGCCGAGCTTGGCAGCTGAGTAGTTGGCCTGGCCGAAGCTGCCGAATAGACCAGCAGCCGAGGCAGTGTTGATAACACGGCCGAACTTTTGTTTGCGGAAGTGAGGCCACGCGGCTCTCGCACACTATGCAAAATTGGACCATCAGTTCCTGCTTGACAGGCTTTTTATGTGGCCGAGGGTTCTCACCTTGTATGCACCGTAGGTGTGAACTCTGTTGATCAAATCCCAGTCGGCATCCTTCATGTTCTTAAAGCTGACATCCCGCAGAATTCCAGCGTTATTAAGCAGAATATCAATGCGGCCGAAGGCCTTAATAGCGGTTTCGATGATAGCATCACCGTTCTCGACGCTGTCGTAGTTGGCGACGGCCTTACCGCCGGCGGCGCGGATCTCATCGACAACGACATCTGCGGCCTGTAATACTTGTCAATATCTGTCTATCTAGTTTGGAAATGTTATTCATACCTTCCCTGACTTTCCCTCACCCTTATGAGAGACACCGAGGTCATTCACGACGACATTTGCACCCCTTGAGGCGAAGAAGAGAGCATATGCTTTCCCCAGACCACCACCGGCACCGGTGACCACCACCGTTTGGTTATCAAATCGCAACTCGGACATTATGTGTATATCCGAAAATAAAGTGGATAGAGAGAAATTGAAGAAGAAAGCTGGAGAAGAGGGGAGTTTAAAGCCAACTCGGCAAGCTAAGGACCTCGGCACGTTTCCTGGTAATGAAAGATGTATTTTACAATGGCAGATCGACCCGTATCACATGCCGGCGTAGATGTCCGTGTATAATTTTTAGTTACTGTTAAAATAAAAATGAATACTATACTATCCTATTATTATTACTATTATGCAAAAATATACGTACAATGTACAAATAACTAGTATGTACCATGTAGTATTCAAGTACCTAGGTACCTAGGTAGGTATAGTATTTGCTGACTCAGGCATGTGATGGATTGTCATGTGCCTCTATTACATATTTCGTATATTTGACTATATAACTATGTATAACTACTTAACTATTTAACTTGACTATTCAATTCAATCATTTTGTATATCTACTATATAACATTCAAAAAATGTACCAACAAAAAATGTAGCGGCTGAATATACCCCGTGGGGGGGGAGAACCCCATTCACTCGGCCGATTGGAACATTGAAAAACTTCCTACCCATAAATACAAAAGACGTGCAATAGAAAACAAGTAATCGGTCAAAATCAAGTCAAAATGCCTGAAATCGTGGATGACAAGTCCCAGCACTGTATCCCTTTCCTTCTTGATCGCCTACGCATTCATACCGAGCGGCACCGCGGTAACCCCAGTACCCCGCCGTTTTTCATCGGCCTCAATGGTGTGCAGGGTGCGGGCAAGACAGTCCTAGTAAGTTGACTCAGAGATAGTCAATTTTCCATACCTCGGGATCTCATTCAATTTCCTCGGGATCTCTAACCTTCATAGGTATCCGCTCTCAATGACACCCTTCACTCGGAACCATACTCGCTCTCGGTCGTGACATTGTCACTCGACGATATCTACCTTGATCACGCCGATCAGGTGGCTCTAGCACAAGCACATCCTTCAAACCCCCTTCTGCAGCATCGTGGTCAGCCTTCAACTCATGACCTCGCATTGGGTGAGGAGGTGTTTGCTTCGCTCGCCGCTGAACGTCCGACGGCTATCCCGCGGTACGACAAGTCTGCGTTCGAGGGCCAGGGCGATCGTGTTCCAAAGTCAAATTGGAAAGTCGTCAACAAAGAGGGTCAGGATAAAGTCAAAGTTGTGGTTTTTGAAGGGTGGTGTGTCGGGTTCCGGGCATGGGATGACCAAACCCTGCGTGCAAAATGGGAGGCCGCTGTACGTCAAAGGGACAACGGTAAATATGATGGACAACTAGGTCATGTCAATTTCGAGGATATTAAAGCTGTAAATGATGCTTTGAAAGGATATGACGTCTTGACTGAGTGGGTTTCCTCGGTCACTGGAGACTGCGCAATAAAAAGCTTTGCTAACATAGGTTTCCTTCGCAGCAAGCTTGATGCTTTGATCCATATGTATGTGCTCCGCCGCTCGGCATATATTTATTTTACTAACTAATTGCAGCGATGCGGAAAACCCTCGTTTCGTCTACGAATGGCGCCAGCAGCAGGAACGCACGCTCCGTGCCGCCAAAGGCACCGGAATGACCGAACAACAGGTCAATCACTTTGTGAACGGCTGTATGCATATATATATATACTCGAAAGAGTAATAACACCATGACGCACAAAACATACTGACTCAAACGATTGATATAGATTACCCATCCTACGAGCTCTATACTGAAACCCTCCGCCAAGGCGCTTTCAAGCCTGCGACACATAACCTATCAGCATCAAACTCGGACTGGCAAGGGCGACAGCTCCGCCTCGTGGTTAACCGTGACAGGAGAGTTCAAGAGGTTGTTAAAATATGATCTGACTGGCCTAATTTGGAAATATTGGAAGAAATACAGTGTCCTATAAATTGAATATGTATATATATTGTCACAAATTTCGAGGCTATCCCTACATATATTCTACGTTCTGGCCAGGTTCCGATTTATTTAAAATGACATGAGAATACATAAGTACCAAGTAGATTGTCCTTGAGAATCTAAAAGCGTTCATGATTCTGATATATAATTTAGAGACATGTGATGAATCAGTCGGGCTCCAGGCCAAAAGACTAATTAAAGCCAATGGATTAATTACAATAATGAGATCAAGATAATCAGTCCATATGGTCATAAAATTTAGAAACATGGGTTCAAATACATCCAGGATAGCTCAACGTGGGATTCGGACCTCGGGACAGTCTTCGGTAAGGGACCATACAACCGGTGGACATTATCCATCACGAACACAGGCCCCGGGGAATTTAATTGATTACCGAATACGGGGTACAGCTACGAGACAAAAGTACGAGTGGAACAGGCCGATGACCATGCAATTGGGTTGTTTGAAGCATTAAATTGATCGGAAATCCCAGACCATCGTATCGCTGAAAAGAAATTGACTAGTGGATATAAACAGCCCGTGCAAAAAACAACCCAAGACAGTAAAGTCGTTAAATTTTGTAACATTTTTGGAGGTGCGCTCAAAGAACGCTCCAACCCGGACACCTCAAGAGGAGATATCTAGTTCATCTGGCGGATGAGACCGTTGATGTTCTCCTCACGGTTACCGGTGTCACCACCCTCGATGTAGTGCTTGAACTTGCGAGTGCGGAAACCACCGTTGGGGTTGGACAGCTTGAAGGGCCAGAGGAAGTTGTTGGCCTGCTTGAAGTTGGGGCCAACGGTGTAGATCTCGTGGATCAGATCCTCCATGCAGACAATGCCGAACTTGCCAAGGTGCTCCTCGATGATCTGGTTGTCGGTGAGGGGAGTGCGCTGCTTGTCGACCTTTCCGTAACCACGCTTGTACAGAAGCTCGCGGACGGACTTCAGGTTGGGGTAACCGTAGGCAATGTAGGGGTTGACAATGGTCAACATCTCCTGGGTAGCCTTGGTGAGACGAATGAAAGTACCAGAGTTGATCTGGAGTAGACGCAGGAGCTGGAGGATCTTGCGGGGCTTGGGAGCAATCTTGTTGATACCCTTGATACGGACAACAAAGACGAGCTTGGGCTCACCCTCAACGAAGAAGCTGCCCTCCTGGCGAGCAACACGGTTGAGGCGGATCTTCTCGCGCTCAGCGGTGCGGTACTCCTGAACGTAAGACTCGGCACGCTTGAAGATAACACCACGCTTCTCCTTGTTGGCCTATATATGAATCACAGTCAGCATGAGGGTTCCCCAAAGACTTGTGAAAAAAATGGCAAGTAGTTTGTGTAACTAATGTCAGACCCGAAAGATGGTTGACAGACGACAGCATTGACCGTGGTAGCGGTCTAGTCATCGTGAATGGTGTTATGCATCATGTAGTTGGAAGGGACGAGTGGCAGTGTGAGAGAAAAAGGGGAAAATCTGACCTTCTTGGTCTTCTCGGCCTCGGCACGGCGCTCAGCGCGGGCAGCCTCCTGGGACTTGCGCTTCTTCAGAAGGGTCTCGGGAACGAGGACCTGGTTCTGGGTGGGAACGGAGCTGTGGAATGTTAGAACAGCCTGTTCAAGATAAACCAAGACTGAGACAATTCGCCGAGTGAAAGAATTGCGGCATATAGCGCCACATTCTCAACTGAAGGCATTAAAAAAAACTCGACGAAATGTCTTTAATCAGTGAGGGCCAACGCATTGGGATTCCAAGATCGATTACAGCTTGGTACTAGCCATGCATATTCCAGCACAGTCTTCACAAATCAGATCACCCGCAATACGCCATTGATGCCTTCATCCGACAAAACCCCGAACAATGTTCAGGAAATATTTGTTGCCACTTTTCGCTTCAGGATCATGATGCTGCTACCACATCATAAGCACCCGAGAACGATAGTTCACAACAATATTTTTGGAGGAGAAGGCGCCAGGCGCTTTCAGCCTCAAGACTCCATCACCCTTTTTCCCGTGTCCGAATTTTGCTCCATGATAGACAACATGTGTATCCGAGATAATTGGGACCGAGATAGAGGGCAGGAAGGATCGAGCTGGTACCTAGCTCATTTTGTGGAAAACGGCTGGTATCCCCAGCGAGAAGGACGACTATACCCGCAACCTTACAAACTCGAGCAGAGATTGCGTCAGTCTTAGGAAGAAGTCATTGGGAATCATACGTAGTAGCGGCCATTTTGAAGGTCCGGACGAGGTCGAGAGTCGGCTGGTTGTCGAAGGATGTCAAAGGAAGAAGGAAAAGTTCGAAGAAAAGGAATGTAAGAAGAGACTTCGCTTGTGTGGGTGCGGGTCCCCCTAGCCATATATGGTTAGCCTATGAATCCACACGCGCTAACCTGTTATAGATGTAGCCCTTATCGAGAGCGAGATAAGGGTTTGCCTCTTATCAGATAGCTTCATGGATGTCTGACCCGCCTGGGGTAACTATGACCAGGACTATCTAGTGGATTCGATCCCCTTTCTACTCACTCCATACACCATGTCTCGCCGTGGAGTGGGCCTCGGGGCCTTTGCAAACCGAACTCAGGCAACCCAATCTTATGCTACTCATGGCGCCAATCTCCGCTCTACCCATACTGCCTCCCTACAGACTCAGTTATCGGTCTTTCAGTCGTTGCTCCACACCTTTGCCTTAGAACATAGCTCTACCATAAAGTTGAACCCGACATTCCGAGCAGAGTTTGCCCGCATGTGTAACACCATCGGGGTTGATCCCCTTGCCGCAAGCAACGTCAAGGGCAAGAATGGCCGTCGCGGAATGGGAGAAGGGGGTAGCTTCTGGACCCAGATTCTAGGCGGGGATATGAATGACTTTTACTTTGAAGTCGCAGTTAGAGTTGTGGAGCTCTGTAGAGAGACCAGGAGCGAGAATGGTGGACTAATTGGTGTCGAGGAATGTCGCAAACGAGTGGGGAAGGGCAAGGCGATCGGGAGTGGGCTCGAGGTTTCAGAGTATGAGGTTATTCCTTCAAAAAATACGAACATATCTCAGTGGTTAACCAAACTATGTGCTTGGCAGTGACGACATCCTACGAGCAGTTCAGTCGCTCGAGCCTCTTGGCTCCGGATTTTCCATTGTCAAGGTCGGCACCAAGCAGTACATTAGGTCCATTCCTAAAGAACTCAACAGCGATCAAGCAACAGTCTTAGAAGCCATTCAGGTGCTAAGTTTTGTCAGCGTTTCAATGCTACGGTTAAACCTCGGATGGGAAAAAGCTCGAGCACAAACTGTAATCGATGACCTGCTTGCTGATGGTCTAGTTTGGTTGGATGCCCAGGGCACTGAGAAAGAGTACTGGTCACCCCAGAATCTTCTGGAGGATGGATAAACTAGGAGACCCATGTCATTCGCATACAAATCACTACATCATGATCTCTCGTGCACCTGTCGAGCTACACCTTTCTAGGAGAATCCCAAGCCATAAATGATCTTTACGAAAATATTTGCTCTGCCTTTTCGAGCCTATCAGACTCCGACGAGCTACAGTTTTTTCAATACCATTACCTGGGACACCTATCTACGGGCATTGAAATTATATAAAGAGGCCATCCAATTCACGCAGGGAGATCAAAGCTCGAGTGATGGGTGAGTAAGTATCATTGGCAAGGATCAAGTACAAGCGGGGTACACATGAATTTGGAGAGCAAAATCCTCAATAGTTTCATTTCTGTTTCACTTTTGTGAATATCAGTCCTAGCTTGGTAGCAATAGCAACAATATTCTACTTGTAACTAGGGCGATCTAAAGCTGCATAAACCTCATTTTTGGGTGTTGGGGTTACACGACCTTGCGTGATACGGAGCGACGATGTATAAGATACTTTCCCCAGTGAACTGTTTTGAAATCATCTCAAATCACCATCTATGAAAAGTACTCCATTGATTTCGATATAATTTAGATTTATCAAGCATACTACATACGCCTTGTCACCATATCCCAATTTAGTGCTCTAGCGACAGACCCCCTTGTCTACGGTGAATATGAAATCACATAGTCTCCCTGACACTGAAGATGAATCGTTAGAGCCAGGGAGGTCTCCGAGGTGCCAGCCAAAGACGCAGCCCAAAAGAGACTAGGAGGACAAACTGCTGCCGAAGTGGTCATCCAACTAATCAGTAATTTCTACTTTATTGCTTTGGATTTCGCTTCCAAATACACAACACGTTCTTGGCCTTTCGGCAACAACAATGAATTAGCAATGGATAAGTTCTACATTCTCGAATGCTATGGTAACTTTGCGCTTTCCACTGAAGTCCCCGAGCTGATCAGGGAGCTGCTTTAAAAAAAAATCCTCTTAAGAACATGGAGATGTAGGAGATATGTCGGAATCAAGGGTTTGAAGCAACCCTCAAAAGATATACGGGAGAATTGTGTAGTAAAGTAGGAAATCCATTTTAAGGGTCCAACGGGGGAGAGTACCTCGGGAGTACAGATAAGCCCCGCTGATAAACATTTTGATCTTTTTTTTTTTTCTTTCCATTTTTTTTTTTTTTCCTTCTGTGGGAAAAGAAAAAAAGAACATTCGACAGGTTGTTGAATAATTTACTTCTTTAACCTTGGACTATCATTTTATCATTTATTGCTATTCGATTTTGGAAAGCTTACCGCAAATATGTCGGACCAAAAGCAATATGCCACTTACAACGATGTAAGAATCCCCTAGGCAATGGACTGAAAAAAAACCCCCCGATTTTGAGAAGACACATGAACTTCAAGATTCTCACCCCACAAAATTGATACAGTCCACAATTATAAGAACTTTAAAAAAAAGGGGCCAAGGCTAACAAGATTCTCGACAGGTCCACAAACTCTGTAAGGATTCGGTGGAAAACCACCTCAAGAAATTCGACATCAACCTTATAATTGCCATTGGCGGTGGTGGTTACATCCCTGCCCGCATCATCCGGTACGTTCAAATCCGCATGTGCCCCTCTGGACTATACTGACCTTTGTTAAACAGGTCCTTCCTCAAGCAGGAGCCCAATGCACCTAACATCCCCATCCAGGCCATCGGTCTGTCCCTCTACGAGCGTTTGACCACAGACAGCGTTGAGGAGGCCCCTGGTACCGAGGTCAAACGTTTGCAATGGCTTGATATGAACTCTTCGATGGCCAACTTGGTTGGTAAGAACGTTCTCATCGTTGACGAGGTCGATGATACCCGCACAACCCTAGCCTACGCCGTGAAGGAGCTCGAGGGAGATGTTGAGAAAGCTCGGGCGCAGCTCCCTGCCGACAGCGAGCTTAAGAACAAGAAGACTAACTTCCACATCTTCGTTCTACACGTATGTTATCTTCTCCCCAACCCCCCCCAAGCCCCCACCCAAACAGTAATCGAAACTTATGCTGAACATCAACACCATAACCCCCCCCCCCCCCCTCCCCCTCCTCTCCGGAGATTGATGGGTTTGGCTGACAACAGAAATAGAACAAGGACAAGCCCAAAAAGGGTGGGTTCCGCGATGATATGATGGAAAAGCGTTATTGCGCTGCGGTCACTACCGGGGATGTCTGGATCTGCTACCCTTGGGAGGCTGAGTATGTTATACCTCGAACTCTCTATCTAGATTGTGGCTAACCTTCTCTTCTTCTGCCTGCAGAGACATTAACGAGCACGATACTCTGGCCAAACAGCATCCTATCGTCGATACAAAGAAGCCTATCATCAAAGAATCCTCTACCGAGGCCATCTAGGAATAGGTCGTTTGAGCGAATGATCGCATTGTCATAAGCATTCCAGTTTGCGAGGCGCTTTGGCGGTTTATATCGTTGACTCTTTTGGTCCTCGATTTCACTGTCCATGCTCAGACCAGGTGCATACATCTGAGCATGTAATTTTTTACGATATCCTTGATGAATTTCTATAGAAAAAGTACTCTCTCTTTTTTGGCAGGTTGGCAGACCGGCAGGCTGTCCCAAAAGACTTCTTGACTTGAAACTGTTCCTTGTACTCCATTACTTTTCCCGAAAGAGACTGATCCCGTAATCACCGAGGCCTTATCGTAACCACCGGAAACCTTAAGCCTAGAGTCCAACATTGTTTTGCGGACATTGAATTGTAGACGGGTATCAAGAGAAGATATCATTGGTAGCGGGAAACAAAAAGTCACGAGCATAGTGTATTATTGATCCGGCGCAGCCTTTTCAACCCTGCAGAGACAAGAGCCCCCGTGTCCAAGCACCAATCCGCAGCTTGAACTTCTCAAGATTCAGACTCAGATCCTGTCTGCCTAGGTTCTGGGTCTGGATATCTGGTCATCAGCCTAATCCATGCGCCCAGCGATCTCACATTTAATCGACCTCAACCTTCCCCTGGCGCAACTCCACCTTAGCAAGCTCAATCTCCTTTTGTAGCTCGGCGTGTGCCTCGGGGACATCGTTAAAAGTGAAGATCGCCACACCTAGGCGGGCCAGGAGGTAGCAAGCGAAGACAATAAGTGCATAGAACGGGAGCTGAGTGATTATTGGTTAATTTTCTTGTCATCGACACCTTCGAAGACCGAAGTTTTGGGGGGGGGGGGGGGTTTGGATGACGTACAACTGGGATGATTTCAGTCTGGATAGTCTCGTTCAGGGGAACAAGTCCAAGGAAAAGGGAAAGGTAGAGCTGATCAATTGTCAGTAAGGTCCATGCGAGACTGTTTCTCGAGACTGAGGGAGTAGCATACCGAGGAGACAAGGAGAAGAACGGAAAGAGTCTGGACAGCACGCGTCATGGTGAAATCGATAGATAAGTAGGATATTCACAAAGGAGAGGAGAGAGGTCAATTGTGAAGATAGCACCGGTTTATCGTAGAAATGAGGGACTCGTGGGTGTTGCGGCGCTGTATGCGGCAAAGGCCAGCTTGGGATATGCGCTTCTTGGCGCCCGGACCAGGTCACGTCTGTCTAGAACCAACCTATTTTGACATCTAAGGAAATTTGGGAGTTTAAAGGGTTACAATATGTACGAGCTTGTTAAATATGTATATTGCCTATATCTGATTCTTTAATCTGTTTGAAAGAAATATATAAATATTAAAAATGAGAGAAGAATATAGACAGTCCACACATTCCGCTTTAAGCCCTCCAGGGCGCCGCCGCCGCGAATCTGATTATGTAAGCAGAAATAGCCAGGTGCTCAGGTGCTTGGTGCGCTGGAGGGTCAATAAGATGCACCCACTACAACACACATACTTCATACTTGACGATTGTCTTAGAGGCTAGACTGATCAATACAGTACATTCTCATTTATCTCGTAGTGCAAGGGAATCTCATGTGAACCCCCTCCCCCACCAGCTTGACCTAGACTCACCTATGAATCCATGATCTACCCATTTCGGTCTGTAACCAGCCAGGATCCAGGGTAAATGCATTGAGCGACTGGTCTTCATCTGATTACTATACCAGATAGCGATGAAATTGGATCTCTCATGTACCACACTTAGGACTGAGGGTTGATGCTTAGGAATAATCAGCTTCCATTTACAGTGTCCCATTCGAGCGGACATACGCGAGACCGCCCGCTCGGGATCCCATAATGGCATAGATGGGCGTTCTGGTCGACCTCTGCAGCAGATTGCGTCTAGCATGGTAGAACAACACGGCGCTTAACACGTTGACATCAATATGATCGTATACCAGCCCGGTGGGCACCGGCGATGAGGACAATACCTAGTTGGGGCCATGGTGGGCTGACTATAGCGAACCTTTTAGGGCTCAATAATAGTATATAGCAGAAGATAATGAGCATCTGCAGTGATTGATTTGACTCAAAGTCAGTTCGGTTACGTGCAGCGAAACTGAAGTATAATACAGTATAATATCATATAGTTATATGGCCGACTCAGTGTAAAATTATGTTTCCAATGTGAGAATCAAAGAGGCATTGTTGATTATCAATCCAAACATATCTCATAATTAGTCTCCTATCTCTTGGGATTAGAAGCTGGAGGCCATGGGGCTCAATTATCCGATTACAAATTCAGGTGATCCCTCCCTGTCATCTGCACCCCGAGCCTGGGAAGGGAAGCTGAGGTGTCAGTATTTCAATAAATTATTGCGCGAGCAATGAGTGATCGATTGTCTTGAAAGGGAGAATCGACCACCAGCGCGTCACCCATTTGTATACTGATACCTCGATTGATTACCGAAATAATCCCAATAATTCCGTGTTAAATGAGAACATGTTACAAGTTCCCTGCTGTCGGATACTGCAAAAGTAAACTTGATGATAAGGATGCAGTTCAGAAATCAATGCCGATAATGACCGTTCTTGAGATAGAAACGGCCGTAACTGCGATAGGAAGATGATATATGTACGAAATAACGGAAGCCCGAGATCACGTTCTCGAGCGTGCCCTAGACCTACGCCAAGAAATAAAACCTATGGATTTATCTTCCCCAAATTTTCAAATCAGCGAGAGAAAAAAAAATGGAGGTGCTAGAGGATGAGATAACGCTAGTCATGAAAAGTGAGCGTTTCCAGAATGCTGAGTGTCTTCGCAATTTGCCCGTAAATGAAGAATTAAAGGATTTTGAAACATGAGCACTGTTATCGGTCATTTCTCCCAAAATTAGAAGCCATAGGCTACTGGTTAGGAACTGTAGGATAATGGTTAGTCCATCAAGCTTATGTAATTATCCCTAATTGGGAAATTATCATGATTCATTCCTTGAATATCGTGGTTCGATTCCGCGCAGCTCCATTTCTTTTTTTATTTTTTTTTTCTTTTCTATCTCTCTCTCTCTCTCTCTCTCTCTCTCTCTCTCTCTCGTATGTTCTATTGTTGTTGCCAATCAGCAGAGAAAATACCGAAAATGAATGTGCTATTTTAAATACTAAGTAGATAGATATATATTTATATTTACACACTTTTTTGGGCCATTCCTACCATAGATGAATCTAACCTAAATGAGACTGGTGCCTGAATCGACCTCAGGCAGCACACTCCATCTCTTCACAAGTTTCAACGTGTATCTGCGATATTTCTAGTGAGAAAGGTCGCTTGTCTTCCACTCAAATCAATAATCCACTTTAGGCTCTCGTTGCCTAATTAAAAGCCATCAGTGCTCTCATATCACAGTAAACGCTGTTTGTCCAGTATTTGAATTATTGCGACGGGTTTAGCAGGCTGCCATCTAGGCTTCTCCATCAAGCTGAGGAGGCTTTTCCCGTTCAGGCAAGGAATTCATATCTTCACGTCTTCAAGTCAACACAGACCCTAAAAAATTACCCCACACTCCGGAGGCAACGATCTGACCTCGATTCGGCAAGATGTCTTCCGCAGGTATATCTACTGCCCAACTGGCCGTTCATGGAGATGCTAGCCAGTCAGTCTCGACAAAGGGTAATTTGGAATTGCCTTCTGTCAAACAGATTCTCTCAGATCTACCGGAGGTTTCTTTCTCTTTACCACCCCGTACGGCAACCATTGACCCAGAAGAACAACAGGAGATGTTCCGTGGATTACAAGAGATCATTGAAAAGGCCCAGGACGTTGGAAATAGCTTCGATCTCAAGGAGCTCCATGCATCTCTTGAAGAGGCCGATGCAAACGAAAAACGCGGCCGACGGGACGCCGAGACCCTGCAAACCGTGAGGGCTACTCTGCAAAAACTCTGGGATTGTAACTCCGAATACTTGGTTCAAGCCGCTGAGGTCATTGCAAATGGTAGCAGAGATCGTGTGTCAATACTATCTAAATATTAATTTTATGAATTGCTAATTATGATTTAGCTTCATGGCGTGCTCCATTTGGCCAGTCGGGTGTTTTGAACTTTTTCCTGGATGTGGTTTCTTTCAAGGGCCAACTCGATACCAGCTTGTTGCTTCACTCTTTGCGAGTGATTGGAAACTCCTGTGCCGATATAGGTATGCTGAAATTATTATATCTATGCCTAGATAACTAACTTGATGCAGATGAGAACAGGGAGATTGTTGTCAACGGAAACTATACCCTTGCTATCATTAGATACTTCCTTGATCCAGATTTGGTTTTTGTTGCCATTCCTGTTATCTACAACATTTGCATGGATTACAGTACGTTCAGAAATAACCTTTTGGTGATACGTGCCTTGCTAATGTGATATCAGAACCAGCACATGCTCAGATGGCTGCTAATCGGACAGCTTACATCTTATTAAAGTTGATCAAAGATGGAGAGATCGAAGACAATGAGGCTCTACTTCATTTCTCATACGACTTGATTGAGTTGGCCTCGGAGCAAGGTATGCTTATATCTCAACCTTAGCCTGTTTTCCGGTCTAACGCGCAATTTACAGCCGAAGGCATTGAGCACTCTCCCGACGGCACAATTCTACTGTTGATGGAGCTTGCCATTGACAAAACTCTTGATTTTGCGCATTTCTCATCATTGGCAACTTCTCTTGCTGCTTACCTGGAGAAGGAGAAGTTCCAGAATATCTGTGTGTCGAACGGATTGGTGGAAGGCGTGTTGGACGTCCTGAGACATTCATTTTCCATTGTGATAGACCCTTCTTTAAGCGAAGACATTAAGGCTCTCGCGCAGCTCCGCCTCAAAATTAATCAGGCCTTGGCCGAGGTATCAGCGTCACCATTGTTTGCCCAGTACTACCCCCTTGACTCTCCTCTTTCACAGACATTGAAGTCATGGGTGGTTGCAACCGAAGATCAACTTCAGATCTGCGCCTGTGTCATGCTTGGAAATCTCGCCCGGTCCGACGATGTATGCCAGGTGATGGTCCGGGACCTCAAAATCCACGAAGAATTGATATCCGTTCTCAAGAGCGATGCCCGTGGTGCGGTCCTGCACTCTTCGCTTGGTTTCCTGAAGAACCTTGCAATTGCCGGCGACAACAGAGCCATTCTAGGGGAAGCTGGTATCATCCCTGCCATTTCGCGATTATGGGCATATGATTCTGTTCCGCAGGTTCAATTCTCGGCTGCAAGTATTGCGCGACAAGTGATTATCTCTTCGATGGTTAATATTTCCCATCTTCTGGCTCCTCTCTCACAAGATCTTGATTCTCCAGCTCACCAACGGACCTATCTTTCTCTGCTCCTGTCTCTTTTTGAGAAAACAGACTCCACACCAATCAAGACTGAAATTGGACGGACAGTTGCTTCTATCTGTCGGACTGTTAGCCCCAAAGCTCGCGATGGAGATGAAGAAGCAACGGCCTTGCTTGACCGGCTGTACACCCTGCACGAGGGTGTTTCGCTACCAGTAGGTGCGATGATTACACAAACTCAATGGCCTGTCGTTCGCAGTGAAGGCTGGTTTGCTCTGGCTCTGATGGCGACTAACAAACTCGGCTGTGCCGCCGTTGTGGACTGCTTGCACAAGACGGAGGTTACCGAGTTACTCAAGACGACCTTAGCCGGGGCCGTTCCCAATGAAGATAAGGCCGAGGAAAAAGACGAGTTGAAAGAGACCAAAGACCGTGACAACGCTTTTGTGCTTGTGCAAGGACTGTTGACGAACGAGGTGAGTTTCCTGCCCTAGAATAATGTTAGACATTTGCTAACCAGAAAATAGTCCGGTGCGCTTCCTGTCGGCTATAGAAACTTGCTGGAAGACTTGGTGAAGGTCAATGCCTCACAGTTGAAGGCTGCAATAGATGCTTAATTGGAGAGCTCAATATGACATGAGGATACAAGGCATTATGTTTGCATATGGTTTGATGCTTCAATCACGTATGTGCTCTACTTTAGACCGTGGAACCAATATTGTTTAGAGACAGACTCAATAAAAGGCCATGAAAAAGCTGTCGGAGGGATTTAAAAAGAAGGCATAGCTGTGTATATATATGAGTGTGTGTACCCTAAAAGCCTAATACTCCGAATGAAATATCGCTATATGCATACAGATAACTCCTAGCCCCCGAGCGAACAAAATCTACTTCTTTATAAGAACCTGGTTGTAGACGCGCAAAGGTTGAACAAAACCGTTGGGTATATAGGTATATGTACATGTACCTTCCTCCATTAATTGACACAGTCTGATACTCAGCGACCTCGAGATCATTCAGTGTGCAAACACACCTTCTCTTGCGCATATTCCCTGTAACGAGTAATGAGGTCTGTAGCATCGAGACCGGCCGCGCCTTGGCGGGCAGAATAGTGTGAAACAAGGCCCTTGCCATCTATAATAACATGCGGACGAGAGCCATCTGGCATATGCCAATTGCGGGACGATCCGTTTTGATTGTCGTTGCGGAAAATACGGTGCAAATCCACTGCATCATTACCCCAGAAACACCCAAAGTTATCGCTGATGGGCTCAGTTGGATCGACCCATATCGGGAACTTGTAACGGCCCAAATCATTGTTTTCCAGGTGGTGCAAGAAGGAGTAATGCTGCTGCGCACCAACAGTCCAATCATGCAGGGTCGGACCAGTGTCGGTGTATATGGATCTCGCGATAGGGTCTCGATCCGAGCCGGCATCTCGGGGAAGTAGCCAGCGATGCCCTTCAAATGGCGGCTCAAAGTCTTTGTGTACTCTGAAGCTCAGCGGCCCCTGCCAGCGTGGAAGACTGGAAGCACGCCAGTCGTGCTTCAGTTGCGACTTTGATCGGGATGGTTGTTTCACTTCGTACAATTCAGGCAGATATGGGAGTGCAGTTCCCGGATGACTGTGAAGGGATGCTAGCGCTGCTTCATTTGCCACATTGGCCGATACTATCAGCATGCTTGGATTGTCGAGTTTCGTCTTTACGATGGTTGAAATGGCGTTATCCTCCAGGAACACGACATCGCCATCGATTCGGATGTACATCACATTATCCTTTGCAACTTTCCACTCATTTTCATAGCCGTGAGAAAAAATAGAATACTCGGGTGTTTGGTTCACAATAGAGTACAGCCATTCCATGCTGACGGCGTCATCGGTCTGCGGCACAAAGACAACCTGATCTAAAAATCCATTATTATGGACTAGGTTTTTCTGGAACGGTGTTAGCCTTAATCTATATAGTAGCGGCGACATTGTGCATACCTGCAAATAGCAGTCCAAGATCGCTGTACGCTCATGGTAATGGAACGGAACTAGAGCGACTATTTTGAAGCCCTGCGGCTTAGAGTAATGGGCCGTTCCTTGCGAGAATGCGAAGAACGGAGAAATCTCCTTGCGAAATAGTAATGAAGAGATATCAAAGAGTATAAGTCCCGGATTGAAGTAGGCTAATACTACCAGAATGATGCATGCATAGCCAATAACACCCCACAGAAGGAGAAGGGTCCAATCGCGCCAGTTCGAGGACTTATTCTCATTGTTGGACTCAACATCGCGAAGGTTCTGGGTACGACCCATGATTAAAACCTCCCGCGCCATCTGTAAATCGTTTGGGAAGCCGAAGATGATGAGAAAGCCGATGCGAATTTCTGGGCACCAAGACCCAATTTAATGTCGAGTAAGACCATATTTCCGGTCGTTTTAAATAAAGCTTGATGATCCGTTTTCGGGACTTGAATTGTAGTAGCCACTAGTTAGCAAAAACCGCTATAAAACAAGATCGACCCTTCAACTCATTTCACTTGACAAAGAACTAGGATATGTCGCGTACATTGCCGGATTTGGTTATGGTCAACGGAAAGCGGACAAAGGACAAGGAATGTGGTTTTGGAATGCAGGGGTCGACGACTTCGGAAATTAGCAAGAGCTTAAACAGAGCCATTGCTGTATAATGCATATTTTGGTCTTCAAGAATACATAAGTTGTGCATACTGTATAAGTTGTGTCTCCTTGTATGTGCTTAACATGAGGCGTTTATACAACAGTAGAGGGTTAGTTCTATTTGTCTTGTTTGTCTTATTTGTCTTATTTGTCTTATTTGTCTTATTTGTCTTATTTGTCTTATTTGTCTACCCACTTAGATATGACGTCGTAGCACGTGTTTCCAAGGCTATCATCTTGAGCAAGACTATTCCGAGGCTAGTTCTTACTCCTAGTTTTCTTACTAACTTCCTCATTCTATGTTAAAATTATACACCTGCATGATAACATGGGGGCGGTCGGTCTCTTCGGCCGTTTTTGCCTCAAACGCGCAGTTCCGCGTCTCCCTCGACAACATTTCAGCCGCCCGCCATGGCCTCGGCAGCTACTGAAAGGCAACCCGCGAAGGGCTCCCGTCATAGCTGGTGTGCTAATGTCCACTCTAGCACCAGCGGCCTTTTTGAAACTGGCGGAAGAGAATGATGGTCACGACAAGACGGCGGAAATGCAGATGTTGGAGGCTTCACGTGAAGAGGTCCGGAAGACGGTTGCATCCGATGCACAAGGCCTCTCGAAGTTCTGCCAGACAATATGGGTCTATTTTTATTGTTATGTCTATGACCCTATTGCTACTGGGATCCGCTTCGTTCATCTTGCCATCATATTTGTTCCGGTTGTCGCCACGGTGCCCGCCATCTGGCTTGGTCGCAAAGTGCAGGACCGGGGTGGTGCGCGGTCTGGCACACTATGGTGGTATCGGTTCTTGGTGAAGGCAATGGAACGGGCTGGTCCTGCGTTCATCAAGGTAAGCTGATATTTTGTGGGCGCAGAACTGTCCATCGGGGTTGAACTGGCAAGCTAACTTCTCGAATAGCTCGGCCAATGGGCAGCTTCACGAACAGATATCTTTCCACCGGAAATGTGTAACATAATGTCGTCACTTCACTCAAATGCCCCTGCTCACTCACTTCACCAAACGAAGCGCATCATCCGCAAAGCATTCAATGGACTACCATTCGAGGACATATTCGAAGAGTTCCAGGAGGAACCGCTGGGTGTTGGAGCAATTGCACAGGTTTACAAAGCGAAGTTGAAACCAAGTCTTGCTGCAACCAATGAAGAAGAATTGGGCATCGAGCCACCAACGCTGGGTGAGAAGGTCCGGAAAAATGTTGATGTGCTGGTCAAGAGTTCCCCGCAACGGGTGCCATCGTCGTATGTCGCGATTAAGGTACAGCACCCTAGGGTTGAACAAATGATACATAGAGACTTGCGGATCATGTCATTTTTCGCTCACATGATCAATGTCATCCCCACGATGCACTGGCTGTCTTTCCCCGATGAGGTACAACAGTTTGGTGAAATGATGAAGCTACAACTGGACCTTCGGATTGAAGCCGCCAACCTCGTCATATTCCGCCAGAAATTCAATTCTCGCACTACTGCTTGGTTCCCATACCCATACCTAGAATACACCACCCGTGAGGTGTTGGTTGAGGAGTTTGCCCAGGGTATCCCATTGGCCACCTTCTTGGATATTGGAGGGGGCTTATACCAGCACGATATTGCCAATGAAGGCCTTGATGCGTTTTTGCATATGCTGCTCATAGACAACTTTGTCCATGCCGATCTCCATCCGGGGAACATCATGGTTCGTTTCTACCGGCCCAGCGAGCTGGACCTCTCCCTTGGCAAGCATTCGCGTGCATTCAATGCCCCGACACGGGCCGAACTTGATGTGACAGAGGCAGTCCTTAGGCGGTTACGGCCGAATCTTAATGACCCCGAGGATTGGAAGGCTGCTCTTTCCCAGCTCCATGACGAGGGGTATCGACCACAGTTGATATTTATTGACACTGGTCTTGTCACTCAGCTAAATGAGACGAACCGCCGGAACTTTCTAGACCTATTTCGAGCTATTGCTGAATTTGATGGATACCGGGCTGGTCAGCTTATGGTCGAGCGATGTCGAACACCGGAAGAGGTCATTGATCCGGAGATATTTGCGCTGAAAATGCAGCATTTGGTTCTTAGTATCAAATCTCGAACGTTTGCTCTTGGGAGTGTCAAGATTGGCGATATCCTCAGTGAGGTATTGACTATGGTCCGCGGGCATCATGTTCGGTTTGAAGGAGATTTTGTCAACGTCGTCATTTCATGTCTTCTGCTTGAAGGAATAGGACGTACTTTGAACCCTAACCTAGATTTGTTTAAAAGGTGAGTTTTCTCTATGAGGCTTTTGACTTGTCAACTGAAGCTTACTCTTGTCTAGTGCACTTCCTATTCTACGACAATTGGGGTCTGGAAGTTCATTCTTGCAAACTGTGCGCTCGGGCGATTACTCAATGCTCTGGGTTTGGGTCGGCCTGGAGGCTCGTGGAATGCTGCAGGCCAGCATCGAGAGTGTTGAGCATTGCGTCAAGTACGACCAACTGTCCCCTAATATATAAGATAACTTGGCATTCTGTTTGTACCATATACGCCAGATTCTTTACTTTTCATGTGGCATGTCCGTTGAATGATGGGAAGTCATCCTGTTAATTTTTGATATTTTAAGAGAAATACATTTCTAGAGAGGTCTACAAGAAGAACGTGAAACTTCTGACGTTCAGGGGAGAGAGAATAAAATTAATGCAAAGATATCATTATCGTGTATCTATTTTCATAGATGAATGGGAAAAGAGCTCGGGAGGTTGTGATATAAGACCAAGAGAGAAGAAGATAAACATCGTACAAGCACAAGCGAGGATAAGCAATGGAACGCCAGCGCCATGCCTTCGAATAATTACAGAGTGGAGTGGAGAAGTATACAGCCTGGTTGCAGCTGTTAAGAGCTCTTAGAGGCCTGCTCACGAACAGTTGCGCCGCTAGCCCTCCACCATACATCACCTCCCCATCTCATTAGGCGCTCAATAGCGGCTGTTGGTGTATCTAACGCAGGGCGGATATCAAGGTGGAAGACAGGCAGCCCGTGGGGATCTGGATCCCCAGAGTAGTAATCGATGACATATCGTATTTCCTTCGGGCCCGAAGGTGTCTGGCGGATGACATACCAATCGTGGCGGTCAAACGGAGGACGTGTCCTGTTGGAGTTAAAAGTCAGTGTTTTTGCCTAGTGTACGTATATACCGCGAAGACAGTCCTTACTCAAACTTGCTTGGGTATGCCCAGCTCAGTGCCTGGTAAATCTGTGCCTTTGGTGACCACTCTTGCGGCCGACCCTGAAATCGGAGTAGGCGGGGCTCAGAGGTCGAATCGAATTTACCATTCTCATCTGCATAGGCCAAGTCCATGCTCAGGTTCTCCTCGCCGCGCCGGCAGTGTTGCCACCCAGACTTGAGACCCTTAGCGAATACGCGCTCCCATCCCACGATTTCATCCCAGGCGCCTTCATTTAGAAAGTTATGGACTGCGACCATTGACTCTACCGCATCCTGTGGTGTGTCTGTGTGTCCTTTGCGCAGCATGGCGTTGTACATCTGTTGCGGTGACGGATACTCCCAGTTGCCTTCACCGTCGCCTCTTGGAATTGAAGAGCCTTCGCGCTCAACAGGAAGGTCAACGGTTTGATTGGCGGCGCGCTCTTGAGAAATAGATGAGAACATGTAGTTCAGAGGATTAAGCTTCGATAGGGTTGAAGGCTGCGCCGTGGTGTTGGCGGGTGGTTGTGTTTGCGCCGGCGTTGCTTTTGGGGCTGAATAGAATGGAGAATCTTTCGATTTCATGGGGCAGCTGCTGGGGAGTTCAGCATCAGGTGCTGGCGAGGGCGAGGGCTTTGAGCCTGATTCATGCATCGGACATCCCGGCTTTAGATAAGAGTCAGTCTGAATGATCAAAGCTGTACAGGATGCACAAAACGAACTGGAGGAGAGGCGTTTGAGGACGCATGTGGGATCGAGACTGCGGAAGTTTGTGGAGTGTCTGCCCAGAACCAACCCATTTTGAAGTATATATCAATGAAAATTTTATGAGATCAAAGGCGAAAGCGAACGCGATAAAAGACCGGAAAATGCGGACTTTTTTTTGATGACATAAAGCCACCACGTGATAGGACAATCCTAAAGCGGTGAAATGGAAACAACCTTGGAAGTCCTGGGCAACAAAGGGTTTTTATACTTCCTTCTAAGGACAGAGGCCATACTCTCGTTTATATACTTCATGAACTGATTTTTTTTTTTTTTTTTTTTTTTTTTAGCAAACTATACAAGTGCCCATAATTGAGAGCTAGGAAAGGGAGAGTGTCCCCGTTCCAAGAAGAGAAGAGAATTCCAGTTCCTCCGACTCAGATATGACAAACCCAGTCATCGCTTCATCCCAGACAGAGCGCCAATTTAAGCTGTCCAAAGCCGCAACGAAGAAAAATTCGGCCATAATCTTCGAAATTTGCTCCCATGACTGCCACCCACATATCATTGCGACACGGGCCAGCCGCTCCACAAACCACTGCCGCTCAGGTTGGCCAAGGGCGCCTTGGGCTCCGACGAATAATGCCCAAACATAAAGTCCAAAATTTTGATTTGGTAATCCCACAAGAAGAGACAATTTGCACCCATCTAACGCTGTCTTGAGGTGTTTCGTAAGTGCTCGGCCCAATCCAGATGATGAAGGCGACACGATCAGGAAATGATTGAGATAGCAAATAGAAGCCACTCGAGTGACTGCTTCAATCGGATGAAGATTAGGCTCTGGGTTGATGGAACCTTCTGCGTAGATATAACTGAGAAGTTGATGTTCTGCTTCGCAATTGAGGATGCGGAAAAAGTCTTGGTCGCCAGGTTTAATGGCCGTAGGGTTTGTCTGATAAGTGATGCTAAAAAATACCATGTCCCGAAGCACACTTATTATTCTCAATAATGGTGGACTAAGGAATGTATTGGCAGAAAACCCCGTGCCTAGTCTGTTGAGAGGAGACGAAGACAGTGGTCTGATTCGCTGTTGAATCTCGGAAGGAATTGGCTGTGCATCCCAAGTTAATGGGAAAACCGGTTTCGTCATTAGGCCCGAGGCAGCTTTGATGTCGGTTCTATTGCATCAACTGTGAGTGAAGAAACAGTAGAGGAACCGGACACACACGTACGTGATTATGGCAGACAACATAGAGGAAGAACGAATACTTTCATCTGTTATTCCACCCCGCAGATCAACCATACTTTTAAGCCCTGTTAGGTGAGTATGGACCTCGCTGAACTCTCCGATTATCAGCTGTGGGATGTTAACACTATAACCCGAGATTGACGAACAGGGTTCATACCGAACCAGTGAGGAGGTTGATTATGGTATCAAACGCCTCGTTACTGAGTCTGCGACTCGGATCCCGTACTTTTGCACTCATCTCTTGAATGGACTTTGCTCTCATCATACAATAGTCAGGGTCGTTGGTAAGCACCAAATCCCAATTACCCGATCGCTGGCTTGCGAGAACAGCTCGATGTGCAGCACACATACTCATCAACCCAAAGAAACTACCCGGATCGGAGAATGAGGACCGAACCATTAGTTCCATTTCTTGGTTTGAATCTTTGCTCGTGTTCGGGAAAGTCATCGGTACGAATATGGTTTTCCCTTCGCCCTGTAGTCAGCTCTAGTTCTGGGGAGGCTCATGCAGCATGAACACCTAAAACAACCAGAACAATGGGCAACGTCAAATGAGTAATACTTACAGTAGTACACCAAGTGGGCAACCATCGAAGGAAGCTCACTGGTACCGGGCAATGTAAAGAAAGGATCAAGAAACCATGATGTAGGTGGATTAGGATTTGAATGGACAGGCAAAGGATAACCAGCACACCACCTGATAGGACGCCCTCGATAAATTGAGGTAAACCCGTCTCTAGAGTCTGTGTCCAGTATGGAAGACGAAGCAGAGGATTGAGACGAAGCCCTCAGCACCAGTCTTTGTTCATTTGATTCCTCAACAGCAGCCTTGGAAGCACCAGATTGCCCGCGATTCTGCCTGGATGTTCGTTTCAAACCAGCAAGTCTTTCACGTCGGCGTACATCACGCATCACATGGGAGCGAATAGCCTTGCGCGCATTGACATCCTTAATCCTCTTGGAGGTCAAGTCATCGTCGTGATCGATGAATGTAAAGGAAGGCCGATCCAGCGGCGCGGGTTTGGCCTTAGTTTCTAGTCGGGTACTTCAGTTCAAGCTCTTGACAATAGAGCTTTCACTTTCGGTGCAGCTCTGACAATGCTAGGGGAAGTCCATAGGCAAATAGAAAGCAAAGAGCAATATCAAAGTCAATTTGCATTTTACCTCGATAGGGCCAAGGCAGGCAAGGCAAAAAAAAAGGCAAACGAGCCAACAGGATCAGTAAGGCCAGGTTCCCCCAATATATCAAAACTAGAAAGCACTGACCTGAATGGGTATGCCGAGGCGAACCAAAGGTGAAAGGCTGCAGATGATCCATCCGAAGGCCAAGGCAAGTTCGGAATGCAAAAGAAGAGAGGCAAAAGAAGACAAACCAATAAAGAAGTGAATAGAGACTATGCAGTGGGTGGAAGTCGGATTTAGAAGAGAAAAGGAGTGTAGTTACGTTGCCAATGTGGGCGGGGGGGACGAGCACAAGCCCGATTTAGCGTTAATCGACTGGGATGATCCGGTGCTCAACGGTGTAACATATATTTGGAATAAGATAAAAATTGTTAATTCGATGACTCTGGACTTCATTGTCTTTGAAGAAGAAAAAAACCCCCCGAGGTGAGGTCCCCAATGGCGCCTGACTAATGCTTGCTAACCCCAGGACAAGGAAAAAGAGCTTATGATAAAATATCAAGACAAAAAGGGTATTCTAACATAACAATGATAAAAAAAAAAAAAAAAACTACTTCAACCTCATGCTCGCATATCACTCAATACTCGTGAGATCAGTGCATAACCAAAGAAGACGGCAACACAGATCCAGATTCGGTTTCGTCCAGCCCAGCCTTGACCAGCCTCTCTCGCAACGTGCCCACCGTCCACGACAGAACCAATCCCAGGAGCACTACCGTTAGGTCGTCGACGTAAAGCACTTGTCTTTGGGGAACACTTGGTGGGCGCATCGGGATCAGGTAAAATCTGGCCAGTGGCGGAATCGATGCGATGCTCTTTCATCCAAGCCCAGTTTTCTTGGTCAAGTTCAGGCCATTCTGTGCGGAATTTCAAGCCTCCATCTCCGGCCTTGACATTGTTAATACCTTTGGAAGTTCGAGTGACACCGGCAGTGGCGCTGACATGAGAACCTCCTCCGGTCGAGTTCCACCACCGAGATCGCGCGGCAAGCACTCTGCGCTCACCTTCCGAACCGCTGACACTTCCCGTGGTCATCTCTTCACTAGTCATGAAAGAGAGAAGGCCGATGAGAATGGTTGAGACTTCCCAGGCGGGGTTAAAAGATTTCGGGTGGAAGTCACTGATGCTCAGACACAGTCGAGTAGAAGGCTGGAATCGACCACTAGGGGTGTGCATGCGGATGGCGGGAGGAGCGAATGGGTACTCTGGGGGGAAGATCAATGTACCCCAGTATTGTCCATTTTCATAAGGAGTTCCCGGAGGTCCAGTGAGGATATAATGCCACCTAGAGCAGGTTAGCTTCGGAGTTCTGAGGCGATGCGGAATGCGGCAATGCAAGGGAATGTATATCACTTACTCAAGGATATTGGTCTCAGATGGATGGGTCACAATAAATGGAGTGGGATCTTTTTGGATATTTTGGTATTCCCGGGTGAGCTATAATGATATTGTTAGAGACTATCCACGGATAACAGATTGGACCTGTGGTCTGGCCACTTACCCGCTTGAAAGCCGCTTTTGTCGCCATCTTTGGTGATATGAGGCAGAAACAAGAAATTTGGAAAAGCAAAACAGGACAACCCAGTCCTTTATGGGTACTGAGAAAAGAAAATCCGAGGAAAAAAAATGAACAAGAGAAGAAGTAAAGAAGTTGCGGAATTTTGACAAAGGTTGCCGCAATCAGGCGCTCATGTTCGTTGGGTCACGTGTTGGTTCCATATCTTGCGGGTTTCGCGCACTCCGATCTGTTCCCCGGAGGCCGAAAGTTCTGGCCATTGCAGCCGCAAAAATGTCTTCCTCCTTTGCTGATGGAGATGAGAGTGTTAGTTCATATCTCAGGCAGCTTATGAACTGCCTGAATGTTCAGTCAACCCTCTACTGACCAATCTCCCTCTTCTAGGTCTTCGAGCGTTTGCAACAGCGAGCAGACCCCAAGGTATTGGAAGAGCAACAGCAAGCTGTGAATGAGCGCATGCAAGCTATTTATCAGAAGGCCCAGAATCGACTTGCTGAATTGGTACGGTCTTCAATTCCCAGAAGCCGATGACAACAGGCAATTCATACATTTACTTGCGGAGTTTCCCGGCTGATCGCGCGATATCTATTAGATCGACGAAAACTCGACTTTACCCTGCACTATCTCATCTGTTCAAGTCACTAGTGCCCCTAATACCCGACGAAGCTTTCTTGAGCGCAACCTGAGCCCGCTTTTGAGCGCAAATAAGGGTCGGCCCTACACACTGTCCGAAGCGTTGCGGGAAGTGTCGGCTACCGCAGATAAACTTGGACGCTTCGGTATGAGATGACGGGATAACAATAACTATAAGTGGCTACTAACATTATCTCAGATCTATTCCATCAGCCTATTTCGGTCTACTTGGATGAGTCGCAAGGTCAAAATGGAATGCGCAACATTGATGTCCATCTGGCAACGCGAGAGAAGTCCCGCGTGCTGATGAAGACTGGAACAGACTTGGGCAATGCCGAGGGCTCGGCTTATGGTAATCTGCTCTGGCGCAACGTCTTTGGTGGTGCCGAGACTTTGAACTTGAACGCTTCGCTTGGTACCCGGACACGGTCCGCTTACCAGGCTGCATTTGAGACTCCGATCTTGGGTGATCCCGATTTCCGCCTAGAAATTGGCGGTATTGCAAGTTCCACCCAGAAGTCTTGGGCAAGCCACGAGGAGGTTCTCAAGGGTGGCTGGAGCAAGCTCCGGTGGATATCCAAATCAGGCCATCGTCACGAATTTGGATATACCGGTTTCTGGAGACAGCTCACTGGTCTTGCGGAGAATGCCTCCCCTACCGTCCGCGCCGACGCAGGCGACAGCGTGAAGAGCAGCATTTTCCATAGCTGGGTTAATGACCAGCGGGACAATGCCCTTCTGCCATCTCGTGGCTACTATGCCAAGGCCTTCAACGAGCTCGCGGGATTCGGCCCGCTCAAGGGTGATGTCTCTTTCTGGAAGTCAGAAATTGAAACACAAGGTGCCATCGCTATTCCGATCCCAGGAATCAAGGGTGACAGTGGCGTCAGCCTCACTACTGGATTCCGTGCCGGTCTTCTCTATCCTCTTGGATTGGAATCCAACCCCCGCCCTCAGCTTTCTCGTGTCAATGACCGCTTTCAGCTTGGAGGACCTACTGATGTCCGAGGATTCCGCCTCTGCGGTCTCGGTCCTCGTGAGGGCGTTGATTCACTGGGCGGTGATGTGTACGCTGCCGGAAGCGCCAATCTGCTGTTCCCACTTCCCCGACTTGGCGCTGAGAAGCCTGTCCGGTTCCAGGCCTTCCTGAACGGTGGCCGCTTGTTGTCTCTGCAGACCTCACAGAAAGCCACTCCTACTACTAATGGCGAGGTGCAGGATGCCTTGGTCTCAACTTTCTCTGAATTACAAAATGGACTACCCAGTGTCGCAGCTGGCTTTGGTATTGTGTATGCCCACCCTGTGGCTCGCTTCGAGCTTAACTTTTCCCTGCCTCTGGCGTTGCGAAAAGGCGAAGAAGGCCGCAAAGGGCTCCAGCTGGGCATCGGTATCAATTTCCTGTAAACATTGGCAAGTAGATTTCTTGCGGATTCGGCCATACCACTTATACATTGCTGTACCAATTCCAATCAAGCTCAAATTAACGTTGAACATTCTTAATACCAAAAAAAAAAGACATCATCCTCTATTTGTGCTTAGTTCGCTGGGCCCTGAGGGCCCGGCCCGATTAGACGCTTAGTCATCCAACGTTATTGCCCAGGTGAGGCCATTTGGAGCTTCGAAGCTCTCCAACAATTCACACCTTAGCCAGTCGCTACTCTCCAAGAACTACAAGCACGTCCTATACCCGAACACATCCTAGCGATCTTACGCCTCAAAAGCCGTCAGTCGCGGCAATGGCCCAATACTATCCACAACAGCAGGGCTACACCCCTCAAGGCTCCGCACCACAGAATCTCCAGTTCTTCCCCTCGTCCTACTCCTCGGTTTCCGGTCACACAACCCCCTCACAAGCATCCTATGGTGCCGGCTTTGGCGGAGCTCCCAATCCCTCCGCGCAGGCCTACCCTGCCGGTAGTGGGTATGGGGGGGGCTTCGGGTCCCAGGCCGCTGGCGTCAGTGGACGGATGGGCGAGCAGGGCGGATTGAGGACAGGTTGGTTGGCTGCATTTGGGACGGAGGGGTATGATGGTGAACCGCCGTTGCTGGAGGAGTTGGGCGTCAACTTTGAACACATCCGGACCAAGGTTAGTAAGACTAATTTTATATTGAGCGCGTTCAGGGGACGTGGGGCCTGGGTCTTACGGGTGGCTTGTCGTTTACCCCGGGTTTAATTTAATTGTTTTAGTCGACAATGAACGTCTAATGTTGGATGCTAACGGTTTCGTTCTCTAGACTCTGACTGTTCTGAATCCCTTCGCCTCTATCGATAACCACCTTATGGACGATAGCGACCTCTATGGAGCTCTGCTCTACATCGTCTTGTACGGCACTTTCCTCCTCCTCTCGGGCAAGGTATTCTACGGCTATATCTACGGTGTCGCTGTTTTTGGTACCGTTGCTTTGCATCTGATCCTGAGTCTCATGTCTCCGGCTCTTGACACCGTCCCAACCCCCAACGCCGCTGACCCTACCAACTACAATCCCCACCACAAACCCTCCATGTCTGGTGCCTCGGCCGCGGGCCATTTTTCTGCTACTCTGACCTTCCCGCGCTCCGCCAGCGTCTTAGGCTACTGCTTCCTTCCTTTGGTGCTTACCAGTCTCATTGGTATCATGATTCCCATGGACACCATGTTTGGCTATCTCCTGACCATTGCTGCTGTTGGCTGGTGTACATACAGTTCGTCGGGGATGTTCTGTGCTGTAGCGCGCATGAGTGGCATGAGGGGTCTGGTGGCATATCCGTTGGCTCTGTTCTATGTTGTTTTTGGGATTATGGGTATCTTCTCTTCGCGAGGCACCGGCTCGCTGGCTGCAAAGACAGGTGCGGCTTGAAAAGGTTGAGCTTTGATTGATACACGTTTTCTGTGTATGCATTGCATGGGTGATTCTTTAGGCTAGTGGCTGCGGTGTCCACGGTCTCAATATTAAACCATGCTTTGCACTTTAATCATGAATATTATGAAATTCCAGCTGTGTTTATACATCATTCATTATGCATTATTAGATTCGTTTGTCTTATTGTAAGCTCCGTAGTCCTTCGCGGGATGGAACACAAGCCTATATTATAATATCAAATCATGCCTAAACCGCCATCGAGAATCATCATGTACTCGTTGCACCTCGAGTGGGTGCCCATTTAGACAGCCACTCTCTCGCCTTCTCCAAGTCGCCACCCGCGGCTTCGGCTCCTGCAATACACCATGGTAGATCATACACTTTGTCATTCCCTTCAGTGTTCTCTGCTGCAATCAACTCTGCGAGATCGCGACGTTGTTGACTTGTTTCATCGGCACAGAGGTATAAAGGCGCCTTGTTAGGCACATCCGGCTGCGTATTGAGAGCTTCGACAAGTGGACGTGTCAACTTCATGATTTCTACCACACCCATCGCAGGTGGAGGACCAGAGTTAGATGTCATTTTCTGCTTTGCTGTTTTGCAATACTCATTCTGACACCAGGGCTTTCCACATCCGGTCATCATCTGGGAGAGATATCGGCGTTCAATGCGACGACGTAGTGCTTTACCCTCTGGATCGTACGTGTCCACATACAGCGGTCCGAAACAGAAACTGCACAGGCCAACAGCCTCGTTTCCGGCTTTGCTCAATGTCCTGCCGCAATTTTTGTTCATACATATGCGAGGCGCAGGTCGAGAGAGGCGCTCCAGGTCATGGTGGCGAAGATGGGTGTTCATGTCCCGTAATCGGATAATCTTACTACACAGATGGCATTCAGTGGTTCGTCCTCCGTCCACCAGTTCGTGTGGAGTGAGGCCGGAGAGCATCACTTCGGGGTCGCGGAAGTCAGGGTTAGAATCGCCTTTCTGTGGCACGAGAAGATGGCAGAATTGACAGAGAATCAACTTTCCAGGACAATCTGTGGTACGATGTTGCGCAAGGCTAGGAAGTCCTTCGAAATCTTCAGCACAGTCTGTGCATTGGTATGTCTGATGGAAGATAGTGGCATGCTTTTCTTTGCTTGGGGCATCATTGCCATGGCCGGAGTCGTGTGGGCAGTGCCAGTGATTTTGCCACTCTGTAGACCGCTTTTGAAAGACGTTCTGGCATTGCGGACATAATATATTATTGCGGAGACAGAAGTTTTCGTGGAGAACTAATGTCCGTTCAGGAACCCATTGCTGGCAATTTTTGCACTGCACATCGCCAGGCTCATTGGACTTTTCTGTCTCAGCATGACTGACTGGTGAATCCAATGGATTAAGTGTGATCCGCAGGTGATATTGCGATGGTGACTGCTTTGGTAGACCAGACGATCCACTGCTTGCAGCATCGGCATGAACCGCTATATAGAGGGCCTCGGCGTCTTCCAGAACCACATTCGTGGGCCGAAGAATGAATTTCTTAGGCGACTGGCTGGAGAAATCTCCCAAGGCATGCATGTCTGATCTTGGACGACCTCTCTGACGAGTAGAAAAGGGACTAGCGAAAAGACTCACTTCCGGATTATCCGTAGTAAGCTCAATCTGAATAGTATCCTGGCGACTCCAATCTCGAAGCTCATAATCGACATATTCCCCAGGCAATACTTGGGCGTTGACATTTTCTCCAACACTGAGGATACCACCGATCGAGCTGCCACTGACCGTACCCGGGGCGCGTGAAGCCTTTTCCAATCTCTTCTGTAGCGTTTCTCGGGCCTGATCCTCTGACAATGCGACGATGTCAACTTCAAGATCTGTATCAACCACGCATATTCCTTCGCCTTCGGGAAACACCTTGTCTACCAAGAACCTGAAGGATTCGCTCCGAGTACCTGGCACTGTCAGAAGCTCGCCCGTCGTGAGGGTCGTAAAGTTGTCACGTAAGTATTTTTCTAGAAGAGCCTTCCAGTCTTCAGGGTCGTATCCGGCTTCCAGTGGACGCAGGCGAACATAGGTACCCTTAGGTAGTTGCTTCGCATGTACTGTAACCGCGGGACCAATCCGTGGTGAATGTTCTCTTTCTATCTGGGGCACCGCCGGGTGTTGCGGTTCGTCATTTTCGCTCAAGAACTCCTCATCCTTGATATCGAGTGACTCTCTAAGCAATGCACTCAGTGCGACTTCATTCTCTTCGGCAGAGAACTCCCGAATGCCCGCATAGATGAACCGGCCATTCCGAGGATTAACGATGCGAAAGATTAACGGGTGGGGCAGTTGCTGTTGACGCTGCTCGACCTCTTGACGAGCGCGCAATTCGGCGGCGAAGGTATAGTGGTTGAAGGGGTCGAATGACGAAGTAAGTACACGAGAGTTTCCGGAAGGGACAGCTTGAAGCGGAGCGGCAGCTAGCAGCTGTTCGAGCGCAGATTGCGGTAGAGTGATTTTGTCACCGGTTAGTCGAGGCGCCCGATCTGGCGATGAAACGAGCAGCTGGGACGACCAGACTAAAGTATCTTGAGACATGATGGATATTGATAATGGTCAGAGCGAGAATGCATTCTTTAATATGAACATTCTAAGGTGGAGACGGACAGTAATAGCGACGAAGGCGACAAAAATCAATTCTCATACTTTAGGACCACCGTTTCTCTGTCCGCCAATTGTATAGTTGATAGGTGATAGATCTTCTCTCTTTCAGTATATATATTTCTGAATAGTATAGGAACTTTTTCTTAATTCTCAATTTCCAATACAATATATGTTCATACATAGATAAATAACATTTGGTACAATTTTGCCTGACAAAAGCCAGGTTTTGCCAGATTTGCCGCTATTCCCGTCTGCAAAGTCGATAAGAGATAAGAGATTCAATTCTGGAAGCCTCCACGCAGGGAACTTCGCTTTAAAATCAATCGATCAACTTGTCGATTACCAATACATATATATATATATATATAAATCAACTAAAAATTGAATCTAATTTAATAAAAGTCGCCACGCATTCTACCACGGGCACTGGTATTGCACCAGTCACACTGCGGGGTTAGTATAGTGGACGCTCTTGATTCAATGTCAATGGGGACATACCAGTATCTTCGAGCATCCTTCATTGTGGTGAATACAATAATCACCCTGACAGCCTTGGCATGTGTGTTGGCATTCTAGCTTACAGGAAGCACACTACTATGGTTAGAAGGCATACCCTAAAACCAAAGGAGTTACTCACAGTTGGGCCACATTCCCAGCAGTCTTTGCTTACACCTCGTTCCAATCTCTGCATAATAAGGATCAGTGACTTAAACGGTTTGTAAGACAGATTCAATTTCAACATACCTCATGTTCCTGCAACTCAGCGGCACTGGCGTGGACCGCAGTCTGATGCGGGGATAGGCTTACCTGGACACGCTGCGGGTTTGGTAGACAGTTTCCACAGAACCATTTATTGCACCGATGGCACCATCGGTTGGTGAGACAGTCCGTGCAGCGGGCAATAAGTACCGGATGCTCGCCTGGGATTATCTCGGGCCGTTTCGCCGCTGCAACGCTAGATGAGTGCAATGGCGGGGGGCTAAGCATCGGAAATTGAATATCTGGGGACTGACTCCATATAGCCGGACCTTCGGGGGAACTGTGGCATCCATCACACCCGCGGGGTCCGAGGGCTACGGTGGCCACGGCAGGTCCGAGCAACGGAACCTCAGCTAGGGTCTCCTCCATGGTCGAGCTGTATAGGCTGGGATCGTGTCTCGGGCCACGACACAGAGTGGCATCAAAGGCAATGATGCCCTCACATTTCCTAAGCACCTGGGCCCAGCCTTCTTCAAGAGTGTGCTTGAAAACCTTCCCGGATGCGCTATACCACTCGTTTTGCTGCACTACTGAGGATCTGGAGGCTCCGTCCTCCTGATCAGAGTTAGATAGGGTTTGGCTGGGTGTCCGCGGAGTTCCCACCCGGGAACCCCACCAGTCTCGGTATCTGGTTCGTGCCACTGGCCGAGGGCCCATGTGCATGGAAGAGAAATAATAGATACCCTTCACGCGCGGTGTACCCACAGGACGTGTAGGCCGAACAGCATGCTGAATGACCTGCATGAGTTTACGTTCATTCAGATGGTGACATTCGCGAATAGACAGAATATTGACGTTAAAGCGGTCCGTCAAAATGATATCGGCCACCAGATCAGCCGGCACTGACACTCCGTCCAAGATGAGAGTGCGCACATCTTGCAATATACCTCTACCCTCAAGACTCGTAAAAATACGCTTTAATGGAGCGGAGTAGATCTCATCCTCCGTCTGGGAGTCGTTCTCTGTTGTAGAGAGTTCTGTACCCCGACAGTGGGACAGATCAAGATGCCGGAATACATATGGTGTCTGAGTGATCACGGTGTGTAGGCGGCGTGAAGTTGAACTCAATGTCATCAATGAGGATACTGATAAGTATGGTGCCATCTGGTCGAGAATCAAGCTATTGCTCAGGACATCCACTAGTCCCATTCGGTGAGGGGCGGGCGTTATAGAATCCACCTTCGTTACCCGTTCGGGTAGTTCGCGCACGGCGGGCTCCAGGCCGAGTTCCTTTAGCGTCAAGCGGCGAGACCCATAAAAATCGGGGGCACGGCCGATGAGGTCCCGTCTGTAGGCAGTCATGGCGCCAACGGCGATTTCATCGCCCAATCCAAAAGGGGAAGCATTGGGTTGAATATCTCGGAGGGCAGCGCGAGCTTTGACCAGCTCACTTTCTAGGAGATTGATGGTTGATTGTAAAACGACCGGCATGGCTTCCGTTCTTTTAGGGTCAATGGCAAAAACTATAGAAGACCATAGGTCGGGCATATTATAGGGAATGTAAAAAAAAAAAATGTGGGGGAGAGGGGAATATAAATATGATCTTGGAAAGGATAGGTCTTTAAAAGGGAACTAGTTAAGTATACTGGAGAGAATCCCAATTTTGGGTGTAATATTATATTTATTTATATTTATATATATAAAATAAATATATACATATGTACATATATATATATATACATATTTGTTAGTATTTACATGTATATATTTGTATATAATTCAATCAAGTAAAACAAAGATAACCCTTTTTAACCATAAATGGACTGTCGGTCAGCGGATTCAGGAAGTCCACGGGTCCATACATCACATACAACATACAAAACATATAATACTACCCTATCTTTGTATATACTCTTATATTTTATATTCCTCTCCAACATTAACATTTGAACATTTGAACATTTAAATTACAAAGATATCTTTGTTGAATACTTCAAAGTATTGGGTGACAGTGGATCCGCTACTCCGTACTCCGTACAAGAGTCGAAAGGCGTTCAGGTACAAAAGTACTGGTCACGCGCAAGTCCGCGTCAGTCCAGGTAAGGGGATAATATTACCCGTATACTAATTTTAATCTCTTGACGATACATTCTCATCCCTTTCATAGGCCGAGACATCTTTGATCTACATCCGCATGCCAAGCCTTGACTCGACATAGTACGGAGCAAGTACTCCGTTTGATGGAGATAAGCTGATCCTGCCAAGCCCCCCTTTTCCAATTGAGACAAAAAAAAAGAATCACGTTATGTAGATCTAGTTTTAAGATCTACTCACTAGTCCAACATATTTAGTATGAGATGGTCTATGTACATGTATGTTGTATGTGGAGAGGGTACGGAGTATGCACCGAGGCCAAGCAGGCAGTACCCAAACAAGTTGCCAAGGAATAGCTACACCTCTACTCTCTACCACATCGCCCCGAAATGGATCGGATCCAGACACGTCGCACAACTATGCATTCACTTGGGAGAATTATCGGGGTAGGATTGAAACTAGTGATACTATGTCGATCGTTCCCCAAGCCCCCCCCGATCCACCCCCCACTTTCGAGAGGTCTCTACTTCCACAGCTTCGACACGGCCACCTCCTTGTCATCGTGCTTGTTGAGAATCTTGGCGGTGGCCAGATCAAAGTCTTCTTGTGTGACATGGACTCGACGCTCGCGGAGTGCATACATGCCTGCCTCTGTACAGACACCCTTAAGTTCGGCTCCAGAACACCCGTTCATCTTCTCGGCAATCTTGGTCAAGTTGATCCCACGGGTCAGGTTCATCGATCGAGAATGGATCCGCAAGATGTCAGCACGAGCTTCGACCCTATTAAAAAAAGATTGTTAGCATAACCCAGGAGATGAGAAGAACAAGCCCTAAATAACTGGCGGTGAAGTGGGGTAGACTAACGATGGAGGGGGGAACTCGATCTTTCGATCAATTCGTCCAGGCCGAAGCAGGGCCGGGTCCAAAATATCCAGTCGGTTGGTAGCCATGATAATCTTAATGTTCTTCGTTGGCTCGAAGCCATCCAACTGGTTTAACAACTCCAGCATGGTACGTTGCACCTCCGAGTCACCACCGCCTGATGAATCTATCCGGCTTGATCCAATGCTGTCAATTTCATCCATGAAGATGATACTTGGCGCGTGCTCCCGGGCCATGACGAAGAGCTCACGGACCATTCGACTACCCTCACCAATGTATTTCTGCACCAGCTCTGAACCACTCACTCGGATGAATCGACAATCAGTATGGTGAGCGGCTGCTCGAGCAAGCAAAGTCTTGCCGGTTCCGGGTGGCCCGTAAAGCAAGACACCCTTCGGCTGTGCGATACCCAGAGATTCAAACAGCTCAGGGTGCTTCAGGCCAAGTTCGATCACTTCCTTGATTTCCTTGATCTGCTGGTCTAAGCCACCAATCATGTCGTAAGTGCTGTCGGGAACTTTCTCGACCATCATGAGTGCAACTAGAGGATCGACCGAGGACGGCAACATCTTCTCCAACTTATAGGAGTCAGACAAGAGAGCGACTCGCTTTCCCACAACGAGTTTGCTAATGTCCACACCATCGGAGATATCCACCACTGCAAGGAAGCCCTAGCGTTAGCATAAGTCCGGTCATAAAAGAAAACAAGACGATTGGAATGAACGAAACCTACCGTATTTTCCTTCCGGGTGTACCTTCACCAGAACCTTCTTGGTGCTCATCACCTTCACCACCTCGCCAACGTAGGAGCCGGGTTGTTGCAGCAAACCAAGCTCTTCGCGCAATAGACGAACTCTCGAGTTGTAGTCATTGCGCTGTGCTTCTAATCGTCGTAGAACAGCCTGGCCTTGGATAATCTCGAGCTTCATGCCCTCGATTTTATTGCGATAGTAGTTGTCCAGAGCCATGATGGCGAATGGGGTGATGACGCTATGGAGACTCAAGGGTTGCCTGCCTTCCACGGGATACAGATGAAGTGAAGAAAAAAGACCAGTATATTTCGGTTCAGGAGAGATGGTATATCGGAGATGCGTCAAAGGAAGAGATGTAGCTCGGGAGCAGAAACGGAGTTGAAGCTGGGGTTTGGCGAGCAGAACAGTGCTGTACGTGAAGCTCAGGTCCGTCCCAGTGCTGACTAAGATAATAATGGCCTGAATGATCAGGTTACTAAATTTAAACAAACAAGCCAAACATTTTGATTTTCCATGGATGGCCTGTGGACAGCTCCCCACCCAGTGAGTCAGGCCGTGGATCTGATTGGGCGGTCAAGCTGGGCTGATGATCGGGTCATCTGCAATGCGATGGACATAAGGCAACGGTCAAAGAGCCATTTCTCCCTTTTAACTTACTCTTTTCCACGAGTTTCGTCCTACCTGGACCTGCAATTATCTGTATGCATCTCAGCCAATGGAACTTTCATTGAAAATTTTGATTTCTGCTTCACCTAGATTCATTTGGTTCGATAATGTCACTGAGACCTTCGGTCTTATCGCTTTGACTTTTTTTCCTTCTCTTTCTTTGGAGACAACAAAGGCAGCATAAAAGAGAGAGCAGAACCCATCTTTGAGATTCTCTCTCTTCCTAGCATCTTCTGCTTCAAACGTTTACTGTGTACTTACCAAATCACTGGGTCATGGCTGGTGAGAAAGGAAACCCTGATCCCAAGTCCGCGGAGCCTTCTGCAGCGACGGGAAGGGAAACCCCTGCTTCTGGACCCGTACTTCCAATAACATCATCTGCCTCCGCGCGGAGAACATACGGTAAGCTTCACTTTGGTGCAACCTACAACAATGACTTGGGCTGATCTCAAATTGCAGGTACACTCGATAAATCTTCCCTTGAAGCGACCAATCCAGAACTACGTGATGGCGCCCAAGAGGAGAGCTCGACTCGCGCATTTACAACCCAATCGTCCAATGCCCCCGAAAAGTCCCGAAAGCCCTCGCTATCGCGTCGCATGTCTTCTAAACGTCAAATCCCCCACAAGGGGCAAGGGTTCTCGACAGATGATGATGTCGATGAGGTCAAGCAATATATGACAATGAAGCAAGGCGCGAATACGCAACAATCTCCCAGAATTCGTCCACTACGAACGCAAAGCTCGACCTTGAGACGACGTCCCAGTGTTCGTCCCAGTCCCTTGGCGAGAGCCGATTCGGAGGGCTACAATGCGGAGGAAACAGGCTTGCCTGAACCAGGTCTGGATTTTGAAGAAGACTTCCCTTCTTCGAAACAGGCCGGGCATAGCAGCGGAGGGGATAGTGAGGACGACGAGGGGGATGACATAGAAGACGACGAAGACGCAGCCAGCGATGCTGAGAGCTTCACGCTCAAAGATCGCCAACAGGCCATCAACGAAACGCATCCGTTTGGTATCAGGTTATGGAAGCCTGCGTTGTACAAGAAGAGTCGTTCTGTAGAGAAGACGGCCGAAGGTGATATTCACTCGTCCCCGGGAGGCTATGTGAGTCCCCTACTTTTTTTGACCAATCTACTATGGTCTTTATTCTTCGGATGGTGGCTTGCACTTTTCGCTCTGTTGGCTGCAGTTGCGTGCTTTTTTTTTTCCTACTCATCGAGTGCTGTGGCATATGGAAGAGTATTTTCAGGTCTTTCACGATATCTGTTGTACCCGTTCGGGTCATACGTTCTTTTGGAGACCGATGAGAACTATGCCGAAGAAGATGAGGGCGAGGGACGCAGTATCAGTGAATATGAACAATGGCAGAATGGTGATCTGGAACATGGTCGTCTTTTCTTCGGGCCTCGCAGAGATCGGTCCCTTGTCGGTAGACGAAGGAACAGCGTTGATTCAGCCGGAGAGCAAGACAGCCTGCTCGGGCGGCCCCAGCGTGGACAACGAGAAGACTCTTCTCAGCTCGCTCAATCTAAGCGTCGCCTTTTTGGGCGGGGCGAATGGACCTTGGGTCGTGTCGTGTTCTTCGTGTTCTTCTACTTCTTAGTCGGCCCGCTGATGCTCATGGTATCCCTTGTCTGCTGGCTTTTGGTCTTTTGGATTCCAATGGGCCGTATAACCATTACACTGGTAAGCCATTTACGCAGGCATCCTTTAGCACTGTCCTTCCACTCCGATTCCACATATGCGAGATCAAGCACAACCACATCTTCTTCCTCCATTCTTCTTTGCACCTACAGAGCCGCGGGAACGAGGTACTGGAAGTACACTCTCGATGGAACGAACATCTTCCTGATCAACCTTCTTGGTGTGGTTGTTTTTGTCATTTTCGACTATCATGTTTTGGGCAAATTCTTGGGCTTGCAGAACTGGCTCACGCATCCGGCCTTGATATTCCCTCTTGCTCTGCTATCTATCATTCCTCTTGCTTATTTCATTGGACAAGCCGTCGCCTCCATCTCCGCTCAATCTTCTATGGGCCTTGGTGCTGCTATCAATGCCTTCTTCTCAACTATCGTAGAAGTATACCTCTACTGTGTCGCTCTAACTGAGGGCAAGGCTCAGCTTGTTGAGGGAAGCATCATCGGCAGCATCTTTGTCGGCATTCTCTTTCTCCCTGGTTTGTCAATGTGCTTTGGCGCGCTTAAACGCAAGACCCAACGGTTCAATGTGAAGTCAGCCGGTGTGACCTCGACGATGTTGTTGTTCGCGGTTATTGCTGCTTTTGGTCCCACTCTCTTCTATCAGGTTTATGGTAGTGTAAGTTGCACCTTCCTTCGCGAACGAATCTAAGCTGACTGTTGGACAGCATGAGCTGAACTGTTACTCGTGTGTCAGTTCCCTCGATCCGGAGATTCGAGATTGCCGTCGCTGTTATTTCTCACAAACAGCGGCTGTCAATGACCAGTTCTTTCAAAAGGCGGTACAACCATATGCATGGATCGCCGCTGTTTTCTTGTTCCTTTCATACTGCATCGGCTTATGGTTTACCCTCAGGACTCATGCAGCTCTCATCTGGTCATCAGAGATAGAAGAAAAAAAGGGTGCCCATGCGACGCAATCTGCCCAGGAGTCATTCTACGAACCACGCCAACAACTCTTCCCAAATGGCCAACCCGAAGCCTCCGGTGCCGCTTCTGGGGCTAGAGATTCCATCCGCGAATCTCAACTGTATAAACGAATTTTAGGCCAGTCACTAAAGCATTTCGGCTTGGAAGACAATGACGCGGGAAATTGGGAAGGGGTTGGAAGTGAGGGTACCGCAGACTTTAAAGGCAATTTCCCACACTTGGTACCCCCCAATTCCAGCGGTGAAGACAGTTACCCTGTGCCGAAGTCCGTCCGTGGCACGGCCAAAGAAGACAACGAGCGTCTAGTACGCCAGTTCACAGAAGTGGCAGCAACAGCAGCAGCAGTGGCTGCTCGGGATGTGGCTCGAAGTCGCAAGCCTAATGTCCAACATCATCAAGCTTCTGTTCGCCAAGCTAGCCGCTCTGCTCCAGATCGATCACGAAATACTGCTCCAGATGAGCTTGAAGATCTCGGATTGGGTGTGGAGCCCAGTCATGCTAGCGGAGGACACGATGCACCCAATTGGAGCAAAGTTAAAAGCTCTGTCGTTCTTCTTGGGGCAACACTCCTCTATGCGGTGATTGCCGAGATTCTTGTCAACACAGTTGATGTTGTGCTAGAGAGTGTGGACATTGATGAGAAATTCCTCGGCATTACACTTTTCGCGCTGGTGCCGAACACGACGGAGTTTTTGGTACGTTAGTCATTAAAGGATTCATCCGAAGCCCTTTCGCATTTCATATCGTTAACATGCCTGACAGAACGCCATTTCATTTGCCATGAACGGCAACATTGCTTTATCTATGGAAATTGGATCTGCCTACGCACTGCAGGTCTGTCTACTACAGGTTCCTGCTGTGGTATTCTTCAGCGCTTTCTACGGCCGCTCACTGGACCCATCTGACCTTGTCAGCCACTCATTCAAGTAAGATCGGCTTCCCCCCCCCCCCCCTTTTTTTTTCTTCATTCTGTCCCTAAATGAAGTGCCCCGGCTAACAAAATATTTCAAACAGCCTGATATTCCCTCAATGGGATATGATTACCGTTATCTTATGCGTCTTCCTTCTTTCGTATGTATACGGCGAAGGAAAAAGCAACTACTTCAAGGGATCCGTCCTTGTACTCACCTACCTTGTCGTTCTGCTTGGCTTCTATATGTCGGGCTATGTGGACATGGACAGCATGGGCGTGGATCGATTTGATACCCTAGCCCTAAGCGGCACCAGTAGTTCTAACAAGTTCTACACTATCGGCCGAACAAGAGGTGGAGTGGCCTATTAGACAAAGTGCATATATTGACTGCTGGTTGCTTTTCAGCATGAGGCATTCATTGACTCGTCTGAATTGATATTGGATAGCTTCTTTTGATTTTCGGATTTTTGTTTACGTGCTTCACGTTTATATCGACAGTGTGACTTAGCTAAATGCATTAGACATGATTTTGGAATAACTATCACTTTGAAATTACCTGGGTTTTATTCCTTTTAGATTATGTGGTATGAAGAATATGAAGATCGTAAAATCGACAAATCTTTTTTTGTTTTGGTGGAAGAAAAGAAAAATCGTGGAGATCATCATACATATCAACTTAGGCGGACGTGGACTTCCAGGCCCCCACGGCGTCATCCACCATCCCACGGTATTTCTGCTGCTTAAAGCACTGTTCTAGAAAGACCTCATACTTAACACCAAGCAAGGCTTTCTCATTCTTATCCTCTGTTGGCAACACCTTCTTACAACGCTTGCTCATCCGATTCATGATATCCCACAGATCAGTGGTTTTGCCCTGGGAATCAGCGCTGGCAGCCTTGGCACCGAGCATAGCAGCACCGTGGCATACCGCAGCATGGATGTACTCGGGAATTAGCACAGGCATGCCGCAGGCAGATGCAATTAGGCTGACCAGGATGTCATTCTGGCATTGTGAGCCCGACATGAACACAGAGGTGATGCGGTGGCCTGCCTTGTTCATTGTCTCTACAATCTGCTTAGTTTGCAGCGCAATAAACTCCATGGTGGCATAATAGTAAATGGCCAGGCCATCTACAGATTTGTCACTGGTTAGTCCAAAGATGGAGCCAGTCATGTTGGGATCGGCGATGGGAGAGCGGTTGCCCCATAGATCACCATAGAAGAAAAAGTGGCGTCCGAGGTAGGCTACACATGGGGCTCCTTGACCATGTGCCATCTCTTTGAGATGCTTATTCAGATATTCGTAGATGTTAGCATGGGATGACTCGGCAATCGAAATGGCCTGGTTGAATGCCGGGTGAGTCTCAATTACATGCTTGAGCAATTCTCCTGTGGCAGATTGGCCGCCTTCAGCCATCCAGTATCCAGGGAGAATGGTATCCCGATATGGTCCCCAGACACCATCAACAAAAACTGGGACTGGTGACATGGCAAGGTGACAGGTCGAGGTTCCCGCGACAGCGGCGAGGCGAGAGAAAGCCTCTGATCTATCAAGCTCGTGCACATCTGTGCTAGATTGACCTGGGTCCATATCGACCTTGGATCCGACGGTACCAATCCAGCCAGCGTAGGCATCGATCACACTGCTGCCAATGGCAATACCAGCCGGCAGGCCTAGTTCGGCTGCAGCCTTATCGCAGAGAGTGCCAACCAATTCACCGGCACTCAAATAATCACCGTTCTGTGTGACACCGATTGTCAGTAAACTGCGTCGTTGTCAATTAGGGAAAGGCTCACCACCCCGTCGACTCCACCCATGCGCTTGAAGTTATCTTCCGTCAAGTCACCCAAGCCAATATCCCGCAAGAAATCTTCTTCCCATCCCTTAACGCTCCCATCAACGCCAACGGGGACATATCCTTGTTTGCACACCACGCTGCAGAAGCTTCGCTTCTCGTTGCCCGTAGCAATGTGCGTAAGAGCATCTCCCAGATCATAGAACTTGCATTTGTCAAATAGCTCCTTGGGCATGTGGTTCTTGAGCCAAAGAACCTTGGGGATCTCCATCTCAATGGACATCTTCCCGCCCACATAGCGGAGCAGGTTGTGGTTGGTAGCATTGATCTTTGCGGCTTCCTCAACTGGGCGGTGATCCAGCCACAAGATCACGTTGCGATCCGAGTCAAAATTCGGGCCAGTTACAGAGATCGGCTCATCGGTATCATTGGAGAAAACCGACAAGGAGCAGGTGGCGTCAAACCCGATACCACGAACCATGTCAGGGTTGACATTGTGCTGGCTAATAACGCGCTGAACAGCCACACAAATACAACGCCAGATATCGGAGGTAGATTGTTCCTAAAGGCTAGGTAAGTCTGATTTGGCACCTAAATTTTTGGCAGATTCACCCACATAGTAACCGTGCTCTGGTTGCCAAAGACCAATATTCTCCGAGGCCAACCCCACAATATCACCTTTGTTGTCGATGATACAGGCACGGGCACTGCCAGTTCCGACATCAATGCCAATATAGTAGTCGAGATGAACTGCTAGATCTTCCCGGGGGTCACTAGATGCTTTCCGGGTGCTCTGATGAGAGGCACGATGGTAGGGTAGTGAGGCCATATTACTGAGTAGCTTTTGACAGCTTTGCAGCTATAAACTGGTACTAACCATATATAGATTAGTCACAAAGCACAGAATAATACTTAGGTCGAAGTAGGCTTACTGTTAATACCAATATATATGAGATTGAAAGGCAGGAATCAAAATAACTGTGAGCTAAGCGTAGTTAGAGAATAAGGTATACAACCTTGGGGAACTTTTTAATTTTCCTGACGGAGCAATGCTAGCCGGTACCCTCGGGATAACTTTTCAAATACTTTACTGATACTTGGATATCCTACCATTTTATGCGGTAGTCAATGTACTTTTCCTGTACCAAACCATTGTAAATGAACAATGTATAAAGTATACCACTTTTTTTTTTATGTATATATGTATATATATGATCTTAGAATGTATTTAGTTTAATTTTGAATAATTCGAGTATAACATGTAACATATATAATTCTGTAAAGTATGTATTCATCTATACAATAGTACCCGTTACTGTGTAATCGTGGGGGAGAGCTCGGGCCGACTTTCTTTCTCAACAACATCTCGTCAGTGACTATAATTCTCGCCATGCGGTTCCTACCAACCATTCTCGGTGCTGTGTCACTCCTAATCTCTATCACCAATGCCTCCCTCTCGACCGACATCCTGTATTGGCCTTTAGGATCGTCACAACCGTCCGTCCTTGCACACATCTCCTACGACCCAGCCTCATTGAAATCGGACGTGATCTCATATCACCCACCAAAGGATAACCAAAGCGATGGCCTGGTGCGCGTCGGTCTCTACACTTCAACTTCCACAAACAAAAAGCAATGGGTCGGCAGTCTCGTATCGTTGTCCTCCTTAGCCAGTAAGCAACCAACATTTCGCCTTCACCTCGGTCCAGCCAACGAAGTGTACACTGTCTCCCTGTCTGCCTCGTCTACGACTGCACAAAGCTCAGCCGGCCCTCAAATTGACCTTGTCTTGAACGAACCCGGGACGCAACCTCACCTTAACAGGCCAGTGGTTGTCGGTCCAGATGGAGAGAACCCAGAGCAACCTGAAGAAAAGACTCTTTTCCAGAAGTAAGTTACAGATAATGTATCATTTCTTTTGTGTACTAATTAATAACCTAGGTACTGGTGGGTACTTCTGATCATCACTTTCATCAGCATGTCCGGGGGTGGCGGAGAAGGACAGTGATATTCCGACCCGTTTTTTTTTTTTTTTTTTTTTTTTTTTCATATTACCTATATCGAATTAATACCTGATTTGAACTACGCGCTATATGGTTCATTATCTTTCTCAGAGCGTATTTTGGGGGGCACAATGTCAACTAGAAGTCCAAGACATGAAGCTATCCGGCTACGAGTCTGGCTTATATAACTACTTTTGGCTGGAATAAACCAAATTTGTAAAATTGGCAATGTTTTTCTATCTGTAGTTGGTATATACCTGCATATGTACTATATATAGTTATATGTATATAAGGCGGAGAGCATATCAGAAGTATGAGAGGTGCAACTTCATTGCAACTTCATATCTTTAATAAACACAAAGCTGAAACCTGCCTGAGTATATACCTTTAGAAATATTCGACGTCTTTGTCTTTTCTTTTCCCCACTAAACCTCTCTTTCTACCTAGTCAAAATCAGCACTGCTACCTAGAACCCCCAGGCAACAAAAAGTCTGTGCACCGAACCTCCACAAAGTTCTATAAATCTATGCTAAACTCCCATTAGATCTGGTACAAAGTACCACAAATATGCTACTTCAACTCCCAACGGAGTTGATACAGCTTGTTCTTCGAAACTGCGATACAGCAGCCTACTTTCAGGCAGCCTTTTCAAGCCGTAGGCTTTATGAGATTGCCTCCGGTAGCCGGGAAGTCATCATTCATCAGTTACATAATACTCCTGGCTGGAACGACGGTATTGAAGCTCATCAAACTAAACATCTGTTTGGTGAGCTAATGAGGCGCTCCTATGAACACCTAGATGGCGCAGAACATTACGCCAACCCCACCTATGAGTATCAAAATCGAGTGATTGACTACCATGCATCAACAATTGAGGCATCGGAAGACAGGATTCTAGCACTGCTTGTCTTTAAAGGCCAGAGTACTGTCCATCTGGTTGACATGAGCGATGGGGGTCGGACTGAAATCCAATTGAAATCCCCAGGACAGGATATCGGGGAGGTCGAGATCATCCAGACTGCTTTTGATGGAAAGGGTGGAGTTTATGTGCTGCATCGATTTAAACCATTCTTGGACCAAGAATTGGATAGAGAGCACCCATTTGTTAAACACGCCCTGGAATCTCACCCCAACGGGAGTATTCATCTGGCCTGCCATCGCTTGAATTCCCGAAAAAACATCATTCGAATGTGTGACTTTCCAGAATGTCGGGATTATAGGCCACTGGCTTTGTGTGCCTCCAACGGCAAATTTGCGATATCATGGCAAAACACGATCGACCCCTTTGATCACAACATCGTCGTTCTTTATACCCAGCTCTATGACGACGATGATGACGATGACGACGATGACGAAGATAACGAAGACGAAGCGGAAAGCGAAGATGATTCAAGCGAAGGCAAAGGAGAGAACCCCTGTAAAATTATTCGTTCGTTTCACCATTCTGTTATACTAGAAATAGTTCCTAACATCTCTAGATGCCGCTCTTGAGGCTTACATTTTGACAAGCTCTCACGATCAAGACCCGTCTGTCCATCCTTCTCGAAAAACAGGCCCGGTGATGAAGTTGGCTTTCAATGATCGAGGCTTTCAGTTACTCTACCACTACCGAGCTCAAAACATCTACGGTGCCTTTCAGAGACTTCATCGCCTCTCAGGCCTCCTCCCCGGCGAGCCAAAGCCACGTGTTAATGAGAACGCGTGCACCGTGCAGTTTTCGCCTTCCCTATCGCTTCAATTCTCGATTGGAATACCATTCTTCGGTACCCATGAGCTTGGTGATATAAACCAGGGAGAACAGTGTCATTGGCAGTACCTCGCCTTCGGGATTGCCACCCACCGCGTGGAAAAATGGACTGTTGCATGCCTCCTGAAGTCTGAGGCATATACCGGCCCGCGATGTACTCATGTTTTGAATCTCGATCGCGGTAGGCGCTTTGATAACTGGCAGATCATGGCGCACCTTGGGGGATTCCAGGAAGTTACAACTTCACATGGCTCTCCCGTGGCAACTTCGCGTCGCGGAACTCGTGTTGCTGTTGTCAACTGGAAAACCCTCTATGTATGGGCACTGAACCCCTCGGAATTGATTGAAGAGAACGGCACCGGCTTTTATCCATCATCGTGGGAATCATCTACAGGTGCCATTGAGTTGCGACCAGTTACCCTCCAGTTAGAAGCGGTTTGCTCACAACTGCGTTTCACTGAAAAGGAAGACGAGTTGGTTGCGATTACTGATCGTGGAATGATGTTCCTGAATCTCAGTTACATTGGAAAAAGCAAGCAATTCGTCAAGAGCCAGGGCTAGGGCAATAGTTTATGACAAATAGGAAGATCTCTTTCCTAAACTCCTGCCGTTCAGAACGTGGTGAAAGTCTTGGGGTTGGCTGAATACCGAAGACGCATTTGTGCCTATGAGTCTCTTAAAGCATTGTAAAACTGAAATAGGGCAATTCTTGAATCTCAATCAGCAAACCAGGACGCTACCATTGTCTTATTATACAAGACTACACAATAAGAAATCTCTAAGAGAATCAACTATGTCCATTTTTCCTTATTCCCAAAGCAACTCGAAACTCCAGAAAATGCAGGACCACGAGCTGTATGACATTGTACATAGATCAAAAGAAAACCATAGCCCTGAGAATGCAAGGCCAGAAAGGGGTATCCCAGGGTCGTCATCATAGCAAGAGAAGAAGAAGAAGAAGAAGAAGAAGAAGAGCCTAACCCAATCGCTTGTTCTAGTCCATCTCAGAAGCGAGCCATTCGAGCACGCTCTCATAGCAGAGTGCATATTGACTCAGGTTCTGTACCATGCTCGGTCTTTGTCTCCGGAAATCTTCGACCGTCTTGGCAATTAAATCAAGATTGAAATCTCCCAGCCACTCGGTAGATCCGCTGGGGTTCTGATCCAGGCCTCCGCAGCCGGCAGCTTGGGCACGTTGCCGTTTCAACATGTCCAAGACACTATCGACGGTGCAGAAGGTCCCAGTACGCCCGCAGCCCGCACTGCAATGTACCAGTACTGGCCGCTGCCCCTTCGGTTCTGCTTCCTGGCTACTAAAGCTGGAGTTGCTGGTGGCACGGATGACCTTATTACATTGCTCGATCAAATGGAGAAGATGAGTAGGCTGTGACGTTGTCCCGAAGTCAGGCCAGTAAGGATATTGGAGCTGGGTGATATCGCGAAGCGGTTGGAAGGGAAATGATGTATGGCAGATACTGAAGTTTCGCACAGTGATGACTGGGTTTTCGTTTGTGCCATCAGGTCGTTCGGTCAATGCCTTAGGACTGTCAACCGTAGAATCGATATGTTCGCCCTTGGGTTCGATATAGATATGCTTTTCTGAATACGCCTTCACCTCGAATGGTCCATATTTTCCGGACTCCCAATATCGGTGGCATTTTACCTGTCCTCGCTCAACCTCCGCAGTAAGGGAAACGATAAGTCTAACATCTTGCTCCCACACCACGCGCCAGAAGTCCTGCATATTTTGATTAACATGATAACAAGCATTGCGAGGGGCTGCCACTCACATCAAATGTATCAGGAACGGGAGCCTGAGTGGCAATGTATTTCCGATTGGTAAGTTCGGCGGAAATATGAGTTGCATTCACATAATCACAGGCCCCAGATGGAATTCCTTCGAGTCGGACACGGGAATGATCGAATGGGTAAATATCATTGTAACGATTCTTCGTACCTTTTTCTATACCCGCAACGCGATATTTCTTGGGGCCACCGTTGGTATCGGCCGACGGCCCTTCATATGTTAAAGCCTGTTTCATGCGTTCCAATTCAGTTTTCTCTAAGACCAGGAACTTTTGCGAGACAATGTGCCCTTGGTCCTTCGTATCGGAAGCGCCTCGCAACCAGGACGGGAGTTGCTGTCGCTTTGCTTCGGTCAATTGATCGGGCTGTTTCAGAGGAATTTGTCCAACACCCCCGAGGAGATCCATATTCTGTCGAATATTTCCAAAGAATGGATTGACGGCGGAGGATGATTCTGGTAGAGCGCAACCACCCACGACAGGAGCAACAGATTGCAAATTTATTCTCATGGGAGAGGGACGTTTAGAGGATAGTCCGGTCGTCTGGGTTTGTGACTGCCGAATCAAATGTGGAAACCGACCCGAGAAACCTCGAAATCCGTTTTGTAAGATCAGCCCATCTCCCTTCCAGTCTTCGGCCTGAAATTTATTGAGAAGGTTCAGAAGAGGTGCTGCATCCTTCGAATCTGCCGCGGCAGAGTCGTAGACAATTATCACGTCGCACTTTCTCCATCGAGCGAAATTTTGTTTGTCGGCGTCGTCTGTGAAAGTACCCTCTAACTTCTGGGTATCAAATGATCGACGCTTGAGTAGGGTGGTTGGGATGCATAAATTCAGCGATCCTTTGATATTGGCCTGTCTGAAATGAGCAAATGGGCGAACATCAAATAGCATGGTATTTGACTGAGATGATTCAAGAAGTTCGGCGCAGCGTTCGGCTGATACCCAGGGAAATGAAGCAGTGATGGCTCCTGAAGAAACAGTGTTAGCATTTTATATAATTTGTAGAGGATAAACAGTGGAACATGTCAGGTGTGATATGATCAAAGACAGAAAAATATAAAACACATCCAAGAATGGTCAGCCATACCTTGTGAGGTGGGTGCTAGGTTCTTGCCAGCTGGAAGCTTCGGTCCCTTGGGTTGCGCAAATGAAAAGCTTCCCAGCGGATGCGAGGGTGAGGGTGAGGGTGTTGACCATGAAGTCGTTTGGGGAGAGGAAGATCCATGCAGTGCTGATTCTCGGCGTATGCGGCTGGTTTCAGGCTCGGTCTTCTGTAGATTCTTCAATCCTGTAGACACCGATTCCTGGGAAAACACTGGTAATTTTGGGCTCGATAGAGGCTGTGTAGGGGGTAATGTGCCCCAATTCTTTTGCATGGGCAGCCCTGGGTTGGAACTCTGTTGATTGTTGGGGTTTTGCACAGCCATGCCAAAATAATTGGGACTTGATCTTTCTGCAAAATTCGCGCTCGACATCATGCCCGCTGTTGATGGTGACATGGTAGACTGGAAGGACTGTGTGACACCATCATGATGACCACCTTGAGCACTTTGTACCCAAGGTGAGGAGGGTGAGCGTCCTGGACCTGTCATGGCAGGCAGGTTGGCCTCCAGAACTCCAGTTCCCCTGTCGAAAGACAGTCAGCTCAAAACCTCCCTAGCAATGACACCGGCAGGTGTGTAGATAATTCTAAGTGGATTATCAGGGACCAGACTGACAAGTGCTCCCCAGCTCTCGGAACAAGATATCAGAGTCTTCAGAGACCTAAGACTGCGGCAGAATCGCTGGTCATAAACATGCAAATACAGGCGAAGCCGATATCAAAGTGAAAGCTGCAAACTTCAGGAAACCTCGAGATATATCTGACGTAGGGACAAAGAGGGGCAAGAAGCGAATAGACCAGGGTCCAGCCAAAGAGAAAAAACCAATGGAACGAAAAATGTCAAATAGTGAACAGGTCTGTGATATCAGAGGCATCTGTGTTGCATGATTAATAATCTGAAACTAGGTAGCCCCGGCCTGAGAGGGAAAATGGGTGAAGAAATTTGGGGGCTTCGAGAAGAAAGTTATGACGTTGTTGTGTGGGGGATCACGGGTTCACTTCGGTTCTGACGTAGTTGGTAGATTTTTTTTTATGTATAGATTTTATTTTACTATATGTAGTATATATATGTTCAATATTCTAGCACGTTTCATTATATATATATATATATACATATACATGTCCCCATGGATACATAGTACACAATGAGAAACCCGAAGCCCTGTAGTTAGGCTCCAGATCCCGGGCCAGGGCTATAAAGAGCTGAGTAAGCATTAGAACCCTCTAGGGGGACCTTCCATTGCATTATAGATCATTATGAATCAATGTATACATTGAATCTCGGAATTGGATTATGTTGAACTTGTCTTTAGACTGATCAATATTAACAGTGATATCATCCCAATTCCCAGTTAGTGGCAAGTCTCCCAAGGGGTTCCACTCCATGCAGGTTTTCACATGGATATAACAAGCGAAAAGATGAGACGACATACTCGAGAGGGACATAAATATATCCTTTCCCAAATCCGTAGTCAATGGCCCAGTATGTAATATTTGGGGGAGCGGAAGTATACACATTGTATGCTGTATACAAGTTTCGAGAGACCGAGGAAGTGAGCGAAACCAACTCCAATGGCTGCCTAGGTAGGGATATTGGGGTATAGCATACGTTGTATGCGAAGGCTGACCAGATAATAAAGTGACTACACGCCTGGTATCCTCCTTTATACAGCAATGAGCTCATACGCTAGGTGAGGTCATGAGGAAAACGTGTTTGTCGCGTTCGAGGATACCAGAGCATTCAGGTATTTGAATTCAAATGTGTTACAGCCTTCCGTCCGGTTCACCTTTGAATCGTTCGACTCGCTTCTGCTCCCATTGGTCGAGGTCTTTGGCCATAAGTCTCTGTGGGCGTGCACAATAATCAGCATTCAGTTCCAATGTCAGGTGAGAAAAACAATATCAATTTAAAAAAAAAAATACATACGTAGTACTCTTCCTTTTCATCGCCTATAATCCTCCTCCGTGGGTTGCGCTTGATTCCCTCCTCCCCGTCAGGACCCTTGAGTCCCAGGTCAAATGCTTCGTCTTGACTGAGCTGCTTGACTTTGCGGTCATATCTCTCATACCGTAAGGCAGCAGCAGGTGTCAAAACAAATGACCCAGCTACAATAACGGCCATAAATGGGAGGCCGAAGAGAATGAAAGGGTGTCGAGCCAGTCGCGCCCGGTAGAATGCACCGAGCCGTTCACCGAGGGATGATGATTCCGTAGCTGCCCGACGAAAGGTTTTGGATTGGAACACAGGCATATTTGTGAATCAATATATTGAACGCTATTATGGGGAGGTTCAATAAGTTCATCAATGGGTTTGGGTCATTGTTGAACAAAGAAAGAACAATAGGATTTCGGTCAATAGATAATCCGGAATGTCGGTTTGAATTGTTTAGAGCTTCCTAAACAGCCTTTTTAATTCCCTATTGACATATCTCTTAAATCGCTGGGCTTTTTTTTTATTTTTTATTTTGTCAATATAAAAGCACACCGAAGCTCCGTCCTCTGTATCTGAAAGCACGGAAGAATTCACTACTTATCGTTGTCATTCTTTGCCGTTGCAGAGCTCTTGGTGTGCGCAGTAAGTCCAGTTTGCTTGCCCTTTGATAAGCTTATTTCTGCTTAATCGCTAGCTCAAAGTGAGTTAACTAATCTGA